GGCTCAGAAGAATGGGGACCTCATCATAAATCGTATTAAATCGGCGTGACATTGGTCACACAGCTGCGAGTGGAAAAGTCAGGAGCTGAAGGTGGTAACGAAAATAACTTGGATTTTTTTTGGGTGATGAGTGCCTCGCGAAATTTAAAAAGTTGAGGTGAAATGTTTACATTAACGGCTAAAAATATGTGCTACGTAGTGAAGAACGCGGGGGGAAGAAAGTAAGGGAGGATCGGGTAAAATGGAAACTTTAGACTTTTTAAAATTATTCATAACTCAGAAACAAATGTATCAATAGAGCTCAGTTTAGGCTCATCACAAAGAGAAAGAATTGCTCTTTGCATTGGAAAAAAAATTATTGAATTTCATCAACATTTCAACCCGTCACAAATATTTTCAAAAAGGTCAAAAGTGTCCATTTTACCCCAACCTCCTCTATAAAGAAATAAGACTTTGAGCTCAGTTCAATTTCCATTTTTCCGCCGATAGAAATTGAACGTTGGAGACAATTGCTGATTCCTCCGGGATTCGAACCCCAATAATCTGCGTGTCAGGCATTCATATTATCCAAAACCCCACCATGTGAGGGATATTTTCATAACTTACTTGAAGAGTTCATCGACAACAGATTCTCAAAATTCCAATTGATATCGCAAAAAGGCCCAGAGAAAGCAAAATAAAAAAATCTTGCTTGAATTGTCAACAAAATATTGTTAAACTGAAATGTCAACATTAACGGCTAAAAATATCTGTTCCCTATAGAGGCACGTAGGAATGACAAAATTTTGTTCTGCGAAATTGATCTATGCATTAAAAATCGCTGGTTTCTCCGGGATTCGAACCCCAGTCACCCAAATCCTCAACGTGTGAGGCGTATGTTCACATCTAATTGAGAACTGGATCAATAACAAATTCTCAAAATTACCGATAACATCGCCAAACAGCCCAGGCATAAACAGAAAAATAGATTTTTGAAAAAAACCCTTGCTTGAATTGTCATGAAAATACTGTTGAACCTGTTCAACAAAATATTGTTAAACTAAAATGTCAACATTAACGGCTAAAAATATCTGTTCCCTATAGAGGCACGCAGGAATGGCGAACGGACTTTTCTGATTAAAATTTTGTTCTGCAAAATTGATCTATGCATTAAAAATCGCTGGTTTCTCCGGGATTCAAACCCCAGTCACCCAAATCCTCAACGTGTGAGGCGTATGTTCACCTCTAATTGAGAACTGGATCAATAACAAATGCTCAAAATTCCCGATAACATCGCCAAATAGCCCAGGCATAAACAGAAAAATAGATTTTTGAAAAAAAATCTTGCTTGAATTGTCATGAAAATACTGCTGAACCTGTTCAATTTCCTGAAATTAATATTCCAATAGAACGAAACAAGTATAATATTCGACTCACCTCAACCAGTTGAAAATACCCGTAGGCTCAGGTTCCCACTGGGGTGAACAACACACGTGTAAGAGAGCTCACAGTTGAGCCTTCGTCCCTTTGAACACAAAGTGCTCCAATTTACAACCGCAAGTGTTTTTTTATTCGAATTATTCAGCTCGTGAAAACCGCACAGTTAGAGCGACTTTGTTCACCAGTCACTCGCGAACGGATCGGTGCGATTGTTAATGGACAATTAATTTTTTCGCGGGATGTTGTTGTATATTGTGGATGTAATCACGTTTGGATATTTGCACGAAAGAAACTGGTGGCTGTTTGGTACGGCGGTCTTGACGCAACTGGAAGGCCCAACGGCCGGTGTTTTGTGACGCGGCGACGGTGGCGCCTCGCGGCGGCAAGTAAAAAATACCGCGCGGCCTTTGACACTTCGAATCGGAGATATATGCAGACAAAGTGTATGCGGTCTCGGGTGCAATGCAAATGAATGTTAATAGTGAGTTTAATATGGGGTACAGATAATCGACGAATTTCATTTCGTGAAAGTCATGTTCCGTAATTTTTTGTTTTTCACTTTTTACGACATCGGGGAATTGACGCGATCAATTCAGACGGCCCATTAATTTACATGTTATCTGTAATCAAATAACTCGACGCTATTTCGTCAAGGGAAATGAGAAATGTTGCTTCCGTGCGATTAGAAATCTTAATTGAAATTTTATTGATGTGATAATTGATGAGAACCTACGAAATTTCAGATTTTGGATGCTTCTAATTACATATTTGGCCTGGGGCATCAACTTCCAGAGCTACACTGGGAAAAACAAAGTTTTTTTGAGAAGTATATCTTTATTATATCAAGAAACTCGTGGCTTGAAAAGTTTCAGGAGCAAAATGTCGTGCACAAAAACAAACTTTTGTGTAGAAATTTTGGACTTATCCTGAAGACGAATTTTTTTATGTCAAGAAGGCGATTTCTCACACTAAGTAAATTTGAATTAATTCATTTAATATTCCTGTCTTCTCAGTGTGTGGATTGTTAATTCGTTAATTTTTTTATGTCATAATATCTGAATCATCTGAATGAAATTTTAATTAGAGTTCAATGTGGGGTGATCATCGATGCACTTTATTTTGTGAAAGTCATGCTCTGTAATTTTTTGTCTTTTCAGTTTTTACGATATCTGAGAATTGACGGGATCGATTGAGATATCTCGTTAATTTTCATGTTGCCTCTAATCAAATAACTCGGCGTTATTTGGTTAAGGCGAATAAGGAATATAGCTCCTGTGCGATTAGAAATCTTGATTGAAATTTTATTCCAATCAAATGTCAATCAATTTCAATAATATTTAAATAATTGATAAGAACCTACGAAATTTCTGATTTTGAATGCTTCTAATCTCATATTTAGTCTGTGGAATCAACTTCCTAGAATTACAGATTGTTAATACGTTGATTTATTCATTCAGTAATATATGAATCATCTGAATGAAATTTTAATTAAAGTTCAATGTGGGGCGATTATCGATGCATTTTATTTTGTGAAAGTCATGCTCTGTAATTTTTGGTCTTCTCACTTTTTACGATATCTGGGAATTGAATCGATGAATTCAGATGCCCTATCAATTTCCATGTTGCCACTAATCAAATAACTCGGCGTTACTTCGTTAGGGCAAATAAGAAATATAGCTTCTGTGCAATTAGAAATCTTGATTAAAATTTTATTTATTCGGTAGTTGATAACGACCTACGAAAATTCAGATTTTGGATGCTTCTAATTTCATATTTAGCCTGTGGAATCAACTTCCTAGAGCTATAGATTGTTCATCCGTTGATTTATTCATTCAATAACATCTGAATCATCTGCATAAAATTCTAATTACAGTTCAACGTGGAGTATTGATAATCCATGAATTTCATTTTGTGAAAGTCATGTTCTGTATTTTTATCTTTTCACTTTTTACGATATCTTGAAATTGAATTGATCAACACAGATGCCCCATCAATTTCCATGTTGCCACTACTCAAATAACTCGCCATCACCTCATTAATGCAAGTGAGAAGTATAGCTTCTGTGCAATTAGAAATCTTGATTAAAATTTTATTTATTCGGTAGTTGATAACGACCTACGAAAATTCAGATTTTGGATGCTTCTAATTTCATATTTAGCCTGTGGAATCAACTTCCTAGAGCTATAGATTGTTCATCCGTTGATTTATTCATTCAATAACATCTGAATCATCTGCATAAAATTCTAATTACAGTTCAACGTGGAGTATTGATAATCCATGAATTTCATTTTGTGAAAGTCATGTTCTGTATTTTTATCTTTTCACTTTTTACGATATCTTGAAATTGAATTGATCAACACAGATGCCCCATCAATTTCCATGTTGCCACTACTCAAATAACTCGCCATCACCTCATTAATGCAAGTGAGAAGTATAGCTTCTGTGCAATTAGAAATCTTGATTAAAATTTTATTTATTCGGTAGTTGATAACGACCTACGAAAATTCAGATTTTGGATGCTTCTAATTTCATATTTAGCCTGTGGAATCAACTTCCTAGAGCTATAGATTGTTCATCCGTTGATTTATTCATTCAATAACATCTGAATCATCTGCATAAAATTCTAATTACAGTTCAACGTGGAGTATTGATAATCCATGAATTTCATTTTGTGAAAGTCATGTTCTGTATTTTTATCTTTTCACTTTTTACGATATCTTGAAATTGAATTGATCAACACAGATGCCCCATCAATTTCCATGTTGCCACTACTCAAATAACTCGCCATCACCTCATTAATGCAAGTGAGAAGTATAGCTTCTGTGCAATTAGAAATCTTGATTAAAATTTTATTTATTCGGTAGTTGATAACGACCTACGAAAATTCAGATTTTGGATGCTTCTAATTTCATATTTAGCCTGTGGAATCAACTTCCTAGAGCTATAGATTGTTCATCCGTTGATTTATTCATTCAATAACATCTGAATCATCTGCATAAAATTCTAATTACAGTTCAACGTGGAGTATTGATAATCCATGAATTTCATTTTGTGAAAGTCATGTTCTGTATTTTTATCTTTTCACTTTTTACGATATCTTGAAATTGAATTGATCAACACAGATGCCCCATTAATTTCCATGTGCCGCTAATCAAATAACTCGCCGTTACTTCGTTAAGGCAAATGAGAAATATCGCTTCTCTGCGGTTAGAGATCGTGATTGAGATTTTATTCACGAGATAATTGATAAGAACCCAGGAAAGTGCAGTTTTTGGATCCTTCTAATTTTACGTTCAGCCTGGGGAGCCAAAGTCCTGGAGCAATGGAAGATTGATAATACACAGACACGTGAATGTGGAACACTTACTTCTAACGGAGGTGTCATGTACGTTACGGTCTCCCATGTATATTAAACTGTCTGAACCATCTGCAACCCTCGCCTTCAGATCCCATTGTGTTTCACAGTCTGGCGTCTAGCGATGCAATGAATCTAGGACGCAGTCAATTTGCCAGCAATTGGTTGTATCTCGTGCAATTCTTCAGATTCAAACATCATATTGACTCAAACAACGCACGACATCTCCCAACCCAATTGATTTTATTGAAAACCACATGAGTATACAACATATTACATAACATTCTCAATATAAAAAATCTATTTGATTACAAATTTGTTGATTATCATTGATTGTTGATTATCACTAAAGTCCCTCCCTCCCCTCAACCCTTTCGTATTCGATATAATGTTTGATTCATAAAATCAAGTTTTACAATGCACCTTGCAATCATGAAATTGAATTCTCATCATTTATAATGATTGGAAATACATGAGGTGAAAAGTCCATTTTTGAAACATTGCCCACGATTTGAACAATTGTTTGAACAAACTCGCAATTCCTCTTTTATTTTATGCTTTATTCCATTCTTTATTTTTCCCCTGATTTCCACTCTCTTGTACTTGAACTTGTATATTTTTGTCCCAGATGATTATTTGAAATAAAATTGCCCTGCTGAGGACCGCGTTTAGCACTTGAAACGTTGGCAAAGGATTCAGAATAAATTGATAGTGTTGTGCATATCATGACGGCATAAAGGCCCTACTAAGGTGATGTTATTATGATTTCCATTCTCCCCTGATCGCAATAAAATCATGTCAAGTGTTTTTTCTCTTCTGAAATTGGTGACAAACAAAATTGTATGATATTTTTACTCGCATTGCGCGAACCTACTGCATGTCTCGAACATTCCATAAATAAACTATTCACCTAATTACAATGTCAGCGTAACAGCCTCTATAAACCCTCAAAGCTTCGGTTTGGAATGTGCAGAAATAAATTGACTCCCCTCGAGATGTACCTTTTGAGCTTTCATGGCCAGAGGAATTGTCCCCAAGCCTCAAGAATAACCATCAGAATTCACAATTTCAACTCACAATGTCCCCTGCATTCGCCTCGTTCTACTCCTCTCCTACTGAAATAATTCCCACCTAATCCTAGTCCCATTAGGGCCCAGCCTACAATTTAGCCTTGAGAAGCTCGATTTTCTTCGCTGCTCTCTTCTGCAGTTCAGGCAGCTTCATGGCCAGCCCCATATTCCCTTTGATCTTGATTTTCCCCTGGAAGAATGCCTGCTGTGGGTTGAGTTTACCAGAGATGAAGTCCATGATGTCAGTGTCGCTGATGGTGAAGAGAACATCGGGTTTGTCCTTCCCATTGAACTCCACAGAACCTTTTCCAGTTTTAGCATTGACGATCCAGTATCCCTCAGCCCCACCGGGTCCATTAATGATCTTGAAACCGTAGATTCCCCGGAATTTCTCGATGAGATTGTCCTCGTCCTCTTTCATGGCCACTTCGAAGACTTTGAAGACTACATTTGCCTTGAACTGGTCGGGGGAGGTTGCTGCATTCACCAGGTTCTTCCTGATGCCACCGGGGAAGCCGAGTTTGTACAGTGCCACCACGACAGCACTACCAAGACCGATATTGTGTTGGAGAGCGAGTTTAGCACCGGGGACTTGTCTCTTGCCTGCTTGGCCTCGCAGCTGCCAGCAGAGTTCTGCACATTGGGCTAGGCCAGTGGCACCCAGGGGATGACCCTTCGAGATCAATCCTCCACTCGGATTTATCACGTATTTCCCTCCGTAGGTGGTGTTCCCACTGTCGATCAGCTCCCCGGCTTTTCCCGGGGGACAGAGACCGAGGGCTTCGTATGTGATTAATTCGTTTGCTGAGAAACAGTCGTGGAGCTCCACAACGTCCACGTCGGTGGGACTGTAGGGAACGCTGGCAAATACTTTGTCTGCTGCATTCTTGGTCACGTCGTATCTGATTGATAGAGAATATTTAGTTCACTTGGTGGAAAATTTTGCCTTAAAGAGTAACAAGTTAAAGTTCGACTGTAATAGCAGGGGATTTCGTCATTGAACATTGGGGATTTGATGGAGAAAATAGTGGTGACTGTAAATTTCAACTCAATTGGTGAATGAGAATTGATGCAAATCAGAAAAATTCTGGTGAATACATTATTGAATGTTTAATTAATTGGTAATTCTGCTGAATATTCATGGTCTTATTGAAAATTCAAGCAATTTGGAGGTTTCTTGGATTCTTGCTACTCAAAAATTCGAAATTTCATAGAATTTTCAGTTGGAATTCGAAATTTCATTTCAAATCGTACAATCGAAATTTCCTTGAATTTTCAGTGAAAAATAGTGAAATTCAAAATTTTTATTAACTATTAAACTCTCCATGAAATTAAAATTTTTCTCTGACCGTATGGATTTGCCAGAAGATGTGGGAATGTTTAGGGATGTTCAATGAATTTTCTATCTAGCAACAGATCCACTAATATTTCAGAGAATTTCGCCATTGAAAATTGAAAATTTTGATGGAGAAATCAATAGAAACTGAATGTCAATTCATTTATACCATGAAAATTCCTAGAACTCAGGAATATTCGGGTAAATACATTCTTGGATGTTTAATTAATTGACAATTCTCTTAAATATTCATGGTCTTATTGAAAATTCAAATAATTTGGGGGTTTCTTGGCTTCCAAGAAGAAATTTCCTTGAATTTTCAGTGAAATTCAAAATTTCACTATTTGTTTTATCCTTGAATCACATTACATGTTGCTCCCCTGACGATAACTATTAAACTTTTCATGAAATTTAAATTTTTGTGAGAAGATGTGTTCCACTCGTATTTCAGAGAATTTCGTCATTGAAAATTGACAATTTGACTCCAGGAAGATTCAGGTAAATACATTTTTAAATGTTTAATCAATTCGAAATTCTGCTGAACACTAATCTATTCACTGAAAAATAGGATTTTTAATGAGTCACGTGAGACAAAATAAATTGAAACCTCAGAACCACACTTGCTTGAATCTCCCCAATTTCCAAACACTACCATCTACATATTGACTCCAAACTCAATATTTCATTGTATTCTCTCAATTCCGAAAAAAATCCACTGAAACTCCGCACCACTGGACTTTGATTCAACAATGTTAAATATTCACCAATTTAATGCTTAAAATTCAGTAGCGAAGTGGTAAAACGTTACAACCCAATTTCGACTATTGACCAGTTTTCAATGAAAATCTCGGAATCTAAAGGCGATAGCAAAATTTTCATTATAACCTTTTTTACAGAGCTGAGTGAGAGCTACAACAAATGTAATCACGAAAATTTCGCTATCTCCCTTAGATTAGGAAATATTCCTCAAAAACGCAACTGGAAGATGAGTCGACTTTAACCGTTTTGCCACTTCGCTACTGAATTATTCCGCACGTTGTTGTCAACCTAAAAAAACGGACTCACCCAACGACTTTTATGCAGCTCCGCTCAGAAAATGTCGAAGCAGTGTCACTGGTCATTTCCATAGCAAGAATTTCAACCGCCTGTCCCTGCAAATTGTGACGTCGAACGAAATCCTCATTGGCTAGAATGACCGCTGCAGAGCCATCGGAAGTCGGACAACACTGTAATTTAGTTAATGGCCCAAAGATCTTGGGTGAATTCTTGATCTGCTCCAGAGAATACTTCTCTTGGAACTGTGAGTACGGATTGTTGACCGAGTGCAGGTGATTCTTAAACGCTATTTTGGCGAAATGGTCAGGTGTAGTTCCATACTTCTGCATGTGTTCAATCGCAGCATTGCCGAATAATTGCGCTGTGATGGGGCTCTCGCTCAGCCCAGCAATTTCCGCCATCAGGGTGACATGCTTCTCAAGGGGATTCGGTCGTTCAGGGAATTTCGCGCTCAAAGAGCCCTGCTCCATCTTTTCAAAGCCGAGAGCTAGGGCGCAGTCGGCTTTCCCCGTTTCTATTATCTGCTTTGCCATTATTAGGGCTGTGGAGCCAGTGGCGCAGTTGTTGTTGACGTTGTAGACTGGACAGCCACTCAGTCCCACTTCGTAAAGGGCCCGTTGACCACAGGAGGAATCACCGTAGACGTAGCCCACGCAGGCAGCCTTTATCTCGTCGTAGGGAATTCTGGCGTCCTTCAGGGCCTTTGTCACTGCTTCCTTCGCCATTTGGGGGTAATCGAAGTCATCTCGTTTTCCGGGTTTCTCGAACTTTGTCATACCCACTCCAACGACGTAGACTGCTTCTCTTCGCACCATTTTTTGAGCTGGACAAATATTTTGGGAATGGAGACGCACGAAAAAATAGCGAATTCGATAGAAAATTTGAATGAATTTCTGAGGAAAATTCTAGTAGTTTTTGGATGATTCCGTTGAAGAATTCCGCTATTTCACTGGGCGTTTTTTTTCATAAAAAAAACATTTTCTATAAATGTCCAATAGGAACTATTCAAGGCCCGAGTGCATTATCTTTTGAACGTTATCTCGATCATTTTTTCATCTTCATAATGTAAAAATATATCACAATTTCCATTGGATTTTACGTCACGCAGGTGTCCCTAAAAATTATGATCGTACAATCAAAAAACGTAAAAACTGAAGATTTTCAAAGAGCGTTTTTAATAAAGATTAAGAAATAAGTCCGATAGAGAGAAAATAGTGAATGGATAATTTATCATTGTAACTAACGATCAAACAGCCATTGACTACTGTGACGAATAACGACCTAAGCCATTAGATACATCAAATTATCAATTTGTAATTTCCTCCCTATTGGGTTTATTTTCCAATATTATTCAAAAACGCTCATGGAAAATGGTCAGCTTTTTTCAACGTTTTTTGAATTGTACAATCATCATTTTTGAGGACTCCAGGGCTATATAAATCTGAGTAGCAATTGGAGATCATTTCAGATTGTCAAAATGAAAAAAACAACCAAGATCCCGTTCGAAAGATAATCCACAGGGCCTTAATTGAAAAAATCAGTAGAATGTGATCTTTTCACTTCGCTTCACTCTTTTTCTCCTCTTTCGGGCCAATAAATTTCCGTAGAAAATATTCCGACATTTATTTATTGATATTATTAAAATTTGCCAGAGAATGGCAGTAAACTTGAAAGATAATCGTAAAAACAGAAAATTTTACTTTCTATGCAAAACAAGATTTACAACGCCAGTGTGTATTCGAGAATGCAGGACAGGGAGAAAGTTCAATTTATTTCTCCACTTTTAAGACTAGCAAAAAAAACTGAAAAAACTTTCTCTGGATTAATTCACCTGTTGAGACGTAAATGTTGTGAGATAGGACCGGAGTTGAATTGTTGACCGATTGAATGGAGCCAACGCCTTCACTGTGACACTGGGAATTAATGCAAGACGACTTTCCAATGTTACTGATACTGGTTACAAAAATTATAACGACCGACGCACTTTGGCCTGTGTTCCAAGTCAAGGAAAAAAATAATAATGCATACGTTGAGGAGTTAATGATGGAGATGACTCTGTATTAATGTATGGTGAAAAAAATCCGGGGTTATTTCGCGGACATGAACACGTCGTGCCATCTACAGACGTCGCCACTTATTGAACCGGGTAAATTCAATGAGATTTTGTGACTGAAAAATCCCCAAGACTTCTTGGATGCATTTTTCAACAATTTTTTCAGGACTTCATCATTAATGAAAATTAATTCATTGGACGAACATTATTTTCCAGAGTTTCAGGTCTCCAATAATGCACCTTTTAAACTAGGGAATAAAAAAAACACTTATTTTCATTCGTAACTTTTACTGTCGTAACTGTTTACTGTTGTTTTTTTTTCAATTTTGAGATTTCTTTTGTTTAAGATATTTTTGTCACAACTTGTAAATAACTAGTGGGTTGATAAATAGAATAAATAAACGCCCTGATGAAGAACCCTTTGTGTGTTCGAAACATTGGCAAATAGTGGAGGAATTATTTTTTTCTCTTAATTCTCTCCTTTTTCAATTCTTATTAAACAGCCCCAAGACTTCTTGAATGCATTTTCAATAATTTTTTCAGTACTTCATCATTAATGACAGTTAATTGATTGGACGAACATTATTTTTCAGAGCTTCAGCTCTCCAGTAATGCACCTCTCGAAGTAGATGACTGTCCGAAGAAATTCTTATCGAGTAAAAGGAGCATAAAAAGACAGTTCTTTTCATTCATAACTTGTTGGTGACAGTTATGAAGGGCTCCAACAGGTGTCTGTTTACTGTTGTATTTTTTTCAATTTTGAGATTTCTTTGGTTTAAGATATTTTTGCCATAACTTGTAAATAACTAATGAGTTGTTAAATATAATAAACGAACACCTTGATGAAGAACACTTTGTGTGGCAAATGATGAAAAAATTGTTTTTTTCTCTCGATTATTTCCTTTTTCAATTCTAATTAAAATTGCTGTTACGACCGTCCATGGCTGAGAAGGTGGAAGTTTTTTGGAGGATCATAAACAAGAAAATTACATACAGAAAACTCCAAGACCTCTTTAATCTCCCCAGCTCCCTACAAAATCACGACTCATCTTTCTTAGCAGTCCACATAAGAATGCAGCTCCCATTAGCCCCCACAACGCAATTCTCCTGTGGATGAACACTAAGAGAGACAGTTGGATGCTTCGTCGCCCTGTCCCCACTGAGTTTTCCCAGAACATCCTGAGTGGCCAGATCCCACACCCAAATGTTCCCATCAGCAGACCCAGAGAGTACTTTAGTGTCATAGCAGTCAACACTGGACTCGAGACACAGCTCCTTGACAGAGTGGCCCTTGAACTCCCCTAGCAGTTCCCCAGTGTCTTTATCCATGAGCCTGATGACCCCATCAGCACAGCTAGCCAGGACGCACTGTCCATCCCTCGTGAAGCTGGCACAGACCACAGGCTCCCCCAGGCAATCCGTCACAGCCTCTCCAACTCTGATGTCGTACCTCCTGATCCTGCAGTCGAAGGAGGCTGCCAGGATCTCGTGATCAGTCACTCTGACGCTGGAAATGGCGTCTTTGGCGTCGTTCAGCGTTTGCACTGGGTCGTAGGACCTCGACCTCATGTCCCAACACATGACTGAGTTGTCGCGAGACCCCGAGACCCCCATCGAGGACTCCTCGTTGAACCTCACAGCTGTCACCCCACCTGCATGACCTCGAAATCTCCTCACTGGGGAGCCGGTGGCCACGTCCCACAGGATCACCGATTTGTCCAGTCCACAGGAGAGTATCTGGCTGCTGTCGCAAGCTGCGAAGACGTCCATCACGTCGTCCCCATGGCCACTGTACGTTTTTAGTAAAGCGCTCTTGTGGGGATTCCACAGCTTCACACGTCTGTCTGAACCACAGGTCAAGCAGTATGCACCGTCCACTGAGAATCTCACTGCTCTCACTGCACCGTGCTTGCTGTCTATCTCTTGGATGAACTTGAATTCCATTTTCAAGGGCTTTTGAATGATCTTTTTATTTTTAAGTTATTGAGGTGTTTTAATTTATTTAACAATTAATTATAATGGTAATTGGTGGGAAGGTAGGCGAGTTCAAACAATTAATTGATTGATTGATCGATTTACTAGGATTTATGATTGGTTTTTCAAGTTAATTCAGTGGGGTTTTAATTTAACGGATCATTTCTTGCGGAAGATTTTCGGAGGAGTTTGACGTTTGTAGGAGATTTTTTGAAACATAAAAATTCAGACAAAAAAGTGAATTCTTCGAGATCCGTCCACTTAAAATCGCATTTAAATTCCACTTCCAATGTCTTTGGAATGATTTTTTATTTGTTGAATTACTGAAGTGTTTTAATTGATTAAACAATTATTTATAATTGAAATTGATGGTAAGTTCACAGAGTTAGAGTCATATCTCCACTATGCAGGTCGAAACAATTAACTGATGATCGTTTTATTGCGATTTATGATTGATTTATGATTATTACGATTTATGATTTCAAGATTAATCGAGTGGGTTTTTAAATTAACGGTTGATTTCTTGTGCAAGTTTTTTCGGAGCAGTTTGACGTTTGTAGGTTAGTGGGCATGTTTACATTCGACTTGATCATCACAAAATATTGATGGTGCTGACACTTCCCAGAATCCAGCGACAACAAGTAGATTTTTAGAACGCATAAAAATTCAGACAAAAAGGGAATTCTTCGTGAATTTTTTTATTCTACTAGGGGTTCAACGGCTTCAAACGTCTGTGAGCATATCAGGCAGTAGGCGCCGTTCACTTAAAGTCGCATGTCTCCATGTTTGCAGTCTATTTTCCGGATAAATTTAAATGCCACTTCCGACGTCTTTTGAACGATTTTTCTGTTTGTTAAATTATCGAACTATTTCAATTGATTAAACAATTAATCCTGATGGCAATTAATAGTAAATTCACAGAGTTAAAGTCATATCTCCACTATTCCAACCAAAACAATGACTTAATGATCGTTTTATTACAATTTATGATGGATTTTTCAAGTTTAATTGATTGGATTTTTAATTCCACTGTTGATTTCTTGCGGAAGTTTTTTCGGAGCACTTTGACGTTTGTAGGTTAGTGGGCATGTTTACATTCGCCTTGACCATCGCAAAATATTAATGATTCGGTCGCAGGGGGCTAGGTGGTGCTGACACTTCTCGGAATCCAGCGGCAACGATTAAATTTTTAGAGCCCACAAAACCCCAAACAAAGAGATGAATTCTTCCGTTTTCTTACCTCCCAATTTTTACATTAAAACATTGTTTCATTCGTGTCAAGAAATAACCGAGTGTCACTGTCTTGTCAACAATGAAAATTCACTGACAATGAAAGCGTTCATCTGGGTTTAACCGATTGCGCATTTTGGAGTGGATTACCAGGCATTCGATTTCGAATGGCTAAAAAAAGTGTAAATGCGTGGATTTCGCATCGTCTGCATAAGGCAGAGGAGCAACATACCGGATGGTTCCAAGTTTAGACACAAAGAAAGCCCAAGTTTAAAAGGAGTTGCCCGAGCTTTCTGTGAATCACTCGTAGAAACACTCCGAGCACGTGTGAAGATCACCTCAATGAGACAAAAGTGAAGTTATAAATACAGATCGCACCTCGTGGATTGTTTCGCTGGACTCCTTTTGTGCCCCTCGACTCTGGGATTGAGCGATTCCAATGTAAATAATTCCCCCCTCTCAGGTGTCTTTGTTTACTCACGGACCAGTGTCCCAGGGGGTCAAAGTGCCTTTGAAATTTCGTCAAACGTTCAGTTAATCTCGAGACTCGTTGGCTTTCACTCGGAATTTAATGCTATTCGGTTTTTAACATGCTTGGCGAATTGTCGAAGGAATTTTTATAAATAAAATGAATAATCCTCCGCGGAATGATGTTCGCAGGCAGGCGACTGGTGGGGATAGATTGGCTGCATTTCGTCTCGGCACATCGAGGCCTGCAGTAGTTGAAAGACGCGCCGGCCTGCCAACGGTGCGCCATCACCGTAATTACGGATTAACGTCAACAAGGGGTAAAGGGAAGACTATGTGCCTCGCGGAACAGTTAAAAGCTTTCAAAATTGATAATGATAACGAGCAGATTGTGTTCCAAGAGCCCGAGCTATTCGCACAGGGCTTTCCGATATTCGAGGAGATCAGGAGGCAGGGCAAACTCTGCGATGTCACGCTCAAGGTAGGGCATAACCTTGATGGCTTTGTGTCAAAACAAAGGACTTGTTTACCGGATTTTACTGAGTGATTTTTGACTTTGGACAGATTGAGGATCAGACCTTCAGCGCTCACAGAATTGTTCTCGCTGCCACTATTCCGTACTTTCACGCTATGTTCTTGAATAATATGATTGAGAGCAAGCAGAAGGATATTACGATACAGGGGTTCGATGCAATGTGAGTAGAGAAGGGGATTTTGACGTTTTGATGGGTGGAGCGGGTTATTTTAGTGCTGGAATCTCAAGGGAAAATTTTGACATTTTTAATGGAAATTCGTTGGTATGAAATTTTCGGTGAAATCGGTGGTTTTCAATTGTATTCAATGATACAGCAATTTTCGGGTCGATATGACAATTAGAAATAGGCGTGGGTACTTTTTACTTTTTAAAAAATATTTGTAACTCAGAAGCAGATTTATCAGTTGAGAGCAGTTTAGGCTCATCACAGAGAAACAGAATTGTTCTTTTCTTTGACGAAAAAATATAGGATATTACGATACAGGGGTTCGATGCAATATGAGTAAAGAAGGGGATTTGACGTTTTGATGGGTGGAGCGGGTTATTTTAGGGCTGCAATTTCAAGGGAAAAATCTTGACATTTTTAGTATAAATTCGTTCGTATGAAATTTTCGGTGAAATCGGTAGTTTTTAATTGTATTCAATGACACAGCATTTTTTAGGGCGATGTGATAATTAGAAATAAGGGAGGGCGGGGTAAAATGATCACTTTTGCATTTTTTAAAAATATTTATAACTCAGAAACAGATTTATCAGTTGAGAGCAGTTTAGGCTCATTACAAAGAAACAGAATTATTCTTTTCTTTGACAAAAAAGTATTTCATTTCATCAACAATTCAACCCGTCATTAACATTTTTAAAAAATCAACAATGGATTTCTACGAATATTTTATGTTTTTTTTTTGCTACATTTTGTTACAAATTTTCATTAATATTCTCAGTCAACTCGTTGTTTTTTCAATTAATCAACCGATTGATTGCTATTAGTTAATTATCGAATTGTTGAATTGGTGTTATTCCCCATATTATTGATTCTATTATTGACAATGTAAATGGAATACAACTCACAATGCAATGAATTATTTTAGTGCACTGGAAGCCCTAATAAATTTCGCCTACAGTGGAAAAGTCACCTTGAACAAAGACAACGTACAAAGTATCATGATGGGTGCTTCTTTTCTCCAATTAACCAAAGTCCGTGACGCATGTGCTGACGTATTAAAAACCCATTTACAACCACACAATGCCCTGGGGATTTGCAGCTTTGCGGACAGACTTAGCTGTCCAGGTCTCGTGGAAGAAGCCACGAAATACATTCATCAGTACTTTCATCATGTCTCACTGTCTGAGGAATTTTTGTCGCTACCCTTTGGCGAGTTGAAGGAGCTCATTTGCAAGGATGAATTGTATGTAGTGTCTGAGGCACAGGTGTTCGAGGCCGTTCTTAGGTGGGTTAAACACAAGGAGGAGAGGATTGAGCACCTGCCGAAATTGCTGATTCTCGTGAGATTACCACTGCTCAGTCCTGAGTACCTGGTGGATCATGTGGCTAAAGAAGAGTTGATTAAACGCTCTCACGAGTGCAGGTACTTGTCACTGAATTTTTTTTTATAAAGGAACCCAGATAAATGAAGAATTCACATGAAATAAAACTTTATTCCACATTTTTCTATTCTATAGGGACAAAAGGGGCAAAATGAAACAGTCGAACAACTACTGTTTGACGCAGTTCAAGCATAAAAAAATTTGTTTATCAACTTTTTTTTTTTATTATTGGGAGTACTGATGAGAATAGTAATTTTCTATTCTATTCAGTAGAATGAACGAGTGGGTTATCATGTAAAAAATTGGGATAATTAAAAAAAAATTGAGGTCCTGGTACTTGGTCAAAGTTTATTAATTTCACGGCGCATGAAAAACACGGGTTTTTTCATCTTCTTATCATAACAGAGCAGAAACTATCGGATGAAAAAAAATGCAACTCCGTATTGGAGTAGAGTAATATTCAGTCTAACAAATGAAATTGGCTTCACAGTCGTGCGATTATTTTTCACGAAAATATCAGTCTCCAAAATTTGCGGACTGCATTTTTAAGAAGGATCGGGGAGGGTAGAGTAAAACGGACACTTGACTTTTTTTGAAATATTCATGACGTGTTGAATTGTTCATGAAATGGAATAATTTTATTATTCAATTGAAAAACAATGATTCCTCTTTGTGATGAGCTCAGACTGAGCTCAATTGATAAATCTGTTTCTGAGTTATGAATATTTTTTAAAAAGTCAAAAGTGTCCATTTTACCCTACCCTCCCCTAGTAGGGGACATGGGATCGAGATCAGGGGAGTGGGCTTCGTCAGTGGAGGCAGTCGATACGCTACATAGGGGTTTCAAATATCAGTGATTTTTTCGCAACGCATTCTTCTCTACCGAATAGAAAATCATTATTCTCGTCAGTACTCCCAATAATAAGAACAGTTAATACACAAATGTTGATAAAATAATGTTTTTTTGTCTGTTTCATTTTACCCTACTCTCCCCTACTTGAAATTCCTTTTTGCAATTTTTCTCACATTTTCCTTACATTTCTCTTTTTTCTGCTCTACTATACGCATTTGTGCAAAACATGTTCCAAAAAACTGAATAAATAATAAGAAAAATAAATAAACCATAAAAGTGACTCCAAGTCAAAATGAATGACTAGATGTGAACATCTGATAAATTACTGAATAATTCTCCCCAGAGACCTCCTGGACGACGCCAAAGACTGTCACCTCATGCCCGAGCGCAAGCACCTCCTGGAATCCTTCAGATTTCGACCCCGCCTCTGCAACGACCTCGTGGGCGACATTTTCGCAGTGGGTGGTCTCACTAAATACGGAAACTCCCTGAGTACAGTGGAGGTGTACGACCCCTACAAATGCACCTGGAGGCGATCAGAAGCCATGACGATGGACAGAAGTCGAGTGGGAGTGGCCGTTCACCAGAACAAGCTCTACGCCTTCGGTGGGTACAACGGTGTCGAGAGGCTGTCCACAGTGGAGGTTTATCATCCAGCCTTGAGGAGCTGGAAGATCATCGCCCCCATGCACTACAAGAGGAGTGCAGTGGGAACGACTGCCCTCAACGATTATTTGTACGTCTGTGGGGGGTACGACGGAGTCATATCCCTGAACATCGTCGAGAGATACTGTCCAGCCTCGGACAAATGGCAAATTCTTCGGCCCATGAATAAGCATCGCTCTGCAGGCGGAGTCATTGCATTCGAGGGCTATATTTATGCACTAGGGGGTCACGACGGCCTCTCCATCTTCGATTCGGTGGAGCGTTATGACCCGCAGACTGGCGTTTGGACGACAGTGAAGCCGATGTTGACGAGGAGGTGTCGTCTGGGGGTGGCCACTCTCTATGGAAAGCTCTATGTCTGTGGGGGCTACGATGGCTCGACATTTCTGCAGACAGTGGAGGTCTACGATCCCCAGAAGGACACCTGGGAGTTTGTCGCACCCATGAACATGATGAGGAGTCGAGCAGCTCTTGTTGCCAACATGGGAAAACTGTGGGCCATCGGGGGGTATGATGGTGTCTCCAATCTATCTGCTGTCGAGGTTTACGACCCCAGGTGCAATACCTGGTCCTTTGCTGCTCCAATGTGCGCCCATGAGGGGGGAGTGGGCGTGGGAGTCATTCCAAATCCCTATTGTTAGTTTTTTTGGGAGGGGAGGCAGGAGCTTCCGCGAGTGAAGGGGATTATGATTGTCGGAGACTTTTTTAACTCGATTTTTGGTTCATACCTTGATAGATCAAACCCAGAGTTAACTCTGGGTCAATCCTGGGTTCATGGAAAATACCCAGCGAAGAAAGAGAGAAACTCTGGGAAATTTTCATGAACCCAGAGTTAACTCTGGGATTGATTCATCAGGGTATTTTTTACTTTTACGGTAATGCATGGTCCTGCCTTTGGGGGAGGCTTTTATGAATGAGATGAGCAATGATTTTTTTTATTTAGGGTATTTTGTTGGAGGAATTGTAGAAAATTTTCGGAGATAAGGATGTGATCTCATTTTGTACTGTTTTAATTTATACTTTATATTTTATTGTAATGTGATATGAGGGCGACAAATGGGGAGTTTTGATTGATTGGAGAATGGAAAATGAATGTGGATAAATTGATATTGAATAAATAAATAGGAGCAAAGAAATACAGTGAGTTATCTCATTTCATAGATTTTCCCGGTAGGAATGCCATTGCAAAATTTATGGATGACAGAATTTTCTCAGGTGAGTCATGCCAAGTTTCTCGTGGAAACGGAAGTGATTTCATCCTACTCATTCCAACTGTAATTCAATTTATAAGTGAGGAAGTGGAATTGAATAAAATTATTTATGGTTCATGAATGCTTCTAAAAAGATTGAAATTAATAAAATAAAATGGAGAATAACTTTAATAATGAATAATTAATGAATTGATAAAATATAATTCATGAATATAATTAATGAATTGCCCAATAATATAATTCATAATTCATTAAATATAAAAATATTTAGTCAACGCAGAGTGCATGAATAAAATGTGACAAAAAAATCTAAAAAATAAAAATAAAGCCCTGAAAATTGTAAATTTTCAGTCATGAATTTTCTCTCACAGATAGCGCTTGGAGTCAATTCCACGTGTGGCATTCACCCCCGCAGCTCCATCTTGATCGATGTAAACTCACGGGACAAGCGGATCACTGTCCTTGCTTCCTCGTGAAAAGCAAAATACATAAGCAAGTGCGCGCGTTTGTAATTGAAGTCCGACTACTGCGCGACACAACAATCTCACGTATTTATTCTCCAATCCCAGTGGTATTGCTTCTGGATGAAAATAATCGAGTCACCGCTGTCAAGTCAACTGCTGATCCGGGATCAAGTGGTGAACAGGTAATAACATAAACACCTTTCAGGCATGACGTTACGCTTTGGGCCCTTTAACGCGCACTTCAGACGTACACCCACGCCCGTAGTTGCTCTTGCTCTTCCTCTCATGGAGTATTTCGTCAACATCAGTGTGGCCTATTTTTTGGGAAAATGAAAAATCCGAAAATAGAGGGAAGACGAGTCTCAATCGAATGACAATTGCTCTTGGAACGATGAGAAATCACTTCGGAGTTGAACTAATAATTCTGTTTTTTTCTTATTGCAACGCAATTTTTAATTCATGTGGAAGTGAATTACTCGTAATCGTAGTCCGAGCGATGCATTACATTAATTTGTTTATGTTCCACGGCGCATCCACACAATTTTGTGGGGCTTCTACGCATTTGTCGAGTGATCACGCACTTGTTCTTTCGAGGAAAATTTATCGTCCAATTTCGTAGTTTGCTTGGAGAACTTTGTCCTGTTGGCGTTGTTCTTGGCTTGACTGGAACACGTCTTCTGAGTTTTGTTTGTAAATTGGTCACGTTATCACGAGGGGTAATCACTCGGCATTAATTTGTACACTGGATTTCAAGGATTTGAGGGATTTTGATCTTTTTCGGGTTTCAAGGGTTTTTGTGATTTTATGAATTGGAAATCTGGGAAGACTTCAATGGTTTTAGGAGAGTTGCAGGGAATTTTAAAGGATACAAAAGAAATTTGGGAAAAATCTAGCGATATTTCGAAGGGTTTCCCTCAATGTTTCATAGGATTTCATGAGATAGATTTTTATTTCTGTCAGGGAATGCATAATTTTTTTTTGGGTTTCAAGGTTTTTTATGTTTTTATCATTTTATAAATTAGAAATCAGAAATTCCAATGATTTTCGGAGAGTTTCAGGGAATTTGGAAGAATACAAAAAAAGTTTCATAAAAATCTAGCCGATATTTCGAAGGATTTCCCCAAATGTTTCATAGGATTTCATGAGATAGATTTCTATTTCTGTCAAGGAATGCATAATTTTTTTTTGGGTTTCAAGGTTTTTTATGTTTTTATCATTTTATAAATCAGAAATCAGAAATTCCAATCATTTTCGAAGAGTTTCAGGGAATTTGGAAGAATACAAAAAAAGTTTCATAAAAATCTAGTCGATATTTCGAAGGATTTCCCCAAATGTTTCATAGGATTTCATGAGATAGATTTCTATTTCTGTCAAGGAATGCATAATTTTTTTTTCGGGTTTCAAGGTTTTTTATGTTTTGATGATTTTATAAATCACAAATCCAAAATTTCAATGATTTTTGAAGAACTTCAGGGAATTTCAAAAAATACAAAAAAAGTTTCATAAAAATCTAGCGATATTTAGAAGGATTTCCCTCGATATTTCATAGGATTTCATGAGAGAGATTTCTATATCATCTGCTCGAATTATCATGAAGGTCAGGGAACGCATAATTTTGTTATCGGATTTCAAGGTTTTCTATGATTTTATGAATTGGAAATCTGGGAAGACTTCAATGGTTTTTGAAGAGTTTCAGGGAATTTCAAATAAAAATCTTACGATATTTAGAAGAATTTCCCACGATATTTCATAGGATTTCATGAGACAGATTTCTATATCATCTGCTCGAGTTATCATGAAGGTCAGGGAATGACTTTTTTCCGGGTTTCAAGGGTTTTTATGATTTTATAAATCAGAAATCCGAGAAAATTTTAATGATTTACGAAGAGTTTCAGGGAATTTCAAAGGATACAAAATAAATGTCATAAAACTTCAACGATATTTCGCAGGATTTCCCTCGATATTTCATAGAATTTCATGAGATAGATTTCTATATCCCCTGCCCGGGTTATCATGAAGGTCAGGGAATGCATAGTTATCTCCGTGAAGTCACCATCAGCAATTGCGAAGAATGTAATTCTCGATTATAATCGGCTGTAATTACACAACATTGTAGGGGATTTATTTGTTTGTTGAAGGGTATAACCGGAGCATGATCGAGTCTTTATGGCTTATCCCTGAAGCCTTGAGAATAAAAAACAGATCAAGATGCCTCCGAAGCAGAGGAAAATAGCTATTATGGGGTACAGATCAGTGGGAAAGTCTTCATTGAGCATTCAATTCGTCGAAGGACAGTTTGTGGATTCTTATGATCCAACTATTGAGAATAGTACGTATGAAAAATATTATTCATTTGATTTGAAGTAAAAAACCGATTGATTAAATTATCAAAAAAATTTCAATTTCAGCATTTACTAAAAGTACTCGTGTAAATAGTCAAGATTACGAAGTTAAGTTAGTTGATACTGCTGGTCAAGATGAGTACAGCATATTTCCCACCCAGTATTCCATGGACATTCACGGTTACGTCCTCGTGTACAGCATAACAAGTGCAAAAAGTTTTGAAGTTGTACAGATTATCTACGACAAGTTGCTGGATATAACTGGAAAAGTTCAGTGAGTACATCCACCGAGGAAATTTTTTTTCTTCAAAACATAACAGTAGCAAAACGACAAAACGTTTCAAGTAAATTTTGACTATCGGTCAGTTTTCCGTGAATATCTCGGGATCCAAGGCAGATAGAATTTTTTTGTAATAACCTTTTTTGTAGATCTCAATCCGCCCTACAAAAAAGGTCATTACGAAAATTTAGCTATCTCCCTTAGATTCGGAGATATTCCCCGAAAACTCGGCTGCCAAGTCGACTTGGATAGTTTTACCCCTTCACTATTTAAAAATCAACATGTAACCAGCTGATTAAGCACTATCAATGAACTCCTCTGTTCACAGTGTTCCAATCGTTCTAGTTGGTAACAAAACAGATTTGTACGTAGACAGAATGGTGACGACAGAGCAGGGGAAACGTCTGGCTGACTCTTGGCACGCGGCATTCCTGGAAACGAGTGCAAAACAGAATGAATCAGTTGCTGATATATTTCATACACTGCTGATGGAGATTGAAAAGGCAGATGGCAATGTACAAGAAACTTCGAAGTGCATAATCTCTTGAATATAATGGAATTCAAATCTAGAACGATGATAATCATAATTAAACGAGACGCAGAGGGAGTCGACGCGTTTTATTTGAATTGATTAATACGCAGGTACCGAATGTGAGTCGTAAATCCGCCCCACTTATTTTCATTTTACTATTGAAAAAAGGTTTTACGTTGAATCCAGTGATTCATCGGTTGATGCATGGGATGCTGACACTGTATAGCTTTTTTGTCATCGGTATTTGCATTTAATCTTTAATTTAAGTAATTATTCAATTGCTATTTATATCGTCCTCTTTTATATTCATTGGTGCCGAAAATATTTATCTATTTAGTGAATTATCTGTTTTCTGGTCTCTCCAAAATGTGGATTATTCACTTGTGAAAACTATTCTGGTAGTTTTGTGCCTCCAAACATCAGCTGTATCATATAAATCAAAAAATTATCGAGTGGATTCAGTGTCATTGGTTTTTGCCTTGTCAGCATGAATCTTTTACATTTCAAAACCGAAGAAAAACGAAAACTCCGAGAATTTGAATGTTATAGAACATAATTTTCATAAAAATTAATCTTCTTACCTGTTCCATTGGGGTGTGTTTGTATAATGTGGAAGCAATTAAATACTGTATGTGTTCCTGGAGGAAAGTTCTGCTTGCAAGAATGCAATCAAACGACTATGCAGAGAAACAATGTAAATAAAGTAATAAAATCTTTGAATTGCATAATATAAAAATGTAGGGTATGTAATAAATTGAATAAAATGAGGGAAAATCTATTCCTAAAAATCAAAACACGTGTGAATCGTTTTTTTTTTAAAGTTATCCCAGTAGTTGTGTGCCTCATTTACATTTGAAACTCAATGAAAACAAAAATTTCAATAATTGCATTATAATACAATGACATTTTCATAAAAATTAATCTTCTTACCTGTTTCATTGAAGTGTTTGTATAAGGGTGGAAGCAATCAAATACTGTATGTGTTCCTGGGGGAAAGTTGTGCTTGCAAGAATGCAATCAAACGACTATGCAGAGAAACAATGTAAATAAAGTAATGAAATCTTCGAATAGCATAATATAAAAATGTAGGGTATGTAATAAATTGAATAAAATGAGGGAAAATCTATTCCTAAAGATCAAAACACGTGTGAATTGTTTTTTTAAAGTTATCCCAGTAGTGGTGTACCTCATTTACGTTTGAAACAAAAGGAAAACAAAAATTTCAAGAATTTAATTATAATACAATGACATTTTCATAAAAATTAATCTTCTTACCTGTTTCATTGAAGTCTTTGCATAAGTGTGAGAGCAATCAAATACTGTATGCAGATAAAAAACGTAAATAAAGCAACAAAATCATTGAATTAAGCAATATAAAGATGTCGGGTATGTAATGAATTGAATAAAAACGAGGAAAAATCTACCCCCAAAGTTTAAAACTCACAAGTATTTTTTTGAACATGAAAGGTACCATTTATTTGGGTTAAACCAGTTACATAGAAAGGACACTTTGAATAAAACCGAACTTCCAGCCGTTAGCAGGTTCAAAGATATACATAAAATGTTTTTCTTTTCGTCTCACAATGCGATTCATCATCGCCCAGCCGTCGCAATCCCATTACAAATTAAAAAAAAAACCCAACGGCACGCTAAATTGTTTTCACAGCATTACAAACGGACATAATATCATCAGAAACATTTTTAAGATTTCTTTCATCAATTTATGCATTCACTTAGTGAATTATTCACCATCACACGAATAATCTGAATGGACTCCCCTAAACCCAAGCACCTTGGAAAAATCTCTGAACAAAATGATTTTACTGCGTATCAATGACCAAGCGCAACTACTCTGGTCCTTCCACAATCTACTTCTCTAATTTAATCGTCTCATCAATTATCATCGGTCATTTTAATGTCAATTGCTTCAAGAATATTCTCTCCATCAAATATCCACAGTAATAAGTGTAAACTATTTAAGGTACAAACAGGAATTTTACAGGCGGATTACAATTAAGCTCGGGGGAATCATTACCAATAATCTATAAATTGAAAAGTAAATTTGCAAAGACACGTTCTGAGATTTATTTATTATCATTAACTCCGTTCACGCCCTCGTCTCAATCACGAAATTGACAAAACACTTGGCAAGCGATTGGTAGAAAAGAATTGGAAGGAGACGAGTTCGTGAATTACTCTCAGATGCACATTAACATTAATTAATTATTCTCATTATTCCATTCACATTTGTTTTTATTCAGAAGGGAAGACCGTCCTCCAGTTGAGTATCTCGAGTAAGTCGAACTTATAAAAATGAAATGATTATTGATTATTAAACCTCAGGAGGACGCACCTTGCCAGTCTAATTCGAAGCGCATGTATGTGGTTTTTTTTCATCATTTTATTGAGCAAGAATCTAATCCCTCTTTCCGTCCCAACTTCATCTAACTAGCGGACTAAGAGCTAATGATTCAACTACACGTGGAGTTCGCACTGCTTCGGCGTTCTGCCCCAAAGATACAATTCTCCCCTGAATCTCTCGATTAAAAAAATATATAAAGAAAAGAAAAATGCGTATTCAGCGATCGATTGAATAGAATGTCATTCAAGACGAAACGTCACGACGAAAACATTATTTTTGGAGCAGAGCGCTGGTACGTGAGAGCGAACGGATCGGCGATTTTTCCTTGGGACTTTGAAAATTTTTACTAACAAACCCTCGCGTGCACACTGCGGGGGCACAGTTATAGGTACAGCACATTATTGACAATTATTATGACGGATTTCTTCATCTTTTTATCATTCTCATCATTACTATCTAACATTATTAATTAGGTACAGCTTTGTGCACGGTGGTCGTTGTGATAGAGTTAACAGATAGACGGTGACACTGCGAAACCATCTGACCCATTACGTTCAACATTTTAATCGTAATTTCATTGATTTTTAGGTTTTACGCAATCGACGATTTTCTCACTTGGGTGCGTACGGAGTATATAAAGGTATTTTTTTGTTTTTTTAATTTTTTTTTTGTTCTACCACAGCCCATTTAACGATATATATTAATTCAATATATTAATATGATATAATTAATACGTATCAATCATACAATATGCGAAAAGAGAAGGGAAATTAGTTAGTCTGAACCAAGATAAAACCCATAATTCTAATCCACTATGACTATGTAATGGATAGCCACACGTATTAAAGAATTTAATAGGAAACTAGCGCTTTCTCCAAGAAACTCTATTGAAAAATTATTTGTTTTTGCGCCAATGCTATTGATGAATTTTGATTTTTCTGTACAAAATTCTTGGGCATAAATTTACCAATTTTTTTTCGTTATGTTTTTACTTTTTTCTCATAATAAAATCCAAGAAAAAAAAGGAAAATTCTTGTTCTAAAAGTCTAAATAAGAAAGAAATAATTCCAATATAATGAATTATATGAAAAGCTCAAGACCGATATGCTTTTTTCATGAACAAATCTATTGAAAAAAAACATGAGATTTACACAATTTTTTATGAGATTGGCGCAATAAACAAGTCTAATTTTCTTCGGAAAAGCGGTAGAATTTCCTATTCAATTTTCCCGTACGTTTAATATTTGCATACAACCGTTCTCTGGCACGCACCCTCTCCCAGTGCATTATTTTCACAGAATAGGGACAACACTAGAGAAATACTGATCGCTGAATGATTCATTAGTAACGAACAAAAGGACTCGGTACGGGAATACCTTCGATGGAAGCTAAACCATTGGTTCCTATCACGATTCTAATCAGGAGGCAAGTGTAATCTCTAATAATAATTTTATCGTCTTAGAAATTCAACTATCTCTTTGTAGACTAGGTAATCGCTCTCTGCTTTCAAAAATAAAGAGATATCGAAGAACGTGAAAAATATAGTTATACTCAAAAAAAAACAAAAAGAAAATAAATACAATGAGTGTACTCTAGTCTGGCAGTCTCGTGCCCATTTTCTATCTCAAATCATCACTGTAGACACGAAAATAAAGAAATTAATAACTATGCAAAGGTAACTGATTTTTACGCAGGAGCTATCGTCATCTCGTCGTAATGATATTCAATAATGGATATTTTATGATTGATAAAATATTACTCTTCCACGTATTTATGTTATTCTCATGAAAACTAGAAAAATACTAATATAGTTATAAAACTAGCCAAGGTTTGACACGACACTTTGGACTTGCCTATTATCCTTTTTTTTCACTTAAAACGAGGAACAAAAAAATTAGTAGATAAATTATAATCTTCAAAGCACAGATCTATAATTCTGTCTATGCCATTTAATGGTACTACACAGTCGTTACACCAACAGTGTCATTCCAATGCGAATTCAACATCTAATTGATTTTTTATTCTTAAACTATCACACCTAACCCGAAGATATCGAAGATTAACAAAGTGAATTAATAATTAAGTTTTCACCGTTGTTTCAAGCCTCGACATGCCAGTCAACGTGGATTCATCTAATTTTACCAGCTTCTCTGTTATTTAAATCGTTTTTAATCCAGAATTTTAGTTAACGATTTTGAAAGCACGAATCAAGCATTCGATCTCTAAACGCGGTTTATTGCACGGTCTATCGAGCGTCTCCAATTTTATTCTAACTGAATTCCTCCCAATAGCAAGTATTGTCGGCTCGACACGGAGTTGAGTCTTCCTCAATCAAATTTTTCATTCAACGTGGAAATCTTGTGGGGAAATAATTGAATCGGGCTCGCAAGGACTTCATAACGCTAAATGTCTCGCGTAGAGAACTTTATCATACGTTTTAAATATATTATTGTAACGTAGTCGTTGTACAATGTTCCAATGGTCCACAAATCGAGTATATTAAAATCTATTCACCGTTCACTCTTGTTCAATATCTTTTAAAAAAATTTCCCCCAACTTTTATTATTTCCTGTCACCCTTGTCTTAATTCTCTATTACCTAGTTCGTCAATTATCTATCCAGAATTTTCCCTTTTTTCCCCTCTCGTTATTTAAACTCTGAAAGCAGTGTAACAAGATTGTCTAATGTTTATCTGGTTAAACTTCAGTTCATGTTAAAGGAAAAATGTTTAAAAACAAATTGCGAGCACGTTGAAGAAGCACGAAGGTGACTGGAAATGTCGGTGAGAAAAACTTGCGTTTCCCTGAGAATAAACTCATGTTTCGATAATTCCCTTGTCGCTGGAAAATAAAGCCTTAAAAAAATGTTTTTCGTTGCCATTTGATTGAGGAGCCGCCACGAATTTTGATCGATTTAAAATTCACCTTAAAAGCTAGGAAAACATTCAAACATTGACATTTTTATCTATGAACTGCTCGAATTATCGTCAATTCCGCGCGACAGTTCGCTAGGGATTTTTAGAATAAAGCTCTGTGTTTTGCACGAAAACAAATGCGATTGATTTATCATTGATTTTATCGTTTGTTCAGAGACGCTCTTTTTAAATTGACAATAATACATCGAGACATTTTCCAGAATCGATGGCATTTATCCACTCGGTCTTCAATACAAATGCCGAAACAGTTTGATAACTTCAACTATTCGAAAATAATCGCTAAAAGATGAATCAATAAATCAAATAAAGATGATATTCGATTGATATGAAAATTCGATCAGTGTTAAAAGGAAAAAATAAAATATATCCATTTGGTTGAGTGCCCTTAGGGCACGTTTCGATATGATCTGGAAAATCGTCAGTTTTTTCCAGAATAATTGTCTATGTACAATTGAAAAAATTTACAATTAATTCTCTCGAAAAATTAATCAATCGTATTTAATTAAATGACTCGTTATTTAAAAAAACGACCTGCACCTGAAGCGATCTAGTCAGTCTGAGTATTACGTAAAAAATGTTGAGTTTTTGAAATTTTCAGTTATTTCGTTCAATTATCATTTTTAATCTATTTTATCAATGCAAAGCGGACGTTGAAAATTACTTGCGAAGACCGTATGTACGTTTACGTTCATTTAACATTAATTACGCTAAAAATAACACCCGATTGAGGGTCTTAGGACGCATCTCGGATAAAAGTTTAGTGCACACTTCTATCAAATTTAATTTCTATTTCTCCTTTCATCAATAATTTTGCGATTAATCGAGTATTCAATTCGCCTGCGACCGTTGTGTTACGTGACCAATCCCAGATACGTTTGATATGCACGCGAGAATTATTCGTATAATTAATTCCTCGCTAGAATAATTCTCCCAATCTATGCATGTTCCTATGGTAATAATTTATATATCATTTTTTAATCCTCTTTACCCGAATACTTTCGCGGGTTTAATGCATCAATAACCCTCCCACAATACATATCCCTCTCGTTTATCCCCCTATGCCATATATATTTGTATAATATAATAGTCATTGGATATTTATGTTTAACGTTAATATAGTTTTCTTATTAAACCAGACTTGTAATTTTCACATTGAGCCATCTATAACATTACAGCTACCGTTGGAAGCCGAAGCAACCATATATTTTTTTGTGATTTTTTTTTTAGTTTTTAATCAACACCCGTTGTTACAATTGCGCAAACACCGTGAGAAAAAAATGGTTGAGAAAAATCTGATGTAAAAGCGAGTTGAACTCGAAGATGAGTGAATGAAAGCAATTCATTTAATAAATATAATTCTATTTAGCTCTATTTTAAATTTGGTTCAATGTCTTTTTTCATTTCGTTAGTAAGAAGTGAACAGTTTTTAAGAAAAATCGGACGTAAAAGCGAGTTTTTACCCATTATAATTTTAGAAATGAATTTCCGACTGAACTGAACAGTTTTGAGTCACGATGAAAATTCATTCAACAAATAATTTCTTTTATCATGCCGAAAATATTGAATAAAAAATTCAAATAAACTCAAAGATTAATGAAGCAATCAATTCCGTAAAAACAGTTCTATTGATCTCAATCCTAAATTTGCTTCAATGTTTTTTCCTTTAATTGTTTCTAAAAATTCATGCCGAAAAGATCGAATGAAAAGTGAAATGAAAAATCGAATGTAAAAGCGAGTTTTTACCCATTATAATTTTAGAACTGGATTTTCTGCTGAACTGAACGGCTTTGCGTCGCGATTCAAATCAATTCAACAAATAACTCCACTTGTCATGCCGAAAATATTGAATAAAACCTGAAAATAAACTCGAACCCGCATTTAGCTGTGAATTACTTGGTCGTGGGAAAAAACCTTTAGTGCAATAACCAGCGGTAAAAGAACCCCAAACCAGCCTCAAAAATAGAACATCACGATGAACATCGCATCAGAATACCTAATGGACAATAGATATTGAAAATTCACGTATCAAGATATGCTTGTCTAGTCGCGCGAGCATTGGTCATTTCTTTAAAAGTAATTTAGATTTAATCAAGTGTTCTCTTTAAATTAATACTCCACCGCGGTAATTATTGAATCACGCAAGTGATCAACGCCCAATATTCCGCGAAATTCGCTCTATTCGATAAACTTTATGAATTGTTTTTACTTTTTTTTTTTTTCAAGTAGTACATAGTAGTATAATATCACATGCAATTAAAATAGGATTGTCGGACACGTAACCTACTAAGTTAGAACTTCAGCTATGACCCTATTCAATTCAATATTAATCGTGACCATGTGCTTGTAATGAGGTGAATTTCTCCCTAAACATTTCGTTATTTTTTTCAACTTCGTTATGAATTCCAGCTTTTCTAACTCGTCACTAGCCTGCACTTACTGCCTATCCCTCTCTTTACGGAACATTTCTAGCGCAAACACCCTGCTAAATTGCCCTACTGTGCACTCCTATACATACGCAAGTTTATTTAAGCATTTGGAAATTTAACAAAGCGGGGTTTTTATTCATTGTTTCGTTTCCATTGTGGTCCTTACTTATGGCGGTTGCTCAGAGGCATTTTGTGGTTCAGTTTTCCCTCGAAAAAAAAAAAAAAAACAATATTTGCCCCTGTAAGGATTAAGTACACGCTAAAACCCCTCGTGAATATAGTTTATTTAATTTAGTATTTTGATCGCGAGAAGGATCTAGGGGCGACTCAATTGGCATTAGTTTTATCACAGTTAATACAATAGATTTTCATGCCTGAAAAATGCTTATATATTTTTTTAGAGACCTCAAAGCACCGCTGAACCTAGTACGATTATTAAAAATATTAAAAAATACATATAAAAAAGGAAATTGCGATTGTTACGGGGTGAATATATTCGGTTAATAGTTGTTTTATAAATAGCGAAGGGTGAAATAAAATGTAATAAAAATGGAGTATTACTGACGAGTGAAGAGGTTTTGGGTTCCAGTAGAAGACTGAAAAATTCTGGTAAAAAATCTACGTGAAAATTGCTCACGTTTATCAAACTCTCATCGTATCTCGATAACAGTTAATGGAATAGGAATAAAATGCTAGAGTTACTCGAGGCGTAAGTAAATAGCATCAGTGAGTCAGTTATTGGGCATGTTTTTTTTTCGATTTAGGTCACGCATTAATATGTATAGTAAAACTTTCAAACAATTGCACTTGACTCGGGAAAATAGCCCAAGCCCTTTGTGTCTGTGGATGCATTATGTGTGTTGTTTTTTTTAATACTCCTCGCAGTATTTCGCGTACATGTATCTGTGATTGCTCGCGCGCAAGCAGTTTACATACAAATACGTGTTTAATTACGTGTACACGTGGAACAGTACGATGGACAGCATATTTGGATTGCTTCGTTTAAACACCTAGGATTATTTCGACAGCAAATATCGAAACAGTTATTTCTCGTTTACTTTTTTTTTGGTTTTTTAAATCTATTCACACTATCTGACACACATTTTGGGTCACACACGTAAGGAAGGCCACATTGAACTAGTCTAAAAACATTTCTTCACATAGTTTTTTTGAGGGGAATACCCAGAGGGTGATTCTCTTTCTAGTTATTTCATCAGTTATTCTTTTCGTAGAACTTAGTGCGAATCTTTCGATCTACATCTTCACGGGTTAAAAAATTTAATAGAAAAACTGAGCGCTCTCTTTCAGGAATTCTATTGAATTGCTATTGGAATTGTGTTGAAGATTGTATTGGTTTTTTACGCCAATTCTGTTGAAGATTATGCAATCCCATTATTTCCTGTAGGAATTCTTGGAGATAAGTTTTCCAATTTTTTTCTGTTGTATTTTCATTTGCTTCTCATGATAAAATCCAAGAACAAAAAAGTTGGAAAATTTTTGTTCAAGAATTCTTACAGAAATAACGCCGGTAGAATGAACAAATGTCTATCGCAAAGCGTACGTGAAAGTTACATGATTTTCAAGAGAATTGGCGCAAAAACAAAAAGAATTCTACAAATGGAATTCCAATAGAAATTCAATAGAATTTTCTAGCGAAAGCCCTAGGATACTCTATTCAATTTTTCGTACATGTGTCTAAGCGAGTTTGAACTATTAAAGATTTTTTTACGAAAATTTTCAGACTACGCACCTTCTCGACACTTTGAAGTCTTTAAAAATGAGTTTAAAGAGGTCGAAGGGCATCATCTCCAATCAAAAAAGACTAATGAAACATAGAAGTGGAAAAAACATCGATAAAATCCCGCACATACTCTCACAAGTTCCAAATAAATTAGTAGTAAAATGCCTCACTTCGATTTCTTCGTATGTAAATTTTAGAGTTCGTTATTTTGGGTAAAAAATTCGCGACGTGGAATTGACAGCTTCAATGATTTTCAAAATCCTCCAGTGGATTGTTCTCGACAAGGTATCAGGGCATTCTCACGAGAAAAAGCTTCGACGCGTTAGCACCAAGATTCCGGAAAAAAACAGAGTTTTCCCCCAATCATAAAAAAACTGTCAGCGGAACGAAGAGTTTTCCAGTTAGCGAACGCAATCAAGAACGGATAGCTGTAACTCGGAGTTTATTTTGTGAAGTAAAATTGAGCTGACCTCGGTGTGCTTCGAGCAACATTGCTAGGTACTAGGGGTGAAGCTGTCTGCATCACCAACAATTGGCTGCGTCTCACCTTGTGTAACTGGTATTATCGCATCCTTCGATGTTTCAACAATAGTTTTTTCGATGTCCTTGTTGTGAAGAAGTGTAGCCTGCATTGCATTGAACATTCCAGTTCTCGCTAGTCTCGAGGCCTTTGTGAGCTCACGAATGCTGTTGGCCAGAGCCAGAATATCTGTGATAAGAAACAATGACAGAATGAATACCCAAGATAACGGGGGAAATTAATCCAATAGTCAACCGTAAACAACAGTTGATTTAACAACAAAATTCCCCGAATGATTTTTTTTCTAGAAAAAATCAACTGCTTTCCCCTCACTAATGACCAAATTGTCTCAATAACGTTTGACTACCAAGAGATGTTTACCTTTATCATCCTGAATGGGACTGCAGTGTGGATTATCCTTCTGCCTCTTATTAGCATGTGCAATCTCCTTCTTCCTGCACTCCTGCACAAATTTAATTGACTCCAGCCAGTACTCCATAGCCTTGTGTACCCTCTCATTCATACTAGCCCCCCTCAAATGCTCCATCTTGGCGATCAGAGTGATGACACGAGCATGCTCCCTCAGATGATCGATAATGAGCCTGTCAGCACGTGAAGGATTGCCCTGAAGCCTTGGTACAGGGATATTATTAGCACTGGTGACTCTCTTCCCTGGGAAATGAGCAGCCAGGCCGGCCTCGCACTTCTTCCTCTCCTTCTCCAGCTGCTTGAACTGCTCGAAGGTCTGCTCAAGCCTCATGTGGAGGAGTGACGAGGGTCCAGCTCGCCTCGTGGACCTCACGTTGCCCCTGAGGCCCATCCCCCCAGACAGAACAGACATCGAGTGCAAGGAAGGAACAGCTGAGATGACAGGCATCAGAGATGGAAAGACTCCAGGTCCAGCAGGTGCTCCTCCCCTCATGAGTCTTGGATTCAAAAGCACATCGGGCACTGACATCTGGAGCTGCTGACGCTGCTTCATCATCAGGTGATTGAGAACACTGGGATCCATGGAAGCCCTTGCCAGTGCCAAATGGGCATTGGAGGTGTATCCAATGTCCCCAGCCAACTCAAATGGATCCATCTGGTAGCCACAGCTTGGATTCCCAGGACGTTTCACCCCATTCTGATACACTGGACTCTGCAGGGGCTTGAGGCTCTCAGTACTGGCAGTGAAACGGTGGTGATACCCATTGTCAACAGGATAATTGTACTTTGGAGATTGGTCCATGCTCTGGGAGTTTACACTGCGGGCAAAACGCATCTGATAGTTGTTGCTCTGTTCCTTCTGCTTCAGCTGGGGACTCAACATCTTCAGGAGAGTCTCGTCGATCTTCGGAGTCATTGGTCTGTACTCGGTATTTCTGACCTCAGGATACTCACTCCCTGGTGGATATCTTCCTGGCTGCATTGCTCTGTAGTTCGTCTCGATGGGCTTCTCCATCTTGTAGCTCTGGTGCTGGGGCTTCTGGGGCTGCTGGAGGTATCTGTGCTCGTTGTGCATCATGTTGGTCAGGCCCTCCTGCATCTCCTCGAAGTTGTTGCGTTGGTAGTTTTTGTAGCAATTGTGGAGAACACTGTCTGCTGGGGAGAATCGTTGCAGGGGGGAGTTGGAGAGGAATCCAGAGTCTCCACTCATGTCTGTCATTGCTGATACTGGACTGTAGGTGGGGGCGTTTGTCGATGTGTTGTACGAGTCGTGGATGTTGATTACTGGGGTTGAGTGGTGATTACTCGGGTTCACCATCGAATTGGGAATCTCCATGTCACTGATGCCAATTGTGTTGAAGTTCATGTCGGGATTTGAACATGCTGGGGAGTGCTGGTAATTTCCAAAAACGTCTTTTGGGTAGTCTGGGGACAGGAGGTTCTCCGTCCAGTTGGGTGGCTGGTAATTGAAGCCGTTTGTTGTTGTCAGTAGTCCATTGCCAAGGGCAGCATAATTTCGGGGGGTGTTCATGTCGGTGGAGTTCATTGGCCTCTGGTGCTCCACTCGCTGACTGTGGATCATGCCGTTCATGTAGTCGTTTGATTTTTCGTTTCGTGAGATGCAGTCGTTCAGGGTTAGACCCTTCAGGTTCACGCCGCAGAGGTAGTCTCGGGGCTCCTCCAGGTTTTGGGTACCTGGTAGCCTTGGGTAGGGGTACTGAAGGGGAACTGTCGTGTCATAATTGTCTGGGCAGTTTCGAGGTTTTAGTCGTGATTGTAGGTCGTATTGATACGTTGGATTTCCGTTGTAGTGATTTGTGTACGCCTCGACGTTTCTTATCGGCTCGTCGTCCAGAATTTTTGCGACGAGATCGTTCACCATTGAGTTGTTGAGATCCTGGCACTCCTCGTCGTCCAGTGTTGTCTGGTAGAAGTGGAATTGTTTTGGTGGAATTAGTTGGGTTTCTTTTATGCAGATGAATTTTGTCGTTCGGCGTAACATTTTCTACTGAGACATTCTCTATAGAAATTTCTCGACATGAATTCTCGCGGTTTTTTTTCACTCTATTTCTTTTCTTTTCATTAATTCAGTAGCGAAGTGAGAAAACGGTTCAAGTCGACTTATCTCTCAGTTGAGTTTTTGAGAAATATTTCCGAATCTAAGGGAGATAGCGAAATTTCCGTAATTACATTTGTTGTAGCTCTCAATGCGCTCTACAAAAAAGGTTATAACAAAAATTTTGCTATCGCCCTTAGATTCCGAGATATTCATTGGAAACTGGCCGATAGTCAAAATGTACTTGAACCGTTTTACCACTTCGCTGCTGAATTTGTTTTTGTTAGAAAATTTGAGCCGGATTTCTCCAGAAAATATCTCCGTAGGACGAAGTGGATGGGAAAATGGAATTCTATTGATTTTGTCAGTGAAATTTTAAGAACGAAATCTCGAGAATTACGACGATTGGATGATATTCGTGAATTTCATGAGAAAATTACTTTGTGATTGGAGTTTCTGCCCAGCAGATCATAGCTCCAGGGGTTGTATTCCCTGCATCTGTTGTCAGTGATGCAGCCACTTCCTGGTGCCTCAAACATGTCGATACCACTCTCAACCTGATAGTAACACAACAGATAAAAAATTAACGAGAGAGTGAAAAATTACGTCCAAAATATGTTGGAGTTGCAGGGCACATGACGCAACGGTGGAGCCACGTAAAAAATGGAGTTGAAAATAATTGATATGAAAAAATGAGAGCAAAATTCTCTGGAGTGTTCTACCGATTATTGAACATTGAGATGTATTTATTGTAATATTTGACAGCTGATATATGATCAGGCTGTCTCCGTGCGGTGAATGTGTGTGTGGCACAGTTACAATTGGTTGTCCTGGAATCCAAAAACGGCGATTCAGAGGTGTAAGCACTTTGATGGGTATTTTATGTGATTTATTGTTGAAATAATTGTCTCAGTGTGCACCGGAACGCGAGAGGGTACCTTGACAGTGTTGTGAACATTGTTGTAGGTAGTTGGGATGAGATTTTGCACCTTAGACAGAGCCATTTATCAAGGATCACCTACGCCGCCTGCCATTACCCGTTTCACTCGCTCACTAACTGAACCCGTATGCGCCTGTCGAATCCCCACCGCTATCCACTTTTCACTCGGGTTTCGGTGGGCTATATATACGTCGAAAACGTCGCATTTACCGGCGAACGAACACCACCCGCGACTCTGTCTTGTTTTCGATGTAATATGATTTTTCGACGGGATGAGGAACAGTGGAGAAACAAAGGAAATTGAAACAAAAAAGGAGTGTGAGCAGACGGATACGAAAGGGAAAAATTGTTGAAAAATCATTTCTGACTTGAGGGGATGAATTATCAGAAGAGAATTGTAAATTCTGGTGATTTTTTTTCGTAAGAAGGATGAGAATACGCACTGAGAAAAAAAATTACTTTTGTCAAGGAATCATTTTCTTGGGAGAAGAATCAATTTTTTTAGGAGCGCATTTCTCCGGACCAGTTAGTCCCAGGTGGTTCAAGTCCATCTCCAAATATTACAATTATGCTGAATTATGGGATGATTATGCTGTATATGATCTTGAATGAACTCCGTTGACAACTGTTAACATTTAGAATTATTACAAAATATTTTAGGCAAGAAAATCTCAAATTTGAAAAAATCGAAAAATAATGAAGGCTGTTCATTCATGGTCATATGTAGCATACTCATCTCATAATTGAACATAACTGTAACATTTGGAGATGGACGTGGACCACCTAGGAATGACTGACTTGGAGAAATACGCTCTTAAAAAAAAAATTCTTCTCCCAAGAAAATGATTCCTTGGCAGACGTAATTTTTTTTCTCAGTGCGAAAGTTAATATTTTTGAATCGAGGAGGATGGAGAAAAATGGACACTCCACTTTTTTTCAGTGTTCATAGCTTAAACAAATTTAGTAATTGAGCTAATTCTATTTTATTTTGCATGGAAAGAAAAATTGGTCAATTTCATTAATAATTTTGGAATGGGATGAGGAATAGTGGAGAATCAAAGGAAATTGAAAAAGAAAAGGGGTGTGAATGGAGGAATATGGAGGGGAGAAATTGTTGAACACTCATTTCTCACATGGGGGGATAAATTCTGAGAAGAGAATTGTAAATTCTGGTGATTTTTTTCGTAAGAAGGATGAGAATACGAAAGTTAATATTTTTGAATCGAGGAGGATGGAGAAAAATGGACACTCCACTTTTTTTCAGTGTTCATACCTTAAACAAATTTATTAATTGAGCTAATTCTATTTTATTTTGCATGGAAAGAAAAATTGGTCAATTTCATTAATAATTTTTGAATGGGATGAGGAATAGTGGAGAATCAACGGAAATCGAAACAAAAAAGGGGTGTGAGCGGACGGATACGAAGGGGAAAAATTGTTGAAAAATCATTTCTGACTTGAGGGGATAAATTCTCAGAAGAGAATTGTAAATTCTGGTGATTTTTTTTCGTAAGAAGGATGAGAATACGAGAGTTAATATTTTTGAATCGAGAAGGGTCGGGCAAAATGGACACTTGACTTTGTTGCAGTATTCATAACTCAAATAAATTTATCAATTGAATTGAGGTAATTCTATTTTATTTTCCATGGGAGCAAAAATTAGTTTATTTCATTAACAATTTTAAGAATACGAAAGTTAATATTTTTTAATCGAAAAGGATGCGGCGAGCTGGACACTTTTTATTATTCTTTTCAATGTTCATAACTCAAACAAATTCATCAATTGAATTGAGTTCATTCTATTTCATTCTCCATGGGAACAAAAGTTAGTTCGTTTCATCAACAATTTTTCAACGAGATGAGGAACAGTGGAGAAACAAAGGAAAATAAAACAAAAAAGGGATGTGAGAGAACGAATATGAAGAGGGAAAAATTGTTGAAAAATAATTCCTGACATGGGGCAATAAATTCTGAGAAGAGAATTGTAAATTCTAGTGATTTTTTTATTTGATGGATAAGAATGCGAAAGTTAATTATCACTTCAATCTGCAAATGTTCAGAAATCAGAAATAAATTTATCAATAAGGCTAATCTCAAAAGAGAATAATTTTTTTCATGAAAAAAAAAAATTATTCCATTTCGTTAACAACTTGACGAGTTATTAACATTTCAGAAAAAGTAAAAAATAAATATTCTACATTCAATCATTCCGAGGAATTATAATAGTAATTCGTGTATCAACAGGATTCATTTCCGAATTCTGTATTCCCAATTCAAGAACGTGGAACATTTTTTCCACCTCGTAATTTTGTAAAAGAATGGAACAGGATTTTTCACCCCCATTAACGCATCCACATAATAAATAAATAATAAACAAAAATTTAAAAAATAGTTCAACAAGAGAATAAAGCGAATGTAATTCTCGGGAAAATTCCCTGCGAACAATCAATCGCCAGTACTCGGCGCACACCAACGCATTGAGGCCTTTTATTCCTTAAATAAATATTGGAACAATAGTTAACGTTATTCCCTGTCGATTCATCCAGTTAAAGTACCATCGAGGGGTAGTAGATGCGTTTTATTTTGTTTTTAACGTCCTCCAATTCCTAGAACGACATAGGCCCTCGAATTCTTCTGGGAATCGGAGAAACGGCCGGTGCTTCCCGGAATCAATTCTTTATACTCTCGTACATCGGAGATAACGAGAACACAACGCGGGAAATAATCGATGAAAGATGCTCATTGATCAGATTGAGGATTAATTGATAAGAGGAATAATAAATTGGTTTTATTCACTTACACTCATCGGGGGCCTCATTCTGCCGATCTCGTCGCCCATGATCGGATCAATCTGCACCCTGAGGAGGGGCAACGCCATTGTAATCATCTATTTAATCTCTACTCTCGATTAAAGACACTAAGACTCGTTATTAACGACTTGTCAATTGTTAACAGGTATAACTGTGCACTTTTTGGGAATCAAATGAATTGATGAACCACACTAGTCGCTCGGGACGTCTTGCTGGTTCAAGACGCCGGTAGACAGTGAAAATTGGCGGACTGGAGGTGCCCGGAAGTGGAGATGCCAACGCCATCTCACGAATCTCCCGCTCAAATTATGAATCCATGATATTTTCTCTTCACTTTCATGCAGTGTTCATAATGTATTTTCATCATTCGAAGTCAGAAATAGATGATTTTCTATTGGAAAAGAATTTTTCTCTATGATATAAAATAATATGAAGGAATAAAAAATTGCAATTTCAGGACACGTTGAAATTGCAATTGAAATTTTCTTTTTACTTTTATGAAGTGTTCATAATTTATTTTCATAATTCAAAGTCAGAAACAGATGAATTTTTTTGGAAAAGAATTTTTTTCTACGATATGTGATATGAGAGAATAAAAGATTGCAATTTCAGGAAACGTTGAAATTGCAATTGAAATTTTCTCTTTACTCCCATGAAGTGTTCATAATTTATTTTCATTATTTGCTTTTAATAAGATTTTTGTTTTTGATAAGACAAAACCCGTTGTTTCAAGACTTATTCGTTAAATGTCAGGTCTGATACAATAAAAATCTTGCAATTCGTGATATATTAATCGTCGATTTATTAATACAAAGCATTTTATTAAATTGCATAATTCTCGAAAGACAATTTTCCTCAGTAATCATGATTTATCGCTTAACAATTGACTATAATTTTCAATAGATACTTTAAAATGAATATTTACATATTTACAGTGTACACACAAGTGCAATCTCATATTTGAGTGCCTTGCAAAGCATTGACTCATATCGTTAATAAATTGTAATCGAGACATCGAGAGTGAAAGATTAAAAATTCATCGAAATGAAATTACGAGCTCTCGTCTATGTACGTGTAGGATTCACAAGGGAGTGATGTGTAGAAAAGCAGATAGGTATAAGAATTCTAGCATCTGACGTTATTCTTATCACAACCACATTTTTTGTTTTTAACAGGATTAAAAACAAAACCCGTTGTTTCAAGACTTATTCGTTAAATGTCAGGTCTGATACAATAAAAATCTTGCAATTCGTGATATATTAATCGTCGATTTATTAATACAAAGCATTTTATTAAATTGCATAATTCTCGAAAGACAATTTTCCTCAGTAATCATGATTTATCGCTTAACAATTGACTATAATTTTCAATAGATACTTTAAAATGAATATTTACATATTTACAGTGTACACACAAGTGCAATCTCATATTTGAGTGCCTTGCAAAGCATTGACTCATATCGTTAATAAATTGTAATCGAGACATCGAGAGTGAAAGATTAAAAATTCATCGAAATGAAATTACGAGCTCTCGTCTATGTACGTGTAGGATTCATAAGGGAGTGATGTGTAGAAAAGCAAATAGGCGTAAGAATTTTGGGATCTGACGTTCTGCTCGCTGATTTCCGATACCGAGTGATCGTCATACTTGTACCATCTGGAATAACAAAACGTGTTATCATAAATAACAAAATTCCCGCCATTCACTCACAACTCAATGAATCAGTCGATGAATATCTTACTTGTTGAGTGCTGAACTTTTGCAGAAGGCAGTGTAATGCCCCCCGCCCATGGTGCCATAGTGATTCGAAAGCCCATAGAGATTATAACTGTAGCTGTGGGGATGATTTAACGTGTTGGAGTCGGGGTCTACGACGAGATACTGCTTTAGATTGAGATCAATTAGGGGAAAAACAACAGAAGTATTTTTCTTCTCCAATCCAACCTCTGTACCAGCAAATCGATTCAAGTGAATCACCATTATTGGAGCTAATTTAACGAAATCAAATTTTTTTGTTGCTTCACGAGCTGTTTTACAGTGGGGACAGTTCCATCCTGAGATTTTTTGTCCACTCAAGAAATGCCTTATGCACTCCTGTCGACAGAGAAAACAAATAACACTTATTAATTCAGGGATATCATTATTTTCTTGGCACAGAGTTGTTTTCCTTATATTACTTATAGGATTAATGTCTCTCATTCTCTCATAATTAATGGAATTATCTTGGAATAATTGAACTTAAATTCCCAGTTGAACAAAGCAATAACATGATATAATTTTCCAACAAGTGTTCTGGAAATTTCAGTCAAAAATTCTCAACAATGAAAATTATTTTAATGTTTACTCACATCCAAAGTGCAACGATTAGCCTCTGGCAATGATATCGACAGACTGGTGAAAGTTTCATAAGTGATGCTCTTCCCAGAACAAGTTGTGCAACAAATTGTTGATCTCAATTGTCCCATAAAGAGCCTAGAAATGATGGAGTATTGTCCTTTGAGTGCCTTCTCCCACTCCTTCTCAGCAGCACTCAGGGGCCCATCTATCCTCATCTTTCCGTCTTTCCTCAGGTCGTTATGCATCCACTCGAGGAGAAACGTGAGAAATTCGTGGGAGTCCTGCTGTTCGCAGCTGTCGAATTGCAACCTGAATTGTCCAATCGTGTCCTGCCCCCCAATGATAACGAAATTAATCATTCAAACACATGTGGGTGACGAAAATACCACTGGAATTGTGCAATATTTACCTTGAGATCTCTCGGGGCAATGCTCTTGTACTGTCCTCGCCACAGTGCCTTGATCACTTGCGCGAATTCCTCGGCAATTTGGCCACGAGTCTCATTATCACTGTTTGTGTTCAAGTCGTCTTGGTATCCATTATCAATAAAATATCTGGCTAAGTAAGCTGTGTTACTCAGGCACTGAATTATGCTGTTCATGTAACACGAGTTGCCCAAGTTTTTAAGTCCGGTAATACCAGGATGCTGTAAAAAACAGTATGTTTTTAATAATAGGTCTCAACCCCTGAATAATCGTTCTTCTTTATTTATTTCGCCGTAAAGTAGTTCGACCCTTACGATGCATCTAAAGATTATTGAAAACTGCACAGAATTTCCAGAAAACTCGATTAAATTTCAATAGTGAAGCGGTAAAACTATTGGCCAATTTTCAATGAATATCTCGAAATCTAAAGGAGATGGCAAAATTTTAGTCATAACCTTTTTTGTAGCCCCCAATTTGCTCTACAAGTAAGGTTATTACGAAAATTTCGTTATCTCCCTTAGATTCAGAGATATTCCTGAGAAAAATCAGCTAAGGGCTGAATTGAGTTAAATCGTTTCACCGCTTCGCTACTGATTTGGAATAGTAATTTTTTTCACCATCTAATGAACGTTTTGCTGTTTAACCCATCGTTCCATCTAGAAAATTGACATTTCCATTGTATTTAAAGACTAAAATCTCAATTTTTACTCATTAGATACAAAAAATTGACAAATGACACCACAAATGCCATTATTTATTTATGATAAGCAAATGTTGAAAAAAAATACCAATAGTTTGCAGAATGTAATTTGAATGGGTAATTGTAATTTTGTGTAGTTTTCGTATAAAATTTAGGTGAAAACTTTCCAAATTGAAACTATCCAAATCTATAGCGCAGTTGGTCGAAAGGGTGGAGCTACTTTGAACAGCTGAATTCCTTGTATTTCCGCACCTTTTTGAAATAGCTCACTATATAGAAAGGCACGAATTTTCTACGCAGATATACCATTTCTAACTTTCTTCTCTTCATTAAGAAAACAATGGATAAATAAAGGGAGAGTGTAGTTCTACCACCCTGCAGTCACGTCAAAAGCCGTCACGATTTGCCCTCTAGTCGGGCAATAGACCATCGTTTATAGCAATATTTTATAACAGATTTGATTATTCCCTCATCCATTACAACCACCGAATTCACATTTTTCTTAATCTTCAACGCGCGGATAAAACCGCTGGCTCGATACTCTCAACATTGACTGAGTTTACTTCGCGATAGTGTCACTACCGAAGACAATTGTACGTTCACAGTAGATGAGCGCTCGGATGATATCGTGTAAACCGCTGCTGGGCATTTTTGTTAAAATTGGATTTACGAAGCCACACAGTAACTTCATGTTGCCGTACACACGTGCATTCGAATACGCTGTCGATATGCTCCAGATAAGTGCCTATATGCGTGATCCTGACATATATCGACGATAAAATATAATTTACGGTTAAAAGTACATTTGTTTCCGTGTCAATCACTACTTTGAAAAGTGAAATTAAAATAGAGGAATAGGATTTCGATATTGGGTGCCAAGTTGACGTAATAGTTGATGATGGGACATTCACAGAACTTAAACTGTTATCACGAATTGAGATGAAACTTCATTATCTGTGTGGAGACTTTGATAACACGGCAAGGTCAGAATGATATCAACTACCTTAATGTTTCGTTAATTTTATCTGTCGACCTGATTTCGGGTAAATAAACTCAAACATCATACGATCCGATAATTTGATCAATGATTAGCGATATTGGGGAGATGACGAATTGAATTACTTACTGGATTGCAGTTGTCAACTACGTTGAACAGTTTTATTTGTACCATATTATTTGAATATCAAGTCAGAGTCGTGCTATTGGTTTGAACACTTTCGGTTTTTTACTGATTAATTTTACAGCATAAAATGTCCAGTCATTTTTGTGGTTTATGATAAGAAAATACGGGCAGATGATGACTTTTTAAAATTTTGATCCGAATTCGTTGGGAAGTAAGCAACGACTGACACGTGATAACAAAATTATCTACCATAAAGCGAAACGTCACGTGATTAAATGATCAAGGTTTATACTTTGATCATTGATAAGGCCTTTTTGATTCGTGAGAGACGTGGAAAAAGTAGGAGTGTATACAATTGGGTGCAGCTGTGTGTCGAATGGGACTGAAGTAATTTGAACGTACGTCAAGGAGATGAGGATTAGAGGGGACATTGGAGAATCGAAGCACGTGTACGAGATAAACAATTCCGAATAAAATATTAATTGTTTTCCGGTAGTTGTTGTGATTCATGTTAGATTGGCCATCGATATTTTCTGCTGATATGAACGGGAACAGTGAATAACAGCATTTAATCTTCAATAGTTGGAAATCTGATGAGTGGAATATCAGCAATTATATACCAACAAATTTTTAATTTCATTCCTTAGTTTTCCTAATCTCCAAATAAAAAGGAAGAGTATGAAAAATTCTGCAAATACTTTTGGCATTGATGGACATTACAAGTGTTACTGTAATAACTATTTTCAATTTTTAATAATTGGTAATCCGCGGTGTGAAACATCGAAAATTTTATGTAAATTTCCTCATCTTGAAGAATCATTAAGTGAAATATAAAAATGTAAAAAAATTCCGTGAATGCTGAAATAATTCAAACATACGTCAACGAGATGGAGATTAAAGGTGAAATTTGAGAATCGAACCACGTGTCCGAGATAAACAAATCAATAAAGCCAAATACCCATTTTGTTGTAATACCAAATAAAATATTACAACAATTACAACACTCATAATCCAATATGAGTTTTACAAAATATGAATATTGAGATTGTCATGTTTGGTTGAATTTGGCGGATAGAATGATTTTAAAATTGACATATTTAAAATAAAATTTTATAACAATGGATAAGGGAGGAAGGGTTGTTTTAGTTATCAATTACATCAGTTAAGCTAGGAAGTTTTTTGTGATGATTTGCTGGTCCGTATATTTAAAATTATGTGTTTGGAGTAAAAAGGAGTGTCCTAAATAGATGGGAATAAAGTAATGGCCCTGATGAGGAGTGAGATTTACCACTGGAAACGTTGGCGATAGTGAATTGATTTTTTGTGTTAATTCGTTGTGGACGTCAAAATAGCCGAAAACGTCAAAATAGCTGAAATTAATGCAGGCGTTTGGAAAAATAATTCAGCTAATATTAATTATTGTTTTCCAATAATTGTTGTGATTCATCTTAGATTGGCAAAATGAATAACTACGTTTAATGTTTAGTGGTTCGAATTTTTAATTTCATTTCTTAGTTTCATAGATCTCTAAATAAAAAGGAAGCATATGAAAAATTCTGCAAATACTTCTAGATTGATGGACATTTGGAGTGTTAATGTAATAATTGTTTTCAGTGAAATATCAAAAATGTTATGTACATTTCCTTATCTTGATGAATCATTAAATGAAATATCAAAATATAAAAAAATTCCGTGAATGCTGAAATAATTCAAACATACATCAAGGACACGGATCATTAAAGGTGAAATTGCAGAAACGCAGCACGTGTACGAGATAAAGAATATCAAATAAAATATTAATTATTATTTTCCTATCGTTGTTGTGATTCATCTGAGATTAGCCACCGATATTTCTCGCTGGTATGAACGGCTACCATACTTTTGCAAACGTGACTGAACCCTAATCCTTTAATGAAGTTATCTCTCAGCGTCACTGGATGCACTCACGTTCCATATTCTCGTCTTACCCACATTATCCAAGATCATGACTATCTCCTCATCCAAATTCACTTAGTCTAGAATTAAATAAACAAGTGGATAGAGCTTACGCCATCACGGTAGACGGGGTCCATTCGTTTGAAGGAGTCCTTCCACGATGTTCCTGATATGTTGTTGTTTGCTTCCCTCAGGCTCCTACGTACAGTATGGGGCTTCGAGGATCTATCGATTATGGGCACCTTTCTATCTTCCATCTGTAAAAATAAATTACAAATGATTTTTCTAATAGTACTGGGTGTCAACTGATCTGAGCTATTCACCTTGGCGAGGTTGGGACTAGATAGGGATCGTTTTAATCCTGAATTATTCGTTGATCCTTCGGATTTCAGGGGCTCTTTGTAGACTGTCAGGGTATCGTCGTGCCTGGGGGAACCCTTCAGACGTGCTTCCTCTCTTCTTTTTTCTGCTTCCTCTATTTTCCTGGAGAAATTAATATTTCTTACTATTGGCATGGATAAAAAAAAATCAATAGAAAAACTTAGGGAATACGCTAGGAAATTCTATTGGAATTCTCGTTAAAATTCTATTTGTTTTTTTGCGCTGAATCTATGAGATATTTGATAAAAAAAAGTCAATAGATTTTTATGCTTCTATACGAATGAATATTCTCTTGCAATTTTTTCTGTAAGAATATTTGGGCATAAATTTTCCAAGTTTTTTAAACTCGGATCCTGTAATGCAAAACAAAACAAAATATAGTGGAAAAAACTTGGAAAATCCGTGCCCAATAATTTTAGTAGAAAAATCTGAAGAGAAAAATTCGAACAGAAAAAACGACATCAATTGACTTTCCTATCAAATATCTAATAGAATCAGCATAAAAAACAAATGGAATTTCAACGACAATTCCCTAAAACTGAAATAGAATCCCCACAGAATTTCTTGAGAATTCCAATAGAATTTTCTAGCTTATTCGCTAAAGTTTTCTATCTTCACTGGTGGAAAAAAATTCAAATTAGCTGATTAGTTCAATAAAAATATAATAATTACTGTTGTACATCTCTCCTCTGTCTCACAAGTCCCTGCAATCTCATCTTCATGTTTCTCAATCCACTATCCAACGTGTGCTGTTTATTATGCTGTTTATTTTCGCCATTCCACACCAAATTCTCACTGATCCTGGCCAACTCAGCCTCCTTCTCCTCCTTACTCTTGAGAATGGCAGAAATAGTTTGCAGTACAGTATGCTTCTGCTCATACGTCGACTCCAAGTCCTCACCATCATCAGAGTCCACATTACTGCTCTTCGTGAGCATGGCTAAGATATCGTACTCCAATTGCAACGCCTGTCTCTCCAGCTTCTCCTGGTCCTTGAGATCACTAGTAATCTTCGTGAGTAACGAATACATCAGTTCGAGTTGGGGATTGGGGGCGAGAGCTCCTGGCTTACTGCTCCTGTCGATGACAGGCCTCGATGGTTTCTCCTTCTCCACGTTGAGCCTGTCAATCTCCTCTGAGAGGTGCTTCATGTCCACGTCCTCGTCCTCGTACGATGGGTATTTCGTTGCTGATTGGTTTGACTGGAGCAGTCGTTTGCTGAGAACAGAGTCATTCACTTTGGCATGCAGCCCAGGAATGTCCGATCCTCGTCTCGACACGTCGTTGTTGTTGTTCTTCGATGCATAATTTATTACGGCTTTGGGGCCTTCCTGGGTCATCCAGTCTGGATATCTGATGTCATCCAGGATTTCGTCGAGAGTGTTGTCCATGGGAATGGGCTTCAACACTCGAGGATTCGTCGTGAAGGATGGGTAGACGTTCAGCCACTCGGAGAAGCCACCGTGGAGGATCAGGTGCTTGCTGAGGGCCACACCTGGGTCCCACTTGGTCAGGATCTCCCTCATTATCGAGACGTGGCTGGTGGGTTTCAGCGTCAGTCGAGTCGTATCCCAGTCCATCAGAACTATCACGTCCACGAACTTCTGACTTCGTTCACTGTAGAGTTTTACTTGACTTGGACTAGTGGACTGGAGGTAAAGCTCAAACTTCTTGGCAGTTTTTCCAAAGACTATCTCAGAGCTGGGGATGTTGATGCACTTGTCAGTCTTGATTCTGGACCGCTGGTAATCCTCCAGGGATCTAATGTCGATGATTAGGTAGCGTTTACCTGCTTGAATTATGGGAAATAGTTCGGTGCATGGAATGAAGTCGTCGACGACTTTCTCGGATACTGGGTCATCGTCGGGGATCTCAGGCAAGTTTAGGGGATCGTCCTCGTTGTTGTCGGTTGAATCGTTTTTGTTTAGACTCTTGTTGTTGGTGGAATTTGTCAGGGAGTTTGTGGGAATGTTGTTCGATGATGGAATGCTTGCATTTACGGTTCTTATTATGGCTTCTTGCAGTTCCTTTGCTTGATTAATCTGTAAGTTGAAATTAGACATGAAAAATTCTTCATTCATTGAAGAGGAAGTGAATGATTGTTTTAATCTTTTATAATTCGAGTTCTGCAGAGTTGAATATGAAGAATTCATTCAACACTTCTAGTATTGATGGGGACAGAAATTTAATAACTGCTTTTAATCATAACTGACTCGAGTTCTGCAACGTTGAATACGAAAAAATTTATTACATTTCCCTTAGTTTTATCAATCTCGAAATAAAAACGATAAATATCAAAAATTCTTTCAACACTTGCAGCATTGATAGAGATTGAAATTTAATAACTGCTCTTGATCATTAATGACTCGAGTTCTGCAGAGTGGAATATTCACAATTAAATGCAATATCCTATCGTTAATTCACAACTTTACCTTCGCTGTAGCATTGAGTTCTCTCTTCAGTTGTACATCCAAATTCCTCTTCTGGAGCTGATCAACTATGTAAAGGTACCTTGTCAATAAGACATAAGCCTTTCTGATCTTCTTGTCCTTGTGGGCAATGAGGCCCTCGGAGAGCATAGGAGAAAGTCTCTTAATCAAATCCGTCGATTTGACATTTCTTATGTCCTTCCTCGCTTCTTGAGTCCAATTTGCCAGCTCTCGACTGTCCTGACGTAGGTTCACCATGGTGGTCATTATTCTACGTCACTCCACGTCAGTAAAGGACATCGAGACAGGGCGTCCTGGGAAAAACCACAGAACAGGAATTTCAAGTTCTCGATTCTGAGGGGCTACAGTGACACGTATGCTTCATTATTTCACAAGGACGTTGTTGTTGGGTTTCCTTGGTGAACATCTGATATTCAGGGCTAGCCACTGACTAATACACTACTACTCACCGACTTCAGAATGCACTATTCGTGGGATTTAGCGTTAAATAAATCGACATGACACTTGGGAATGATTCTCCAACATTTCAACACATTTAATAATTTAAGTCGAACCGTCAAAATTGACGACCGGTGAGGTTTCCCTGGAGAATTAAAATCCAGCACTGACGGTCGCCATATTGGTTATTGGCATTTGACCTTGCGAGTTGGAGAGATCCGATCAATTAGCCCCTCATGTATAGATATTCCAAATTTTTATTTTTGTCCTCATTGAAGTAGTTTTGAAGAGAATTGCGAGCTAATAAAAAACATTTGCTAGTGAGTACTTTTTTTAAAATAAATTTTTGAAAAATCACCTCTGAAAAAGAAGGCGTTATCCCCTCTATTCCATTATTTTCAAAAAAATTTATCACCAATCGATAGCAAATTGTTTGAAGATTTTTGCGAGTTAAGAAAAAATCGTCAATGCACTCCTATTATTGTGTAAATTAACAATTCCAATTTCAACTGAAAACCAGAGTTGATGACCAGAGTTTGTAGCAGAGATGTCAGACAAGATATGAATGTTTTTTTGGGCTCAAATGAAAGAGCGGCTCGAAAAATGGCGTGCAGAAGTCTTTAAAGATGACAAATCTCTCTAAAGATGATGTCTGTTTTCAATTGAGAAGCGCAATTGTGACAACATTGTCCAGTGGGGTCTAGGAGTCTCCCCTGGGTCAAAACCATCTTTAGAGGTCCTAGCACGCCATTTCTCGACCCGCTCTTTCATTTGAGCCCAAAAAAACATTCATATCTTGTCTGACATCGCTGCTACAAACTCGGGTCTACAACTCGGGCCTTCAATTGAAAACCCGAGTTGAAGACCCGAGTTTGTAGCAAAGATGTCAGACAAGATATGAATGTTTTTTTGGGCTCAAACGAAAGAGCGGGTCGAGAAATGGCGTGCTAGGACCTCTAAAGATGGTTTTGAACCAGGGGAGACTCCTAGACCCCACTGGACAATGTTGTCACAATTAGTACTAACTAGCAAATGTTTTTTATTAGCTCGCAATTTTTTTCAAAACTACTTCAATGAGGAAAAAAATAAAAATTTGGAATATCTATACATGAGGGGCTAATTGATCGGATCTATCTAGTTGGAGACAGCTCGAGAGTGGAGAATGTCCGACTGTCGCCATCTATTTTCGGATTTTTCGAAGTGGGATTAGCTGGGTGGGAATGTGAGGCTAGACGAGGCTGTGAAAACACGTGGACCTACTCCGACTTCAAACAATTATTGTTTTTTAGAGGTATTTTGAGAAAACACTGGCTATTTCGAGATTTAGGGAGCAACAATGGTGGTATTCACCTGCAACAATTGCGGAGACTCTCTGCAGAAACCCAAAGTCGCTAAACATTATCAGTTCCAATGCCGGAATGGGGTTTCGTTGACTTGTGTGGATTGTTTCAAAGATTTTATGTAAGTTTACTGGACAATAATTTTGGGAAGAAAATTATTAGACTTTTTCTGTTGGATATCGTCTGAAAAATTAACGTGGTAAAGTTAGCTGACATGATTTTCATGTTTTGGCAAGGATAAACAATGGAATTATTTAATGAAATTTCAACAGAACTCCTGGAGAAATTCTTGGAGAAAACGTTAGGTTTTTCTATCAATTTTTGCTTCCGAATGGAAGTCTTGTAATCGTTCACATTTAAGTGGATTTTTTGTGTTAACTCGACCCATTATGATCCGAAAATTCAATTACGTCGATTCGCTAATGAATGGATGCAATTGAATCGATCGCCATCAATTAAAATTTAATTCATCGATTAGTTTTTTCAATTTTCGAATTTTTGTCGAGAATCGGTTGTCCCACGATAACTTAAAAAAATGTTCTGAATTGATTGAATGATGGCTTGAAAAATTTGCTCGGATGTCCCTCTGACCGGGTTCGAAGATGAAGGCGGTAGCAATAATCGTTATTTTGATTTATTCGAAAATTTTCCAAAATTTTGTATTTTTTGAAAATCAGAATTCCGGGGATATCATTGAATATCATGCTTCAAATGGATTCAATCATAGTTTAAAATGTTTGTTTTAATGCCATCAATTGAAGTTAACAGATGATTACGACAGCTACATTGTTTGATTCGATTTTTGTAATGTTTGTTGAAAATTGCGAATTTTTCATGAAGTTCCCTGAAAGTGAGCTTTCTGATGGTGTCTTCAAATGTGATGTTTTGAATTCATTCAAGTATGTGTAAATAAAATTTTTCTATTAACATTTTATCGAAGGGCTGAGAGGAGAGATAGAACTGTAAAAAAGACAATCGGTTGTGTAGAAGAAAATGGATAATAAGAATAATGAAGTAAAAATTACGTAAAAAGAAATCTTATTCAATCCAATTAAATAAAATAAACAATGAATTATACATGATAGAAGGAAATGATGTGCAAAATAACCATTCAGAAGCATATTTCTAATTTATCAGCAAAAATGACTGTACTATATACAATACAAGAGCAATTTCTCACGTGTTTTCAAATATTTTTCCATTCAAAATACAGTCGTTAAACCTAAATTTCAACGAAGCATTTAGATTTCATGAAGTGTCCATTGAATTGACACCCGAAATTCTGTTAATTAAATCACAATTTTGATATTTCCAGTGGTGACGAATACGTAGCCCACACAAAGTGCATAACCGAAGCTGAAAGATACGGAGGAAAAGATTACAAAGCAAAGCCATCAGCGAACAAAGGTGAACGCAAGCAGCAAGAATGGATAAACGTAGTCCAGAATGTCCTAACAAACTCCACGAATTTATCACGAGAAGAGAGATCATTCCTGCAGTCCATATCACGACACCAGAACATTCCAAGGAAGAAAGCAAAGTTTCTGAATTTCGTGAAGAACGCTGTGGGCTACAGACTCAACATGAGTGTCGTTGACAGCTGCTGGGGGAAGATGGAGAGTGCCTTCAAGGAAGCAACAGAGAGCAAACCTGAGGCACCAAAAGCTGCTGAAAAAACTGAAGAAATCGTCCCCGAGAAGGCAGATCATCAGGAAACTCACGTAGTGGAGAATGAGAATAACGAAAATATATGTCGAGAGAATGGAGACTCGTCAACGGGGAAAGAAAACACTTCAGAGAACGGGAATGATGGGCTGGCGAATGGGAAGAAGAAGAGGAAAGCCAAGAAACGTCAGTTGGAGGGAGAAGATTGTTCTGAGGGTCAAAATGGTGAGCCCTCTCCCAAGAAGAGGACCTCAGATGCTGCACCAGCCCCTGAGGAACCACCGGCAGCTTCTGAGACTGCGAAATTCAGTTGGAAATCGAGTATTCTTGAAATTCTTGGGGACAAAGACGACATTTCCCTCAAGAAGTTGAGGAAAAAAGTCGTGGAGAGGTACCTGAGTCACGTTGGTGATGCTGTCACTCGAGAGAAGGTCATCTCCAGGTTCGAGAAGAAACTGAAAAAAATATCTGAACTGCAATCAGTCGATGATAGAGTCAAACGTGTATAAAAGCCAATTGCAAACCTTTTTTTTGTAAAAAATAAAATGATGTTAAAACCTGGAGAATTGTAGATTCCTTTATTATCAATGGGTGGATTCCTCATCTTCAAAAATCCACGATGAGCTTCACTGCTGCACCGTTACCATAAATATCTCAGATACTCTCATGAAACTCCAGTCTATCGTTTGAATTTTCCCTGACAAATTGAAACTCAACATTTTTTTCCTGAAATGCAATAATTGATATCGCTGCACTCAACTATCCTCCAATTGTCTACGTCAATTGAGGTCAATTATACCTGATACAGTAATTTTACTATTTTTTTTCTCTCAACGAAATCGCAGTTTAGGGGCAAGTCAATATGGTAGAAACGCTGAATTTTTTATTCAATCGAGTACTATTAATATACTGGTCTTAGGGCAGAAATTGAGGGATTAATGAGTGTTAATTATTCCTCTGATGTCTCAACGAGGGAGAAATTCACAGTGAGTAATCTGAGAGATACTGCAGACTCTTCCTTTCTCCAGTTCAGTAATAAGTATTTTTTTGTTGAAATGATCTGATGACTGTGCATTGGCCTGAACGGTCTCCAGCATTTTGATAATAATTAACGAATAATCAAATAAGAAGATATACTTGTCAATGTCCCAAAGTTTCAGCTCCAGGGTAGCCCTCGTCAAGTGCTTCTATATGCTTTCAGAATGCTAAGAAAGAAAGATACAAAATTTTTTCGAAAATACTCTGAATATGCAATAAAATACGTAAATGATGAGTTATACACGGTTATACACTTACGTACAAAATAATAACTTTCTCCAGAAAATTTCATTGTATTTCTATTCAAATTAGGTTTTAAGAACTATTATTAACACATTCCTCAATTAAAAAAAAAGAAGTGTATTTCTATTGAACTTTCTATTAGTTCCTGGACGATTTTCGATTTTTCTATACAACTGATTCTATTGAAATATTTTCCGTAGAAATTTCTCGACTCAAATTTCCTATCGAATTCGCCAGGTTTTTCTACTCAAATTTTTCGTACGTACAGTTAGAATCTCAAATCGAGATACTCTGTTGAAAATTTTCGTCTGAAATTCCCGGCACAGTTTTCGGAAATTTTTATCAAATTTAATTACCCTGAAATTTCAAGGAATTTCGTCATTAAAAATTCTGAATTTCGTGGAAAAATCAAGGAGAACTGTAAATTTTAGTTTCATTTTTCCCTGAAAATTAATAGAAAACGAGAAAATTTTCAGAACAGTGACACTGAATGCAATTTAGGAAGAAAAAACAATGAAATTTCAATGTAATTGGGCAGTGAATATTCATATTAGATTGGAAATTCAAGTAAATTAAGGAAATCTCGTCTTAATGCTGCTTAAAATTCTGGAATTTTACTGAATTTTCAGTAAACCCTGAAATTTCATGATTTTTTTCCCCCTAAATCGCACTCAGTATCACTGTCCTGAGAATTAATAGTCAACTGTCCATGAAATTTAATTTTTTCCAACAGTGTAGTCTCAAACCGCAACAAAATGACTATTTTTCCAGATTCTACGTTAATTCACAATTGAATCCACTGTGTTCCCCACGAGACAAAATACACAAACCAATAATTTAATAAGTCATATAATGAGACTTTGGTTCACCGTAAAAACGCCGTCCAATCGAGATAAAAACCGTCCAGGAAGTTGAAGATGCTGCAGGCCGTACGTTTACTAACGGAATTGGCGAGACCCAGTGATAATCGTCGTGACAGCGACAACATGGAGCCAGCGCAGGCATCTTCGAGCGATGTGTCCGTGCAATTTCGTGAGATATACAAGAATGGATGGCTGAGAAGAACCGACAAGACTGACAAGGAGACCAGTCGTTTCTGGGTTGCATTTTGCGTTCACGATGACACCGAACCCAGGCTCGAGGGTTTCACTGATCAAAAGCAGGCGACGACCCACTCACCCCTCTGGGCAAACTCACTGCGTGGTATTCAGCACATTTCGCCCACACTCTGTGCCACATCCAGGCACGATTACGAATTTTGCGTTAATTTTAATGACGACAGGGTACTGAGACTGGCTGCACCCACCTACCAGGGAATGCTGGACTGGGTGCAACTGGTGACGAGAAAGTTGACGGATATGAAGATACTGAGGCCAAAGGAGAATGTTTACTCGAGGGGTCCCGAGAGAATAGCCACGAGGGATCCAACTAGTCCACTGCCACCACCACCATTACCTGCTGGGCCAGAGGGAACTGTTCAAACTCCACCTGGTACACCTTCCAGTGGACCCAGCACTTCGAGTCCTGGAATGGAGGTAGGGGTAGGGGATAATGGAGATTAGTTTTGGTAATCCTATCTGGCCTTCCCTGGGCCAATCAGAGTTCAGTATTCAATAACATGAAATACTTCCCAATTAAAATTACAGCGGTTATTTCCCCCTAGCTTTTGATCATTTCCCTGTAGCTTTTGATAATTTCTCTCTGGCTCTGCAATTGTTTCTTTAACCAAATAACTGTCAAATATTATCCTGTGGAGTGAAAGAAAGTCATGAAGAAAGTCAAAATGAGTCGGCTTAGGAAGGATCCGATTATCAAAAATAATCCGTTGAATTTCAGATTTTTTGGAAGCATTTTACTCCTTTAATCCTTCAATTTAATCACACACACACACAAGGTGGTCAAACTTCGTATTTTCACATTTCAGACCATTTTACATCATTTCCAAACAAAATTAGAGAATCTAAAAATAGAAAGATTTCAATGCTTCCATTCGGAAACAAAATGACGTTACTTTTGCATTCCCAGTTGGAGGCCATTGTCGAGACTCATCCGATGGTCTTCACGTTTGAAGACATCTCGATCGAGGAACGAAGAAGGCCTGTGCAGGCACAAACCCAGAGAACTACACCACCAACTCCAAGTCCTAGGGTCATTCCTGCTCCTGACCCTGCGGACTCGGGGTATGAGAGCATTTTCATGGCTTCTTCGTACTCTGTACCTGGTGATTCGTCTAGGAGTGCTGTCAGGGAGCCTGCGGCTAGTCAGGAATCGTCGAATGATAGGTATGCAGCGCTGATGGAGTACAGGAGCTCGGGGCCTTCGGAAAATCGAGAGAGTGCTCGGAGTGCGTCGTCTGCAGAAAATGTTCGACAAGCACCTGCAACGAGTGTCAGGACTGGTGGTGAAACGAGACCTGGGGCGGCTAATATTCCTAGACAGCTCACGCTTCGGGAGCAGCAGATCTATCAGTTGAAACGAGAGATGAGTCATCGGGCTGGGGTCAGACTGCAATTAGGGAGGAGGGACTGTAAAGACAGCATTGCCTTTGTTGATAGCTTTGGATCCATCTGGTGAGAACTGTATTTCATGTATCCTTCATCTTTGATTTTATTGCACGAGAATTTAGTGATCCCCAGACAGAAAAAATAAACGTTGTTTCAAGATTTCAAAAGTGTTAGAATGAAATTTTTCGAGAGACTTGAGTGAAGATTTGAGAGACGCAATTTGAGAAGTTTACATTCATGTTTCATTGAGAACTCAAATAAGTTGTGGAATTTTCATCTTATTCCAGTTGACATCGATGGACTCACTTGAATTCTATCTTAAATTTAAAATTTTAATGTTTTCTCGGTGTGGAGATTGAGAGAAAATTTAAGTTTTGAAAGTCTTAAAGTAGGATAAACATAACTTACATTTTGAAGATAAAAATCGGAAGTCAATTCTAAACGGAAGTTGATAGGAATAAAAACATTCTGGTTGAGTTCGTTAGGTCTGGAAAAATAACACAGTCTTATGAGAAAATGAGTTTTCCGCGGTTAGAGAGAAGATTAAAATGAAGAAAGAATCTTAAAAAAATCGGAAAAAATCAGTAAAAATTCTCTGTCTAATACGAAAATTATTGTCAGTGTGAAAAATTTGTGACAAATAATGATACAATGATATAATAAAGATAAAAAATAATGACAGAGAGAATTCGATGAATGAATTTCTTACTCTCGTTGAAGTTAGAATTCATGTAAGAAATGATCAATGATGAATAATTTTTTTTTTGCATTACAAATGGTAAATCGAGACTTTGGCAGTTCTTAACTTAAGAAGTCTGAAAACTGAAGCTCGACTTTTGGTCTGCAGGATTGCTGGATGGAAGCAAAAAGAACATCCTTTTCTCTACAATGTTCTTCACGTGGGAGATATGGTGATCAGTGTAGCGGGTATTTCCCCACCAAATGCGGCGACGATTCGTGACATTATGAAGGGAATCACAACGCCACGTGTAAGTATTCCTCACTCCAACTGGTTAAGGATATCCAAGTACTGTGGCTATTTTATTCTCCAGAGCTTTCACTTAAGCCCCATTTGACTCCAAGTTTCCGGACATTTTATAATGATTTTATTATTTAAACTTTGCAGGTCTGAATTTGAATCTCAATATTGAACCGTTAGAAAATGTTTTAAAAATCTGAAAAAAGAATTAGGAAATTTACTTTTGGCGGAAGACTGATGAAATAATTAAAAAATTGCAAGTTTTGAAAAGAAAATCGATTTCCCCACTATAAAAATCATTTGTTCACCATCGTACCAAATTTATTCATATTCATAATTTTACCAGAAATCAATTTCATGCCTGAAAAAAGTTTTCTGAAAGTTTGTAAACAATTTGAGTTATTTATTTATAAATAACGAATGTTTAAAAAAATAATGAATCTGTGCAAAAATTGTTTTCAATTTTTTTTCGCCCAATCTAATTGACAAATTTGATGATTGAAAATGGTTGAATCTATAGTGTAGTCTGCGCCAAACTGTAAAAGATACTTGGACATCCTTAATATATCAAATGTTCACGGCAACGTGAGAAAGTTTGTAGTTTACGGAAATGGAATTTTATCGATTTACAAAGAGGATGATGAAACATGGAATTCCTCTTGCGGTCAAGGCCACGATCAAATTAATCCTTAGAAACTCATAATTCCAACAGGTAGAGGTGATTGTCCGTCGTCTACCGTATGCTCAAGCTATGACCTTGACCAAACGAACAGATACTGAGGATTTTGGTCTCGAAGTTAATGGCAATGAGGTATCCGGGGTTTCGGGTGTTGCTTTGAATCTTGGATTGTTACCACTGGCTGACGCAACAGATCCCACTGCCCCTGCTGGCTCCAACACAACCTGGACACTCACCGAGATTAATGGGAGACCGTTGAATATATTCGATGGCGGTGCAGCTGAACGATTGAGGGCTGTTGGACGGGATATTTCTATTGTTATTCAACCGACAGATCTTGTGTCGTCGCTGCGTAAAAAATTACGCGTTATACGCAGCTATAAAAACTTTATTCTACAGTGAATTAATGACGTTTGAAAAAATTGTATAGACATTTTTATGGGAATTTCAAACAGAATCCTATACATGCTGGCAAAAATCGTACGAAAGATTAGTGTAATCGGGTAATTGGAGAGTGAAATTGTGTTTCAGGAATTTTTATTTGGAATCAAGGAAAAAATGTGAGGGAAGGGGAAATTTTTCTTTTTGAAACTCAATTTTTTACGAACGCATACTAAAATTTACGAGTTTTTGAGGGATTGGTCAGGAAAAAGGGATGATTTAATTTTCAGGAGAGTCGTTGAAGTCGATTTATTGGGAAGAAACTCGTGAAATTTTAGATTTCTCCGTAAAAATTTGAATTTCCAATGCCGAAATTCCTTCGACTTTTAGTTCAATTGAAAAATGTGATAAAATTTTCGAAAAAATGCAGCAGAAATTTCGGAGCATCCTATAGACCATATTTATACGATTTTTCCAACGTGATTAACTTAATAAATTGAACATAATTTTTTAATTCGTCGGTACTGTTACCCGCGACTAAGTGCGAGAGGCCGATTTGACAGCTACATCACAAAGATATGAGATATGGGGGAGAGAGTGTATGGTAATCTGTAGAGCAAAGCGTATACTGTGATAATTTATACGTGCGCACATGTACGTTACAACGTGTACGTTGGCAGCACGAGAACGTACTAATGTTTTGATAAATAAAAGTAGCAACCGATGAAAGGACCAAAGGGGGATGGAGTTGAGAGTGATTGATTACGTGAATAATTTGAAGAGGATGAATTGAGTTGTCGGAAATTTATTGGCAATGGAAAGTAACAATTGTAGAGGAGAGGGGTAAAATGGAGCTTCTTAAATGGTCAATAGCTGGAGAAGAGCGCAATTTCCCAATTTTTTTTTTTCATTTTTTAGGTAATTTTCTCAAGCTAATGAAGATTAAAGCCCGTCCATTTTACTCCACAAATGGTATGACATGTACAAGTTGGTGAGTATTACCCGTCGTTTGAATCACACGTTGAAGATGTATTATTCCAATCAGAGTTATTATGTTATTATCACTCGAGGGATTTGATGGACTGATAAGTTGGAATTTTTGGAGAATAAAATTGTTTATACCACTGCTTGAATGCTTTTATTCTTCTGTCTCCAGGGAGGTAAATGGGATTCTTAAGGAATTCTTTGTGGTTCCATACGTAATGTAGTAAATAAGAGAGTTTTACTTCATTAAAGGGGTGGATTTATTGTTATGACAGACAGAGAGAGACAAATTCATTCGTCTCAAACAAAAGCCTAACTCCATCTTAATCATTACATAATTCAATTGTCATTTGATTCACACTTTCAAGCATTCCATAATAGTAATTATCTCTCTCTATATTCTGAATTTATGAATTGAAAAGTGATTGAAGTACTTTTCGAATTACTTGAATATTCACGAAATTAACTGAGTTGTCAATGAAGAAATGCACAGAAAGGTCATGTGATTTTGTCGTTAAAAATTTCAAGCTTTTTCACTTGAAATTTCAAGAGTAATTTTCTTACAGTGCATATCGCGCGGTCTGTCCTCATCGGCCGGGGCCCCCCGTCAACTCGAAAAATCCATAACTACTTCATATGATTTTTTTTATTCTGCAGTGTTAGAAATTTTTTGAAATTTCATGGAAGGTATAATAGTAAATCTACCGGCGACGGTGGCCGAAGTGATAAAAATCGCTCGGTCGGACGGTGGGATCCCTGAGGCGCGGGCTCGAGCCCGGCTTGGAGCAATTGGGGTTTTTAATCTTTCGGATACCGTTGAACGGAAGTCTAGAATTAGGAAAACATGCTCCGATGAAGCTCGGTCGATGGACGCCCGTGACGACCGAGGTTTTTCATGGTTTCCCTTGGTCACCAGGAGAATCCAAGGAGTCTGTACATGGGGTACAACTCCTGGGGTTCAATGCGACACGGTTGGAGAGGAAGTCGGCCCACGAAACCGCAATTATGTCAAAACTCGAATCGGGTATATATGGCAAAGAAAATAAAAAAATATAGTAAATCTCATGAGAGTGACTTTGAATTGGATTTAGGGAAAAAATGGTTTTGAAATTTCAAGCTTCAAGCAGACTTCACCGAAATTCATGAGTTTTCAGTGGGAGTGAGATGGAAATTTCACAACTTTATTGAATTTTCAGTGGAACATGAATATTCAGAAACAAAATGACATGAATTACTGAGCACGAGCTCGGAACTTCTCTCCGTTCATATACCGGGGTCCCCCCCTGGGACATTCGCAGAGGGTTCAAGTGTTATTCGCGATGATTAACGATTTTTTTCGTACAGATTCTTTCGCTCGGTTGCTCGATCGTAACAGAAATCCAAGCATGATTGGCTCTGCCCGTCGATTGATACGCGGTACTTCTCTATCACGAGTTTCATCTGATACTTCGTTGATCGTGAAGTTTACGATTTTAGTCATGAGTTTAATTTCTTTCAGGCTGTTACCCTACAGCCGCTGTTCCAAAATTTTTCTCAATGTAGAATTTCCTCTAATTTTTCTACCTGTTATCAGAATTAAAGGACACAGTAAGTGAATAACAGTGGGTCACTCCTGCGTGATCTAAAATTCAATGGAAATTGTGATATATTTTACATCATGAAGATGGAAAAACAATCGAGATAACGTTTGAAAGATAATCCACCCGGGCCTTAAATAGGAAAAAAAGTGCAAAATTAACAATGAATATTACTCCGTTGGCGCGGGAAAATTTACTAAACGTGAGGGTGATTTGCAGCGAAACTGTAAAATTTACCGTGTATCCCCTCAAAAATTATCCCAGTGAACGTGAATAATTGCTCTAATCGCTCGTATAATTTTTCTGTGAGACTGATTTTTACTGAACTCGTTTGGTAAAAATTCACTTGCGTCCGTCCTCATGACGTTCAAACGGGTACAAAACAAACAATCCCCAGTCGGTATGGGAAACTTTACTAAACAGGAAGATAATTTTTGCATACATAAATGTATTTTTTCCCTAGAAAATCGTATGATATCCAAAAAAAAACTGTTTTTTTTTCACTGAACAAATACACAAATGGAACAAATTCGCTCCATCTTTTCGAAGTAATTTTTGTCCAACTTTTCTCTTCGTGTAGGATAAAAAAAAATTAGCGACAAACTTTTTCTCGATTTAAAAAAATTTATATTTATAAATAAATTGTTCAAGTTTGTGTTGAATTATTTATTTTGGCTACAATCAACGATAATAAGATGACAATCTCCAATTCATTATTAATAATTCCTTAATTAATAAACATTATTAGAACTACTCAAATTAATTAAATTATTTCTTTACGCTTAGTGCACAATAATTGATTAAATAAATAATTCTCAGAGCGATTATTTGCTGAAATCTTGTCTAAATACAAAATTACGATTTCTTTATCAAACTGCGTTCACACAATGGCAGACATTCCCATTCAGTTAACAAAAAAATACACATTCACTCGTATTTAATTTATATCACAGTGAATTACCACTCCAGGGATTTGATCGACTGATATGTTGGGCTGTTCGCTGAATAGAATTGTTTGTACCACTTTCTGAAAGCTTTTATCTTCTTCTCCTCGGGGAGCAACAGTGGATTTTTGAGGAACACCTTGTGATTCCAAACGTGCACATCTCTCTCGAACATGAAGCACTCGCCCAGGAATATGATTTTCCCGAAGAGTGCATTCCAGGGAGTGGAATAGACGGAATGCGTCACTCGGAGGAGGAATGGCTCTATCGGTGTGACTGTTTGAATTATGAACATTTTACCGAGGCTTGTGTTCATAATAAGTTCTACGTAACCGGGCCCGATCTGCTCTGCCATTACTCGGAGGTGCATTAGTGAGAATTTATCAAAGAGTATCAGAGTGTGAGACAGCGCCGCGAAAGCTTGATGGGGTCGCGCGGGGACTTCCTCTGGGAGGTGATCAGGTCGGGGTTTCCAGTCAGTGTCAGTCCACGAATGTCGAGACAGACATGGTAAGTATGAGCCGAGGAACATTCCGGGTCCGTGGAGGGCTGTCAAGTGCGCCCAGTCTGCTCCATTCTCCGGAACTTCCTGGGAAGAATTTGCTTTTTTGATTATTCGAAAAATGTAGCCAATTCTGCGGAAAATTCTACTGAATTTCTGTTGAAAAATCTATTAGATTTTGGCAGATGCTATTGAAGAATTCTGCCGATTCTGCGCGTGTTCAATGGAAACTTTTTTTTGTAATGAGAGGTAAAAAATATACAGTGTAAAAAATACAAAAAAATTATGTCGAGGGAAAAATCAGAAAAGGATATTTTTTTTAAATTCGATTCTATGGGTGATTTTGTTAACAAATAAGTCCAGATAAGTTTAAAAGTCTTTATTCAAAAACATGCACCTGCGTCTAACTCCTCAGAGGAACTAACTCAACACTGGTAGAGAAAAAAATGAAATTTCAGGTTTCACTGAAAATTCAGTAAAATTCTAAAAGTTTAAACAGGATAAAGATGAGAATTCCTTGATTTATTTGAATTTCCAATCTGATATGAATAATCAGTGTCAAATTACATTGAATTTTCAGTTAAGTCTGAAAATTCATGATTTTTTACCTCTAAATCCCATTCAGTGTCACTGTCCTGAAAATTCAAGAATATATTTATCCGAATTTTCTGTTTTTTCATTTGGTTTTCAGGAAAAAATGGAATTGAAATTTACAGTTCTCTTTGAGTTTTCCACGAAATTCTGAATTTTCAATGACGAAATTCCTTAAAATTTCTTTAACATCATTGCTCTCTATTCACTATTGTAACATGTGAATTAATATAGATAAGAATAAGGATGAAATTAAATTAATTTAATTGTGAAGACGGAAATGGAAATAAAATAAAATAGTATAAATTAAGGTAGTGACGGGCGCGAAGCGCCCGTTCGCTAGTATATAAAAGAAATATCAAATTAATTTTTGCCATCATGCAGAGTAAACTCCAACAAATTCAAATCTAGTGGTTTTTTCATTCTCTCACCTGTATATGAGAGTTAATTAAGTACTCGTTTCTTCCCTGGCACCAGTAGCTGTTATCCGCAATTTGCGCTATTGGCTGGGGAAACCACTCGGGGTCTTCCATTTCAGCATGATACCACACGAAGATAAGATTATTTACCTCGAGAGATTTCCACGCTCTTACTCTGGCATTGGGTGGTACTGTAATTTCATCGTTCACGTGTCAATAGGATGGAACTGGAAAATTTTTGCGGAACACTTACTCTTCTCCGAATAGGGTACGTTGTTGCACTCTCCGTCTGGGCGAAAACTCCAGTCGTGAAAGGGACAGTGAAGACAGTTGCCAACTACTTTGCCACCCTCTGCCATATTCGCACCTAGGTGCGGGCAGTAGGCATCTAGAATGTGAACATCTCCATTCTTCGTTCTGTTGGGAAAAAATCGGTAATTGTTGGTAGAACAACACGGAGAGAAAAATCGGTGAAAAAATACACTACAAAAACCAGGCACACGGAGAGAAATATTCAAGAAAAATTACGGAACATTTCACGTAATCCGCAAGCGAGAATCGTTTTCAGTGAATTTCTATAGGAATATAAGAGAATAAATCTGAAACGTTCAGTAAATTTTCGGGTCTGTCACCGAAAAAATACGAAAAAGTCACGTAATTTTTCTGGAAGTTGTAAAATCTAACAGAAACTTCAAGACTTATTATGCCTCAGAACATGAAAATTCTTGGATGTTTAAGAATTTTTACGAAAAGTTCCGGAAAAATTACGGAACGTGTTGTTCAAATCTCTCCCTCATGGTGACTCATGGCTAGCTGTGAGGCGTCGGACGGATGAGTAATTTTTACGGAACAGATCGTACAATTTACGTGACGATTGACACTTTTTATTGAATTTTACTTCGCTCCCAGATTACGTTTCGAAACGTAATTTTTACGTCTTTTTTCTGGTAATTTTTATTGAATATTTCTCTCCATGTGTCTGACAGCTATCTGAATTTAAGAGTTAGATGGTAAAAAACGTCTGAATCTTCAAAAGTGTCTGAAAATCTAACTGATGTCTGAAAATTTTAAGCACCGCTTGTGTCTGAATCTGATGTCTGTATCTTAATTTCAGACTTAAGTGTCTGAAATTAAGATCTTAGTGTCTGAAATTGAAATACCTCCATTGATTCAGACATATTTTAATATCTCAAAAGTGTCTACAAAATCGTCCCAAAAGTGTTTGAAAAGTGTCTACAAAAGTGTCTGAAATTGAGACATTAGTGTTCGCTAGTGACGCCGTCGAGACTAGTCGAGAATTATTTTGAATAGATCATCACGGTCTGGAAAAACATCGAGAGTTTTAGAATCGTCGCAATCTCGAAAGACATTGGATCGGTACATCTCGTCACAGATCCGGGACGATTTATCTTGTCTGGATCTCGAGATTTTCGGTTTTTTAAGTTCACGAGACGAGACGAGACCGATATCGAGACAAACATTTGAAAAACAGAAAATACTGAAACTCAGACGTGATGGATTCTTCTCGTGACGAATTGCCCCGATCCAATGTCTTTCGAGATTACGATTTCTAAACTTTCGATGTGTTTTTAGACCGTGATTATCTTTCCAAAATAATTCTCGTCTAGTCTCGACGGCATCACTAGTTTTCGCCGTGTAGTCCTAAAATTTTCCCAAAAAACGGAGCAAAAATGCAATGAGCGAAAAATTCAGGAGAATATAGTCATTTTTACTGAAGCCATTGAATTTTCTATGATTTTTTTTGTGCATGTAATGGTAGAGATTCCTGGAAAGTCAATACCACGTAACACATTTTCCATGAATAAGGAGTACCTGTAGACAGCAAAGGTTTCCCCTAACGCAGTCACGTGCTTCACCTCCTCTTTCTTCAACTCATGACTATCCAGAATTGCAAACCATCCATTTGGATAAACTGGATTCGCATCTCGAATATTTCGAAGTTTCACTGCAGTGTAATATGCCTTCTTCTTCGTGTCCAAATGCTATTTGACAAATACACATCTTCAGTGGAATTCAATTACTCATAGGAGGAGTCATTCATAGTTAAAAAATAGATTCCCTTGAATGCGGCAAGGTCCATTTGTTAATAGTTTTTTAAAAATTCGTTCCATAGAAAAATATCTGCCGAAGGCTGAGATGGAACTCGCAATCTCTCGCACAGTAAGCAGACACGGATTAATAGTTAATAGTTAATAGAAGCCCATTTTAAAGAACTATACTCTAAACAATTACTATTTTGTGCAATGAACTTTTAGTTAATTGTTGCTTCACTACAACAACTTATAATTCGTTAACTATTAACGAATGGCGTATTTGTCTCATGCTTCTTTCTATCAACAAAATTATTACTTAACTATTAAACTATACGATTTGTTAATAGTTTTTTTCAAATTCATTACTTCGAAAAACATCCGCGGAAGGTTGAGATCGAACTCGCAATCTCTCGCGCAGTAAGCAAACACGGATTAATAGTTAATACAAGTGCATTTTAAAGAAGTGTATACTCTGAACAATCACTATTTTGTGCAATGAACTTTTAGTTAATTGTTGCTTCACTACAACAGCTCATGATTTGTTAACCATTAACGAATGGCGTATTTGTCTCAACTTCTTTTTATCAACGAATTATTTAATAGTTAACTATAAAACTATACGATTTGTTAATATTTTTTTTTTAAATTCATTCCTTAGAAAAATATCTGCCCAAGGCTGAGATGGAACTCGCAATCTCTCGCACAGTAACCAGACACGGATTAATAGTTAATACAAGTGCATTTTAAAGAAGTGTATACTCTGAACAATCACTATTTTGTTCAATGAACTTTTACTTGAGTGTCGCTTCACTACAACAACTTATAATTCGTTAACTATTAACGAATGGCGTATTTGTCTCATGCTTCTTTCTATCAACAAAATTATTACTTAACTATTAAACTATACGATTTGTTAATAGTTTTTTTCAAATTCATTACTTTGAAAAACATCCGCGGAAGGTTGAGATCGAACTCGCAATCTCTCGCGCAGTAAGCAGACACGGATTAATAGTTAATACAAGTGCATTTTAAAGAAGTGTATACTCTGAACAATCACTATTTTGTTCAATGAACTTTTACTTGAGTGTCGCTTCACTACAACAACTTATAATTCGTTAACTATTAACGAATGGCGTATTTGTCTCATGCTTCTTTCTATCAACAAAATTATTACTTAACTATTAAACTATACGATTTGTTAATAGTTTTTTTCAAATTCATTACTTTGAAAAACATCCGCGGAAGGTTGAGATCGAACTCGCAATCTCTCGCGCAGTAAGCAGACACGGATTAATAGTTAATACAAGTGCATGTTAAAGAAGTGTATACTCTGAACAATCACTATTTTATCCAATGAACTTTTAGTTGAGTGTTGCTTCACCACAACAACTTATAATTCGTTAACTATTAACGAATGGCGTATTTGTCTCAACTTCTTTCTGTCAACAAAAACATTAGTTAACTACTAAAATATATTCATTTAGCCATATTCAACTATGCCATTTGTTAATAGTTAGCGAACCTATTAATAATGAATGAGCCATTCTATCGGCCATTGACTTCACTTCGTACTCTCCTGCACTGATAGCAGGATTTAGTTGCTGTGAGCGAGGCTTCTTAACTATTAATTCCATTCGTTCATAGTTAACGAACGGCCTTGATAGTTGAGAAGCCTCGTCGGCAGCAACTAAATCCGTCCATCTTCTCCGTCAGTGTGTACTCACCCTGACCCAATGAATTCTCCAAAAGAACACGAGGTAGATGATCACAGGCAAAACTAATGTCAGTAATATTCCCCACCAGCTTATCATCTCAATGTGTTAATCCGCAAACGAGTATTGAATCGACAGCGCCAAAAGCCACTGCGGAAAGATCACAGGAACAAACTATTTCGTAAATCTAGTGGTGAACATGATGCAGTAAACTCCGGGAATTCTAATGCCAAATATATTGTGGAATGATAACAATGTCGATGAAGTAGCCTAATAGGTTTTCGGCCAACTGAGGAGGGGCTCGGGACAACCAACCGTTTATATACTGTCCCCTCCTGATACATTCAGAAGAGCAGTCCGTATCCCTAACAGGAGTGATTTATTTTTTTACAGATTTAAGCGAAACGCTGACACTACGTATTCCCTAGCACCGTTATTCAATTATGCATACTCCGAACACAAATCCATGCATTATTGGCGCTTTACGTCGATGGACACTGCTCACTTCTATCAAAGGTCCCATCTAATATTTTATTTATAGTGAACTTTGCGATCTGAGAAGTGGTGATTTAAATTGATTTTTGCTGAGGTTACTTCCTGGGTAGTCCGGTCCAATTTTTCATCTTTCGGGAGAGAGAATGAAGGATGAGAAAAATTTGGGTAAATTCGTAGCAAAATTGAAATTCAGGGAATTTAGGGAATTCGGTGTAATTTTCAGTGAGAATAATTATAAATTTGAAATTTCATGACTTGTTTTTTCCCTAAATTGCATTCAGTGTAATTCGCTCGAAAAATACTCCTCAACAATCCATGAAGTTTCAATGTTTTTCCAACAATGCACGGAGAGAAATATTCAATAAAAATTACGTATCTTTTCCGCAATTCCGGAGCGAAATATGGTTGTAGAAAATTTTACGGAAGTGTCACGGAATTTTTCCAGAGCGTTCCGTAATTTTTATCTGAATTTCCAGTGAAAAATTACGATACTATCGTCACTTAAATTTTCTCAGTCGATTCCGTAATCGGTGAGCAAATCGTGAGTTCCGTAATTTTTACTGAACATTTTTCTCTCTGTGTAAAAAGAGGAATGAATAAATGACAACTGGAATGGTTCGATGGTTCTTCTTTCCCTCCCGACGATATTCCCTTGCGCACTTGTACACAAGATATTTGGCCATGACCATGAAAAAGGTATTTTTGGCTATATGGTGGGAGGGAAAAAACGATGGGCGTTAATAAACGAAAACCGGCATGAAATACAACTCTCGGTGCGTGTACTCACGGGGGGTTTGAGGTACGTACAACGAATACGTAAGCATCCAATTGCGTCAAGGCACAAGAGGATGATGGTTGGAGAGAAGAAAAATAACAGATTGAAAATAAATCGACATTATCATTTTAAATAAAAACAAAAACAGAGTGATCCTTGAAGACTTACGAACGAAATGAGTACCCGGATTTTGAGAGCATGCTTCAGGGGGGGAGAAAAAAAAAAGAAGGAAACGAGCCAATGAGTTTTTGGTTGTGCAGCTGCACCTTCGTTCCAATCCCTAATTTATTCCTGTCATTTTATCTCTTTTAAGTATCTCTCCTTTGAGTTCCCTTTCATCCATCTCCCATCAATTTTCTCTCCTCCGGATACTCCGATATATTCTTTTTCTCGGGGACTTTCAACTAATTCTGACAATTTCTCCGTCAGCTATCTATGCCTCATCCACACACGTTTTTTCTTTCACTTCCAGTGTCCCTTTGCCCTTCCCCTCAATATTATCTCAAGGTTTCTTCGGTGGGACTTAACCAAGGAAGAGGGCGAAGTGGACAGCCCGCTTGAGAAACTGGAAGTCCCTGAACTTGACTGACTCTTCCTTATAGGTACGTCTCTTTACTTGCACCTCTCTCCTCGATAACGACTGGATTTTAAAGCGCACCAGCCCAAGGGACAGAATATATTTACAACCGAGAGGTTCCGTGTATACGTGTTACGCGATTCAACCGTGGGCTTGAATTTAACTGCTTATGCATCACTGCGCATTTTTTTATCTCCATTTTTTTGCTCATTTCGTTTTCAGTTGATTTGATATTCCGGATTGTGTTATGAAGGTATCGGGTTAAAAGCGAAATTGATGGGGAATAAATAAATTTTTCTGGTCAATTTGAGTTTGTACACGTGTTTTTTGTCCTCGAGCGGAGTATTTGCTGCGTTTGCACGGGGTGTCAATGTCTTGTCGATCATTTACGCGTTGGATCCTTTTCGTGGAATGGAATGGGAAAGAAAATTCGAGAGTATTATCAAGGTACAATGTACGTGCTTACCTTGTATATGATTCGTACAATGTGCGAATAACGATGTGACTACGTATCAGTAATTCCCCCCGCGTTTGCGAAATTCGTGTGAATCCCGTCAACGATCGGTGAATATCAAAGGTCTCGGGGGACATATGCGTGACAACTGACATTTCATTTCGCCTGGATGTTTTCTGCTCTTGTTGAACACTGACGAAGAAGTCAGGTGTCTGTGATGACGATTTTTATTAAAATGAGAGCTGATATCAGCATTTTCGTTCTGCTGTAACTGAAAAGAGTCAAATCTCACACGCCGGGGTACACGGAAAATGACGAGGAGATGTAGAATGAGAAGTGTAACACAGTAATTTCGAATTTTTTAATTCGTGTGAATTCGTGGGCATTCGTGGGAATTTTGATTGAAATGAGCGCTAATATCAGCATTGTCGTTTTATTGTAACCGCAAACCGTTAAATCTTACACGTGGGGGTACATGGAAAATTATGAAGAGATGCAGAACGAGAAATGTAACACACTAATGTCGAAGATTAAAAGTCGTGTGCATTCGTGTGGACTTTGATGAAAATGAGGGCTAATATCAGCATTTTCGTTCTGTTATCACCGAAAAGCGTCAAATCTCACACGTCGGGGTACATGAAAAAATTACGAAGCGATATAGAATGAGAAATGTAACACGCTAATTTCAAATTTTAAAATTCGTGTGCGTTCGTGTGCATTGTGATTAAAATGAGAGCTAATATCAGTATTTTCGTTCTGTTATCACCGAAAAGAGTCAAATCTCACACTTAGGGGTACATAGAAAATTACGAACAGATGCAGAACGAGAAATGTAACACACTAATGTCGAAGATTAAAAGTCGTGTGCATTCGTGTGGACTTTGATGAAAATGAGGGTTAATATCAGCATTTTCGTTCTGTTATCACCGAAAAGAATCGAATCTCACACGTCGGGGTACATGAAAAAGTGATGAAGAACGATTTCAATTTGCATTAAATATTCCATAAATAAAATGAAAATTGTTCTGATTATTTCGCCTTTCAATAATACTACTCCTGTATAATCATGTGATCAATTATTTTTTCTATTGAACGATATTTAATAAATGAAAATATGGCCCAGTCGTCCAGAAATTAGGGGTTTCGGCTGCATTCAACTATTTCTTAATTCAATCATTCTTTGTTTTGTTATTTTCACTTCAAATAATTTTTTTTCTGTTAATTAAACAATTATTGAAGGTATGGAAGCCATCATATCCCCATTTAGGTGATTCTTTTATTTTATATCCAGCAATTGGCCCGTTCAATTAGATGAGAAATGTAACACGCTAATTTCGAATTTTAAAATTCCTGTGGGGAACATTCGCGTGATACCATAACTGACATTTAATTTCGCCCAGATGTTTTTTTTGTTAAACATTGGCGAAAAAGTCAGGTGTCTGTGATGACGATTTTAATTAAAATGAGAGCTGATATCAGCATTTTTGTTCTACTGTAACCGAAAAGCGTCAAATCTCACACGTCGGGGTACATGGAAAATGACGAAGAGAGGTAGAATGATAAATGTAACACGCTAATTTTAGCACTAGTCATGGGAAAAAAATTAAAAAGACGAAACTAATGTCGAAGAGTGCTGAAGTACGCAGAGCCACACCAGTAATCTCCATTCACGATCCAATTTCTTTCGAGGGACGCACGTGCACGTGGGCCCACATGCGACCGGCACATGAGATTATAGAATCGCCAATGTAATGTGATCCCGTGATTTATAGACGGTACATTCATAGGGGATAAATTTATGGGTCACTATAAGAATTCTCTAGGTTTTAATTTACCCATAAAATCATGAATTCCTGTATGGAAAATAAAAATCCAGTTTCACTCACCAGTTGAACGTCGGATGGAGGAAGTGGCGGAGGTGCAAGTGGTGTCTCGTGCTGACATGAAATTACTGCGAAATGTTATGGTTATGACACCTCGACAATTCCACCTTGACGTTTTTTATACTTTCGTTGTGGGAAATGCGTTTTTTTTTGAGTCTTTCAATCGGAGAACAAAATTGGAGAACAATTATCAAACAAATGGAGTCATCGTCAAGCGGAATTCATTTCTAAGTCTTTTTGAATCTAAATCGGGGGGAAAAATGGGAGACGAGTAGTGAATTATTCTCCAACGGAAAAATATGTAAAAAGAATATGTCATATCGGCCAATTTCATATATTTTTAAAATGTATATAAAATGTATTAAATCATATTTTGTATCGCTTCAATATGTATATAAACTGGGACAATTGAAGATATAAAATATAATTCTCTAAAAAATAATATATTCTTCTCTGTGGATTTTTCGAAGTAATTTCGCTTTCGTCCGGCCCCATGTACTTCGCATACGTATCAGAAAAAAAACCCCTACCATTGCGGGAAATTTTACTGCCCAGAGAACTGTAATATTTGCATCCACAAAAGTGATTTTTTGCCGAGCGAATCGTAAAATATCCTTCGCCAAAGTAATTTTTATTGAATTACATTTCGCTTCGCGATTATCTCTCCTATACACGGTGAAAAATACTTGTTGAAATTCAACTACTGTTTGTTAATTGACTATTCCAACAACTAGTTGATAAATTTCACCAACTCATTGTTGAATTTCAGCCAATGGTTCTTAAATTTCACCAAATATCCTCTCCGCACTGAGAGAAAAATCTGAATTTCGATTTACAATAAGAAAATAGTTGAGGCATTTTGGTGAACGATACGATTTTTTTTGTATGCACCACATAGGGGAGGGTGGGGCAAAACGGCCCCCCTTCAATTGTCAATAACTTGTGAATGACATTGTGAAAATTCCCAGTTTCAACTTCATTTTGAAGATAATTTTTCATTCTTCAAAACGAGCTCTAACTCATCCCAATCGGATTATTGAATCGGAAAATATTGACGATTGAAGGGGGGCCGTTTTGCCCCATCCTCCCCTAACATTATAGTAACTTCACAAGCGTAATTGTTGCAAATAAAAATGCAGTTAAACTAACCAAAGTTCAAAAGTAATCACGACAAATCTATCGTGAGGAGAACTATAAAATAGTTGCAATGACTGCATTCCATTGTAGTAATTACTTCTCCGGTCATAGTTACCGTAACCCATGAAAAATTGCTGAAGACTTTTTGACAATAATTCGATGGTGATGGAATATAGTCAGAAGAATTATATTTTTCTCTCAGTGCGTGTATTAAAACTTGCCGACATTCTCCAGATAATTTTTCTCCAACTTTTCTCACCGTGATTTTCATGGACTGAGCCCCGGCACACCGTTCCCCGTTGCAGTCTCGTGCCCAAGTATTGCATCGTTCGAAGGATACATGGAAGGCGGGATGCTGTACAAAAAAAGGGAGCGAGTAAATTTATAGCCCAAATACACAACACGGAAAAAAAACTGACGAAACTGGAGGCACGAATCTGGCAGCCCATTCAGTAGCCCATTACAGAGGCTGCGTATCAAAATAAAAATGACAAAAATGAAACCGATGATGTTGAGATAATTACCACCCGGTGCAAAGGCTCACAATTTTGTCCTAAAAATAAAGCCCCCGACCCTGAAGTGACGAACGATATTTCGCGGTTTTTTTCCCTTAAGGTTTGGCAAAAGGGCCTGGCGATCGGTGGAGACTGGTTTCCAATTATGAATTTGCCAGACGTTTTTTAAATGAGGAACCATGACCTCGTGAGCTAGTCCTACCGTTGATTACATGTTTAGGATGCTACCTGTGCTGGTTATATGAGTCAAGAGGAGAGGACTGAGAATGGCTTTACGGAACGTTGGGAGTTGCAGGGGTTCGTGGCGTGCGACGAAAGAAATGGACGAGGACCGGCCACAACCACGACGAGGGCTCTCCGGCACCAACTATAAGAGCCACGGCACCGCGATCGAGTCGTCCATTCAGTAGTAAGGTAGCACTTACGCGCGCGGGCTTTGAACAACCACCATCGCCAATCCCTTCACAGGCGTGAGTCGCCCGCGTTCCCTACTTCCACTTCCATTCCCTTTTTTATTGGTTTACCTTCTGTTCCCATTTTCTTCATGGTCTTTTTTCACACCCATTTCATTCTTAATACTACAACCGGTGCAACGGTTCACTAAAGTTGACATTTTCCATTTTTTTCCCCTCCATTCTCGACTATTGATTGAATTAAATTAATTCACTCTTTGTCGAGCGTGTCAAGTGACTGTGTCAATTATCAGAGCTGTGACAGTATCTGGAGTGAAGATTTTTCATCAGTGCCTGGTGCAATTGGATACATTTTTCTACTAAAAAAAAAAATCACTTCGTTCTCGTGCAATTTATCGGCAAAAATGGCAACGATGGTCTTATGGTATATTCTCCTGACCTGCCTAATGATTTTTATATTGTCGAAGAAAGGAGGTATCCAATGGTTATCCCCATTCCTAGAAGTCGGGGAGAAAAAGAAAAAAAGCCTGAAGGGACCGAAGAGTCTACCTGTTATCGGTAGTCTCCATCTTCTCGGAGGTCCTGAGGGCCCATTCGCAGCATTCACCAGGCTTGCCAAGGAGTATGGCGATATTTACGAGATTCAACTTGGTGTAGCCAAGTGCGTGGTTGTCAGCAGCTACAGTCTACTCAGAGAAGTACTTATATCGAAGGGAAATGATTTCGGTGGACGCCCGGATTTCCTGAGGTTTCACGCACTCTTCGGTGGTGACAGGAATAATTGTAGGTTCATCATGTCGCATTCACGATAGATAGATAGATAGATAGATAGATGGATAGAAATGGTTTTTACTCAGTCCTCGGGGGAAGTGATCTTCAAAGGCAAAATAAAATTACCAATATGTCTTCATTGATTTGATTTCTTTCAATCTCTCCATTTTCGCTTATTTCCATCATCTTTAATTTAATTTGCACTCGTTCAATTAATCGAAATTACTGAATGACATGAAATCAAATTTATGACATCCTTTCTCCCGAAGTCCAACAACGAGGCTATTGTAGACAGCACAAATGAAGTTTCTAAGTCTTCCGGTTGCACATACTGTCGAGTAAAAGCTCAGGGTCGATTGCCAATTGGAAAACATGTTGTTGCCGGAGGATATGGAAATTGAGCGAAAAAAAAAACCAACAAAAAAAGTTTTTTTGATGCGCAGTTAATTGCAAATCGGGTCTAGTGGGATAACTCGTAATACCGGGAGCAGGAAGCAGTCTGTCTTGGTATTCAAATTAACCGCTTCTCGGAATGAAACCCATCTGCCTTACTCAAGCGTCGGTGCAATAAACAAGATCACTACTCACGCAACCGTGCAGAATACTCTTATTTTCCATAAAACGAGATCAGAAAACTAAGCAGTCAGCTTCCTGGCTCTCGACCATTTGAATACCCTAGGAAAGTGGGACTATTATTCCGTAGGACGGAATAATTATTGATATTATTTTCATATATTTCAGCATTGGCATTATGCGACTGGTCGGAGGTGCAGCGCACAAGGCGTTCCCTGGCGAGGAGCTTCTGCTCCCCCCGCGGTGGGAGTTTTCAACAGGAGGAATTATCCAGAATTGCGGCACTCGAGGCGTCAGATTTGCTTTCCACACTGAAACAACCGACGGCCGCGGGGGTTCTGAGCGGTGACAAGCCCCTGAAACCCCTGCTCCTGCAGTCAGTGGCGAACATGTTCACTAGGTACATGTGTTCAACGCGTTTCGACAATAACGACGAGGAATTTCGTCGCATTGTTCAGTCCTTCGACGAAATCTTCTGGGACATCAATCAGGGCTACGCAGTTGATTTCCTCCCCTGGCTGAAGCCCCTCTACTCCAGCGTTCTGAGCCGACTCGGGGGCTATGCCTCGACCATTCGGGGCTTCATCCTCCGCCGAATAATCGATCATCGTCGGGCCAGCCTCGACACCGTCAACGGCATCCCCAGGGACTTCACCGACGCCCTGCTGCTCCACCTGGAGAGCCCCGAGACCGATCTCTCCTGGGATCACATTCTCTTCGAGCTCGAGGACTTTCTCGGCGGGCACTCAGCCATCGGCAACCTAGTCATGATGATCTTGGCGCAGACAACGGTACATCCACAAGTGCAGAGGAAAATTCAGGCCGAGTGTGACACAATCCTCGCTAAAACCGGGGATTCGGAGGGTCTAGTCGCCCTCGACGATCGACAAAACATGCCCTACACCGATGCCGTTATCTGGGAGACCCTGAGAATGTCGAGTTCACCAATTGTCCCTCACGTTGCCACTGTTGACACTCACATTGCTGGCTATCCAGTCAGCAAGGACACAGTAATATTTATCAATAATTTTGAAATGAATCTCGGTGAGGCGTACTGGGGCCCAGACTCACGTCAGTTCAAGCCCGAGAGATTCATTAAGATGATTAATAATAAACCTCGAGTCACACGACCTGAGCATTTCGTTCCATTTTCAACGGGAAAGAGAACCTGCGTTGGCCAGAAACTCGTTCAAGGATTTGCATTTGTCATTGTCACTGCACTACTCTCGCGTTTTGATATACATGCGGTTGAGGATGTGAAGAGCAAACTCATGCCAGGATGCGTTGCTGTACCACCAGATGCATTTCACTTGGCATTGACACCCAGACAATCCACTTCACCCTGATTTCGTCATTTTTTCTTTCATCTGACTGTCATTATTATTATTTTCTGTTGATCCTCTCAATCATATCAATGGCAGAGGAGCAAACAATCGGAAGGTGGATGTTGGGGCGGGGGCGGAGAGGGGGGAGGGAGGGGAGGAGTATTAGTGGAGACAGTGGAAATTAAAAGTCTGACGTAATTTTGAGAGTTATAGTAGAATTTTATATTGTTTGTTTATTCATTTTTAGGTAAGGTCATTCGCTGGATACAAAAATTGTTGCAATTACTTGTATGCGATGAGTAAGACTGAATTTGTACACCTCGTCAATCGTGTCGGGTTCTATATTATTATTTTTTATTGATTTATTTCGTATTTTAATGATTCTGTGTAGAATCAATGCCACTAGTTTACGAATTACGATTCAAGAGATGTCTATTCGATGCAGATTATTTGTCTCTTTGATGCAGTTAAATTAGCGCTTGTCAAGCATAAATATGTATCAGCTATTATCACCCTTTTTCGCTTCAGAATCAGAGTTATTTTTCATCGATGTTTATCAATGTGAGAAGATGTAAACATTTTATTTTCATAGAAATAAAGAGAAAAATATTGCTTTATTGAATTGAATGGAAAAAAAAAGTGTATATTGTTGAAGTGAGGTGTATTTTCTGAGGACAGACGGGAACGGTGGAGAGAGGAAGAAGAAATAAAAAAAAAGAAGGTGGCAAAGAAAAAGACCAGGGGGGGAAAAAAAAAGTTGGCTCAAGGGGGCCAAGATAACAGCATGTAGCGAGCAAAACGAGGGGGGAGATGAGTTTCTCGTAGACGAGAAGACGATCACCTTGACTCTGAGACGATGGGGCACAGGTTTTAGTCCCTCGAATCCACCTGATGGTTAACTCATCCAGGGAGGCTTGAATACACATCGAGTGAGGTCTTATTTCTTTTGGCTCGTCTACGCTATGTTTTTATGCAACGGGAAGGCCCTTTGTCGCTTTGTTTATATGTTTGTCTCACCTTTTGCCCCCCTGCCTTGCTGCCCTTGAATTTCAATCACGCATCTCTATTCGATTTCCTTTATTTGTTTATGTTTGCCTTGTATACCTGTTCTCATTCGTCAAGACCGACTTCTCAGCCGGACATAGCTGGAGTCCGCAGGATGTGAACCAATTTCATGGATTATTCTTTCACTTTTTTTTATTCTCTCCCTCTCGCCCTCCCTTCGTTAACTAAATATCGAGACAAGTTGCATGTAAATCGAGCCTATCTATGTGGTTTCACGCTACGACGAGTCAGTAGAAAACCTGTCTTAGATTCCAGATATTATTCGGAAAAACTCGTCCTAGAGCACCTGGGAACCCGGCGCGGATCAGGGAAAATGGTTTCTCTTCGGTCTCTAATCTCTAGGAATTTCAGTTTTTTTTTCAGCTTATTATTTATTCGTCACTGTTCGAAACAATTCGATAGAGAATGCACAGTTTACAGAGCATAACATATTTTATGCTTATGCGTTTGTATTTCCGGGTTTACAAGGAAATAATTTTTTTTATAATGAGTTTTGCAGAGAAAAGGGGTACCGTGAACTTCGTCAACTTTAAGAAATTCCATAACATCAGTTGAACGAATGAGAACTTGCTGTACTTTGTAGAGACATGATCGTTAGGAAAGTGAACACTCATTTACAGAACTTGCAAAAATGAGGTAAACTCCACGCGGATCAGGGAAAATGGTTTCTCTTCGGTCTCTAATCTCTAGGAATTTCAGTTTTTTTCAGCTTATTATTTATTCGTCACTGTTCGAAATAATTCGATAGAGAATACATAGTTTACAGACCATAAAATATTTTATGCTTATGTGTTTGTATTTCCGGGTTTACAAGGAAATAATCATTTTTTTATAATGATTTTTGCAGATAAAGGGGGACCTGTGGGCATCTTCATCTTCAAGAAAATCCATAACATCAGTTGAGCGAATGAGGCACCTTTTCTCCGGATAAAAATGGAATGAGAACTTGGTGTAGTTCGCAGAGACACATGATCATGAAGAAAGTGAACATTCATTTACAGAACTTGCAAAAATGAGGTAAACTCCACGCGGATCAGGGAAAATGGTTTCTCTTTGGTCTCTAATCTCTAGGAATTTCAGTAATTTTTTTTCAGTTTATTATTTATTTGTTACTGTTCAAAACAATTTGATCGAGAATACATAGTTTACGGAGCATAAAATATTTTATGCCTACACGTTTGCATTTCCGGGTTTACAAGGAAATAATTTTTTTATAATGATTTTTGCAGAAAAAGGGGACCTGTGAACATCTTCAACTTCACGAAATTCCATAACATCAGTTGAGGGAATGAGGCCCTTTTTCTCCGGATAAAAAATAGAATGAGAACATGGTGTAGTTCGCAGAGACACATGATCATGAAGAAAGTGAACACTCATTTACAGAGCTTACAAAAACGAGGTGAACTGTCCGCGGATCAGGAAAAATGATTTCTCTTCGATCTCTAATCCCTAATAATTTCAGTAATTTCATTTCATCCACTATTTCTTCGTCACTATTCAGCCCAATTCGATAAAGAATACATAGTGTATAAAGTACAAAACATGTTATGCTTCCCCAAGCAACTAATTATTCCGTTACAATGATTTTTGCAGCAAAAAACTTCAATCCGAAAACCGTAAAAAAATTCCACACCATCAGTTGAGCGACGGACGTCCCATTTCTCCGGATACAAAATAGAATGAGAATGTCCTGCTCGCAGAGATTCATGATCATGAAGAAAGTGAAACACTTATTTACAGAGCTTACAAAAATGAGGTGAGTGAACAAAAATGAATAGCGAGTGTGATTATCCCATTCCACTCGTCTTTGATTTGACAATTAATTCTTTCAGCCAGTGGAGAACATCCTTCGCCACTTCCATCCGCACCCTGGCGGTGTCCTCAAGATTCCGTTGGTACTTGTACCCTCCGTGCCCCGATTGCCCCTCCTTTATGTTCTCCACGCGTTTCATGAAGGGATTGTCCTTCTGATACTCAAAGCCATCTGCAGATTGTCCCTCCTCCCCCGCCCCTCCTTCAGCCGAGAAGTTTAAAAGATCATCAAGAGCATTTATTACAATAGCAGCCCGATCGTTCACCGGAGCATTTTGCATTGCCAGTAACTCCTGAATATATTCATCTCTATCAGAAGGACTGAGAATTACTGACACATCCTCATCGTTCTCCCCAGAATCTTCAGAATCTTCTCGTTCTCTTCCATCCTCTACATAATTTACCATCGATTCTGTTCCTCGCCTCTCTAACTTCCCACTTTTGTCCCTCCACGAATTAATTTCACCGTTGTCTCCCAAATTCAACGTTAGATTGTATTTCTCAACGAATTTCTCGACAGGCATCACTGCCACCGCTCCTGCATCCTCCCCAGACGAAGGGCTATCGTCAGCCTCATCACTATTAATAGTACTCGATCTTATCCCCCTCGTATTCCCTTTTTCCCCAGCTCGTCTGCTGTACCTCACCTGTCCCCCCTGCTGCGGCAGGCAGCAGGGGCAATTTTTCTGGACAAAACTTCGGCAAATCTTCTCGGAAAGCATCAGCGCCAACGAGCCGTCCTCCATTCTCTTGATGCTGAGGGGCAGCTTCACCCCATCTCCGATGTAGAGGAGCTCGCTGCCCTCTAGATCTCCAATGCCAGAGATACCGCCGGCATTCGGAGATGTTATTCTTCCGAAATACGTCGGGTTCGACACTGGAGAACCTGCACTACCCCCGGACTCTTTCCCCCCAGAGCCAGTGAAATCATGAGGCGATCTGTCGTCGTAACTCTCCAATTGGTCTCCAATGATGGGCTCCTCAGAGGCGCAATCATCAGCATCATCGTCCCCCGAAATCGCAGCCCCCAGATTGGCCTCGCCTGCCGGATGATTTTTTATGTACTCCAGAACAATGTTTTGGGGGGACTGATACTTGATCGGAGTGTTCGCCTCCTCGGTCACGCAATCCGCGTCTTTCGGTGAACCCAGATGAGAGTAATCCTGGGGCGCCACTGCATTTTCCGAATCCGCAGGTCTCACCGCGTCGGGGAAGTCCCCAGGGAATTCCCCTTTGTAGCCGATAGTCGCCGAACTCTCGTACCACTGACCCTTTTTTATGTAATGCTCGGTCACCGGGAAGTAGCCGAGAGGCTTCATTATCACTTTGTCGTCGTGAACACGAGCACGAGGCAGCAGGGGTTTTGGGAGCTCTGGTTGTGTGGGTCTCGGGGTCTTCGGAGCGACCACTGGGCCCTCTTCTGGGTTAAGAACATCGTTCAGGGCCTCCCAGATGACGGCGTTGTCCACCACGTTCTTTCCCCTCCGCAAAATTTCCCCCAGAGTTCTGACTATTATATTCTGAATGCCCGGTAGTCTAGCGTTTTCGAGACCAACGCCGGGTTGGTTGATCAGGGACGAGAGGATTCTCATGATTTGGTCGGGCATTGAGCCCACGTTCTCGTTCACCAGACCCAGGGAGGGCTCCCCCGAATCCTCGGGGAGATCGTCCTCACCGAGGACGACACTCAGAGATCGGTTGATGATGTTGTCAGCTAGTTTTCCTAGACCACTGTCTCTGGATGTTCCCGTCACCTGCGGAATCAACGCTTTTATGGTGCCCAGCACGAGGTTCCGGACTTCTGACGTGTGCAGGAGGTTCCGCAGGAGGGAATTGTCCCCGAGCCCTGGGATTTTTGCTGGCTCGGGCGCTCCGATGATGTCGCAGGAGGAAGACACTTTGTTTGATTCGATTTCCTGCTTTGCACTGGATGCCACGCGGTTTATAGACTCGTAGATCGCTCCTCGGAGGAGCTTGCTGTCCTCGATACTCAGGCCCGTGAGGGCCTCTAGGTCATGTAAGTGCTGATCGGCTGAGGCACTGACTGGCTCTGCCTGTGGGCAATCAGGAAATTCAGATTGCTGAGGTCCAACTGGTGCTTCAGCTTTTTGGTAATTATTATTGTCGACCGCGGATTCTGAAGGTCCGTATGATTTTCCTATTATCGAAGCCTTAGGGGAGTCTCCTTCGTAGAAATTCCATGGTGTTGGCGATGGAAGAGTGGTATCAAATTGGCTGCCGTAATTCCCAGGATCTGGATAAACTCCTGGGACTCGATATCCTTCGGTGGGTTCTTCAGGGTAAGTGCAATTTTCTTCGTCAACATCTTCCGGATTGTCTTGATGGGCTGCATGAAGGGGGGTTTCTATAGCTTCGTATGTTTCAGGTTCTGGAGATTCTGCGCAATCCTCGGTGCTTTCAGAGTGGGCCACTGTTGCCTCCCCCTCGGCTGAATTATCGTCATTGAAAGCGTGAGTGAATCCTGGTTGAACGATAACGTTATGATCTTTCCGAGGACTTTCAAGTGGCTTTACTTGACTTTCATGAGTGAATCCTGGTTGGACTATGACATTATGATCTTCCCGAGGAATGCCAACTAGTTTTACTTGACTTTCATGAGTGAATCCTGGTTGGACTATGACATTATGATCTTCCCGAGGAATGCCAACTAGTTTTACTTGACTTTCATGAGTGAATCCTGGTTGGACTATGACATTATGATCTTCCCGAGGAATGCCAACTAGTTTTACTTGACTTTCATGAGTGAATCCTGGTTGGACTATGACATTATGATCTTCCCGAGGAATGCCAACTAGTTTTACTTGACTTTCATGAGTGAATCCTGGTTGGACTATGACATTATGATCTTCCCGAGGAATGCCAACTAGTTTTACTTGACTTTCATGAGTGAATCCTGGTTGGACTATGACATTATGATCTTCCCGAGGAATGCCAACTAGTTTTACTTGACTTTCATGAGTGAATCCTGGTTGGACTATGACATTATGATCTTCCCGAGGAATGCCAACTAGTTTTACTTGACTTTCATGAGTGAATCCTGGTTGGACTATGACATTATGATCTTCCCGAGGAATGCCAACTAGTTTTACTTGACTTTCATGAGTGAATCCTGGTTGGACTATGACATTATGATCTTCCCGAGGAATGCCAACTAGTTTTACTTGACTTTCATGAGTGAATCCCGGTTGGACTATGACATTATGATCTTCCCGAGGAATTTCAAGTGGTTTTACTTGACTTTCATGAGTGAATCCTGGTTGGACGATGACATTATGATCTTCCCGAGGAATGCCAACTAGTTTTACTTGACTTTCATGAGTGAATCCTGGTTGGACGATGACATTATGATCTTCCCGAGGAATTTCAAGTGGTGTTACTTGACTTTCATGAGTGAATCCCGGTTGGACTATGACATTATGATCTTCCCGAGGGATATTAACTAGTTTTACTTGACTTTCATGAGTGAACCCTGGTTGGACGACATTATGTGGTCTCCCCAGTCCAGGTAGATCCCCCTCCGCAACATCATAAGATTCTATTTCACTCTCGATTTGCGGGGGCGCAGAGCAGTCACTCGAGCTTCCCACGAATGTTTCACCCTCAGCTAAGTCTGGGTACTGTTGATTACCCCTTCCAGCCTGAGCCTCCTCACCCCCCGAATTCCCCTCGTCATCAGGGAGTCGCACGATGTAATCAGTGCTGGAGTCAAGGACTCCAGTGGGCGCGTAGTTCCCAGGGTAGTTATCGTACCCATATTCGGCATGTGGAGATCCAATCATTGGGGGCTGGTAGTTATCGTGCTGCGGGTAGTACCCAGAGTACCCGTAGTTCATGGCTGCGTAGCAGACGTCTCGCCCGCAGAACTTAACGCACTCCTCTAACGAGGAGAACGCAGGATTCGAGCACGAGACCTCGACGCCTGCGTAGGCCGATCCCAAGTGAGGCAGCTCGGGGATTCCCTGCAGACTGCTCAGGCGTGGCGAGGGCAGTTGGTAGACGTCATAGGGGGGTCCGTACGGAACATTCGGTGCGCCCTCTGCCGAGAACCTCTGGTAGTTACTTTCAACCGGGCGAAATGGTCTTGCAGGCGGTCGTGGAGACCCTCTGTTCGTCTGCATCCGCAGGGGAAGGCTGATCTTCGTCGGTTTGTCGGTGGGCTCGCACGCCACAAGCACGGGGGTGCATTTCTTGCTCTTCAGGCGTTTGTCCGCGGGTCGTCGCGACCCCTGTTTGCGGTAGATTAAAGGCAACCCTCGGTACTCCTCCCCTCGGTCTTCTTCGGAATTGGCAGCGGCCAGGGCCTCTATTTGGGAGTATAAATCTGTGTTTTGCAGGAGTTTTGGCGCCGGACGATTCCTCCCGGAGTAGAGGGACTTCAGGGGGTCTCTCCTGGCGCACTCTTCGTCCAGGCAGTAGCAGAGGTACTTCTTCTTTTTCTCTTGACCGGTGAAGGGCTCCCTTCCTCTTCCCCGGGCCCAGGCTTCCTCCAGGTCTCTGGTGTGATACGAATAGTCCAGCGCGTTCTCGTCATTCTCGTCGATGTGCTTCACGAATCTTGGAAGGGATGTGGAGTCTGATGGGTCGTCGAACGTCGAGGTGGGGAGGTACTCCGGTTTTGGAGTTGTATTTTTCATCTTTGAACTTGGAAATGCGACCTCAATTTTATTCATCGCACTGCCAGATTGCGACTCGGTTTCGTCATTGTTTACCTTCTTCAGTGGTGCACTCAATCTGACTTTTCGTAACGGGGTCAGGCTTTTGCAGCGTTTCGTTTTGTGCTCGGGATGAGGTATCGATTTCCAGTCCACTTCGTTACTTCTATCTGCGGTTGTGTTTTGGTCCACGGGTACTAGCACAACTGGTTTAGTTTGTTCCTCTGCTTTCTTTGTGGGGAGTTTGGGAGCAGCGGGCAATGACCTGAATCAACAAAAAAGGATTTTGGTTTTGAACATTGGGGGATTTCATTATTTGCCGTTCACTTTTTTTTAGTTTGAATGGTTAATAAACTGATGCGGTTTAAAGTAGCTCTGCTCTTGCGGTAAATTCGAAGATTATTGAAAACTGCAAAAAATTGCAGAAAACCCGATTAGATTCGGAATTCTAATTTTTTCCTCAGTTTAATTATCGTTTTGGTTTTTCAAAGAAGAAATGTTTAAAAATCAGAATTTTTTTTCATTAGATGTGAAAAAATCAAGATTTTTTTTGACACCAAACAAGTTTTATTATTTATTTATTAGAGGGAAATGTTTGAAAAAATATCAATATTTTGCGAAATTTAATTTAGATAATACTGACTGGGTATGAATTTTTTCAAATTTTTTCCATGCAATTTAGTTGAAAAATTTAAAAACTGAAAATATCCAGAAGTACAGCGTAGCCCGGCCGAAGGGTAGAGCTACTTTAAATTATAAATGGAAACTAACTAGATGAGAACACTTTTTTTGTTTAAAAAAGAAAGCACTGGATCATTCTCAGGGCTTTTCACTGTTAGAATTTTTTTGAAATTTCGTGCAAGGTATTACAGTAATTCTCATGAGAGTGACATTGACTTGGATTTTGGGGGAAATGGTTAATGAAATTTCAAGTTTTAGGTAGAATTCAAGGAAATTCATGAGTTTTCAGGGGAGTCAGATTGAAATTTCACAACTTGATTGAATTTTCAATAGAACCCGAATATTCAGAATCAAAATGACATGAATTTTCAATTGTTCCCTGAATTTTCACGGTATAATTGAACTGAAAAATCAAGTATTTTATTGATTTTCAGATCATTCGAACGGAAAATCAATGGAATATTTGATTTTTCAACGACAAGATTTCCAGAAATTTCAGTGGAAATTAAACACGATAAAAATTTCCGGTGTTTGGCACGAAAAATCCAGACGAACATTTTTAACAGTGTTTATTTCCTTAATCTTCGCAGATCACAAACAAAATATGGATATACGATACCATAATTTTTACTTCATCCACTAATTGCAGTAAGAAATACCGTAAAATTAATTATGAGACGGCTGTAAGTGGCTTGCCACACTTAAACTCCTGCGGAATTTCATATGTATGTCATTAGCCGGAAGATTTTGCTTGATGAACAAAATTCCACGAAATGTTCGAAAATATTCTCTTCTTTAGCGCTAACCAATTCTTTAGCTAAAAACATGAAAAATTCTCGTTTATTTTTCATGTTTTCATACAATTAAAAACCCGAAGATGAGGAGTGAAGGAAATATTAATTTTCTATTTCTATTTAGCAATGAAAAAATGATGAATGCTGATGCTATAAATTAGGATCTGTTTGCGCGAATCTTTTATAGTTTTTACAAAAAAAAACAAATAGTCATCCTGAATATATTGAGTGTGAATCATTGAACCGACGAACAGATAAAAAAAACTAGTGGTTATTTATTCCGTAAGATATTTCCACTCACCAGGTTGCCTTAGCTAGCAGGTTTTTTTCTTTAATTGCAGTGATACAAACCCAGATAACAATGATTCTAAATGCTTTCATGTTGTCGGAGTTTCTCGCATTTGCGTCACAATAATCACCCACTGGGTCCTCAAGAATGTATTATTGACGATGATCTTACTGCAGTCGAAATGACCACGAAGCTTGCCGGAACAATACTGCGACGATTCTTCGGGAGGGACTGGGTAAGTAAAACAGCTCCACCTTGAGTCACCGCTTGATTATGAAATTTGGATGATTAAAATGTCGACACAATGATTCGGAAGGGGAACTGGGTGTGTCCGTTATTAATTAGTCAACAATATTTGCAGTCTAGTCGAATCTCATTCTCACTTCATTAACACTCTTCAACTCGATTCAACTCGATTGGTTTCAGGCGAATAATTACGATCGAAAGCAGGGCAAATTTTGTACAACTCAATATTTATTAATCATGACCATGGTCTACATTTACAAATGGAATTACATAGAAGTGTGGTATATTCAATCGCCCTCCTTTCTTTATTCATGTTCGCAATAAAAAATACAAAACAAGTACGAAATGATTATTTTATAGCAGTACGAATAGCAATAAATATGGTATTACAATAGTGTCAGCAGTAAATACAAAAATTCATGAGGTAAATGAAAAAAAAAATGACCGAGCATAAAAATTAGTAGCAAAGCGGTTAATCGGGTTAAGTCGATTTTGACTTTTGGCCAGTTTTTCGTCAATATCTCGGAACCTAAGAGAGATAGAAAAATTTTCTTTATGACCTTTTTTATAACCCTCAACTGGCTCTACAGAAAAGGTCTTGACAGAAATTTTAGATTCCAAGATATTCGTCAAAAACTGGCCAACAGTCAAAATCGATTTAACCCGGTTTACCCCTTCGCTACTGAAATGGCGGTCAGATTACGTCTATATAGACGATTTTAACATAAATGACAACGAGAAAAAATTACTGACAATTGGGTAAGTTGACCGGTCAGTAAGCATCACGAGGTATGCGTCAAGTCACACGTTTGAAAAGTCGTATAAAAATTGTCTATACGGATTGCGTATAGAAATTCTATAGGATTTCCGTATATAATATTCGGATATTTCTACACGGAGAGAAATTTTCTGGAAAAATTCTAGTATGAGAACTGAAAAAAATCACAATCCATCGGTTGTGAAAAATTCTAGTTTAGGTACAATTTCTCAGGATTTCTGATAAAATTTCAGGGGATTTCTGTGAAATTTTCACAGGAATACGGGGAAAAATTCACGTCTTCCCAAATAAAATTTCCAGTGCCAGCACTGGAATTTTTCTCCGGCCGTCACTTTGCGCCTCTTTTATCGTACTAGCACTAGAATCTTTTCTAAAAAATTTCTCTCCGTGTATACGAATATTTTCTATAAGAATTATTTCGATACATAAATTTTTACATAAATTTTTATATTCATACGAAAGATGTCTAAACATTCCAGAGAAAAACGTAGAGAAATGCCGCAGCTCCGTACGAAATGTTTCTATACATGTGGCAGTGGTTCGTACAGGATCAAACCTATAGAAATCGAATAGAAATATTTTGCATAAAAAATATCCGTATACACTGTTAGAAAATTACTCTTGACATTTCAAGTGAAAAAGCTTGAAATTTTTAACAATGACAAAGTTACATGAAATTTCTGTAGAATTCTTCATTGACGAATCAGTTAATTTCTTGAATATTCAAGTAATCCTCGATTTTCAGGTCCATACAGCACTGAAAAACCGTGAAAATTTTGAAAATTCAGGCAATAACTTCTCTGAATTTTCAAACTATTGAAAATTCAATTGTATGTGATGTTCAATTTTCACGATGAGTTAGAAAATTCAAGCGTTCATTGAAAAACAATGATTCGTTAACATGAAAAACCCAATTTTCTTGAATTTTCAACATGAAAGAGAAATTTAGTGAACGTTCTCATTTGAAATTGAATTCGAACTCACAACATTGAAAATTCAGATGACATTGTGCCTGAAATTTCAAGAAATTTCTAACAGTGTAGAAATATCCTAATATCACATACGAAAATCCTATAAAAATTCTCTGCGCAATCCGTACAGAAAATATCTATACGATTTTTTCATACGTGCAGAGATGATCAGAAAGCGTTAAATATACGGCTGGCTTGACGCATCCAAAAAATGACCGTCATTTTTCCTACTAATTAGCAATAATAGCATGAGCTATTCCCCGCAGAAGATTGAAAAAGTTTGCGATATTTCGGGTTGTCTCGCTGAAAAAATCATGAGTCAATAGTCCATCGGGGTTATTTTTAATGGCCTCTTGAAACTGCGTCTTCTCGTCTACATATTCAGCCTCACTCCGCGTCTCCTCGAACTCGTTGATTAATTTCTCGATGGACCCAGTGACATTTTGCGCCTTGCCGAGCCCATTAGCCACCACATCGCCTATTTTGGGGATGGCCTCTTCAATTAACGAGGACAGAGGATCCTCCTGACTGACTTCCTCAGGTCTCACCGTCACCGGTTCAATCCTGGAGATGTCCACACTCGCGTAAACGTCTAGCGAATCCCCCCCAAGTTTCTGTCGTTCAATCTCCCTCAGTTTAATGGCATTGCCCCAGATTTCATTCTCCGAATCACTCCTTTTGATCGCGTTACCAATCTCTCGCCTCTCTCTCTGGCGTTTCTGATTCTTCAAAGGAACCAACATCATCTGCTCGTATTTACTCGAGTTGAGAGCCTCGTCAACGCCGAAAGTTTCACGGAGCTCTTCATTATTCTGTTTCTCATTCTCAGACGCAATCTTGTCCGCTGCTAATCTAGCGTACTTGGGGCTTTCGTATTTAGTCTTTCTACTGGAATTGCTGGGTCTCTCCTTGTTCTCCGGAGTGCTGGTGAGAGTGTTTAACGCCCCAGGGAGGGCTTCACTCGGTTCGTCCTTCGCATTCATAAATTTCGATTTTTCATTTCCATCGATCAATTTTTCGTCATTACTCTTGAGGGCTGACGGTCCGGACCGCCGATCGCCCCGGTTGCTTTTACTGTCCGCTGCAGCCAGTTCCTCATTCAGTTCTTCCGGTTCTCCAGTTGAAAATTCCTCGCTCGTCGCCAGAAGCGCTGGATATTCCAAACTCTCGACAATTGTCTCACCTGAGCTCCCTCCGAGGATGGAACGAGCACCAAGAGTTTCAGTGTTACCAATGTTTTCATCAGTGTACGTCAGAATCGAGGGATTCCTCTGATAACCTGACACTGGTGCAGCGTAAGTTCGTCTCTCTCGTGTTTCCTGAAGTGGTGGCACTACTTCAGCGAACTCGGGAACATATTTACTCTCAGGCGCGTCTTCCCCACTGTTCACTTTCGGTAGCGAGGCATAATTAATTGGTTTATACAGCATCACGTAGTCCCATTTACCTTTGTCAACAATACTCTGCAGCTCTTGCTCCTCCTTCAGCAGCTGCATAATTTCACGGCGCTTGACAACTTTAGCCGCACTATCGCCGGATTTTCCCAATTCACCGAGTTGTATCGAGTCCTGCAGGTTTTTTCGTTTTATTCTCAATTTTTCTTTCAGTTTTGCAAGCTCATCGAGCCGCTTTTTGTAGAGCTCCTGGCGCTTTGCCGCTTCCATCGCCATGAACTTCGATGGAGCCTCAGGGGCCTTCGGCTTTCGTTTGATGTCGACTTTTGGGTGGAGAAGCGCTTGAGATCTCGCTATTAAACGAGCCTCTCGGACTTTCGCGTTGTCCAGACTCTTGATTTTGTCTTTTGAGAGAATTTTCCTGACTGATCGAACGCCTTTCTTCGTTGGCTGGGGCTTTCCCAGATTTTCGGACGTCGTATCCTGGGATTTTTCTGTCGTTGTATCACCAGTTCCAATTTCTTTGAGGATTTTTGCACTTTTTGTCGTTTCAATTTCGACTTGAGGATTCGTTCCTTCGAGGGTTTGTGTAGAGACCTTAGCAGGTGCTGCTTCAGGGACTGGTGGGTTGATTCCCTCCATCGGTTTACCCTTAGGATCTCTGGGGGGAACATCGTCAGAGAGTTTCGGAACATCTGGAGACCGCTTTGAGCTCCTTTCGAGCGTTTTAGCAGTTTTTTTCACGTTTTTCTGGTTTTGTAGTCTTCTTTTGGCCTCAGCTGTTGGTGCCTTCGTCGTTGGAACAGTCGTCGGCGATCGGAGTGAGGGAGTTGATTGGGCGTCTCTGTCTAATCTGACGTACGGGTCATTTTCATAGGAAGGCTCGTTATAGTTATACTCTGGCTCATTATCGTACTCAGGCGCTTCCTCAAACTCCTCATCATCATCATATTCAGCAGGTTCTCTAATACCGCCCGGAACTTTCTCAACGACTGTCACAATTGCTTTGACCTTCTCGTCAGGTTCGAGAAAATCCTCGCCGTCCTCCCCAGATTCAGCCTCGTACTCTCTTTCGATGATATCTCTTCTGGTTCTCAATCTGTTTCGCATTCGTTTCGCCCTTCTCCTAAGACTCTCCGCCTTCGCCTTCGCCTCCTGAATTCTCTCTGAAAATCTTCGGTAGAACTCGCCCCTCGGGTGACCCGAGTCCCTCAACCCCCTGATCACTCGGCAGTGGCAGTCCTTGAGATTATTTTCGTCCTGGAATATCATCTCTTTGTCGAGAACCGAGTCGATGTCTCGCCTGAACCTTCTATTTCCCTTCTGGTTTCCCTGGTCGATCCTGGGGTTCGAAGCGAGCGCTGCGGATGCTGCCGCGGGAGGGTGAGGGCTCAGGGCTCCCAAGTCCTCCACCGGAGTCGATTGCGCGGAGTTCTTCGCGTTGTTTTTAATTACTGGCTCTCGAGATTTTCTCCCACGCTGAGTGGGACTGACTCTCGTCGATTTCTGTGCCTCTGCTCTGTCCGTCCTCGGCCCGAAGATGTCGTCCTCCTCTGATTGCATCGACGCCGTGTCATCGTAGTATCCCTTCAACTGCTTGATGACTCTGTCCCTCGCCTGCTTGTCCTGGAACTCGTTCCGGGGTTTTTCTCGGGGAATTGCCTCTGTCGCGGAATCGTAATCCTCCTCTCCCCCGTTGTTGGGCGCATCGGCTCGGGCTTCTGCCTCGAACAATTCCTCATGCTTCCCCGAATGCTCGTTGATACTGGGATAGCCTAGGGGACTCGCCTCCAAGAACTCTTTGGGGATGTAACCGACCTCTGCACTCTCGTCCTCCACCCAGGGCTCAACCTCGTGGTGATCCATCTTCCCCGCGTTCTTTGACTTCTTTCGTCTGCCCCCCTGATGCGGCACCCTGTCGTCAATGTAATCGTAGTCCTGGTTTCGTTTCTCCTCCGATGACGTCCCAGTCATGAAGTAGACGTCGCCCTTGGGGAATCCCGGCGGCGGATCCCGCTTGGCGAAACCGTAGAAATTATTCTCATTGCTGTTGGCTTGGTTCTTTCGATCGATCGATACAACGTCCTTCTTCTCCCCCCTCCTTCGGAGTTTCTCCAGAATTCTCTCCTTCACCTCTTCATTCAGATTTCGTCTTCTGGTGTAGAAGGAAGGTTTACGCAGTCCCAGGGGGTCGTCACCAAATTTCTTGTCAACGTCCCTTCTGCTTCTTGATAATGTCTCATTCTTCATCTCCTCGATTAATTTCGCTTCATTATGCCGCTGTCTTCGCATCTTCTCCTCCGCCAGCATTTCATAGATTGCTTTCAGTTGTTCCTCAATTTTCTCGGGAACACTCGTTCTCTTTATCTTCCGCGTCTTCAGTAATTCGTCCAGGAAGTGCTCCTCAGCGTTTGTACTGTTCAGACCGGAGGTGATGTCGTTACCCGCGTCGAGCGAATCCTGGGTGTCTTCGAAATTTTTCATTGCATTTTCGACCTTGCTGATGAGTCTCATTGCCTCCTCAATTCTCGCGTTGTCCAAGGAATCATTCTCGGCAAATGTCTTATCTCTCGACCTCACGGAATTCCTCTTTCGCGCTTCGTATTCGTTCAAACGTCGCTTGTACATCTGCAATTTGGCGCGTATCTCCTCCTCAGATGTGTCATCATTTGTCTCGTAGGTGTTATCTTCGAAGCCAATGAGGGCTGGTTTACCCCGTAATGTTAATGAACGCCTCCCCTCGATATTTTCACGCCATCTCAACAATTTTTCTAGCCTCGCCAAATCCTTCCTCGCGTCCAGCTTCTTGTAGCGCGCTGCTTCGTCATCCTCGGCGCTGTAACGACCCTTTCTCCAGCGTCTTCTGGGCGCTCTTATTAATGGCCAACGTTCGTCAGAGTTATCCCCCATTTCTTCGGATTCCGGGTCCTCATTAGTGCTGTCCTCCGTGGATTCAAATTCCCCCAAGCGCTTAGCCAACTTTTTCAGCACCATCTTATCTATGTTGTCATTCTCCTGGCCCCCACAGAACTTCACCTGGAATACGAATGAGTTTTCAAGTGGAGTTTTGAAAGGTTTAACGTGAAACGATGGGGAAAAATTAATAGCCGTATTTTGCACTTTGGGGAAGTTTAATAATTCATTTTAAGGGTAAAAAAGAATGTGATGAAAAAAACTGATTTAAAGGTAAATGTAAATGGGAGATGAGAATTGAGTTAATTCACGTTGATTTCCCTGATTTCTGTTAATTTCTATGGAATAATTCAAAGGAATTATTTTCTCAAAATTTTGAATTTCTAGTGACGAATTTCCTTGAAATTTCGGGAGTTTTTTCATGAGGGTCGAGGGAAATTCAATGAGGAGAGCTCTAGGCCGAGGAATTCGTAGAGGAAATATTTGGATCGGATGAATTTATTAAAAAACTCAAAATCTGTTTTTTGTTAAACTTCAGGAAAAATCACTAAAATTGCAAGAAAAAGAGAGTCTTCTAGCAACCACTTCATGTTTTTCTATTATGATTTTTCCGTACGGCTAGAGGGTAAAATAATCTCATCCCAGGGGTGATTCACACCAAGAAAGGATAGATCATCCACAGATAGGGGTGAAATATCTCGTTATAGAGGTGATTTCCGTTGATAAAATGGCAAATCATCCATACATCCGAGTTATTCAATCCCCTAGGCGAAAAAGGCAAAAATATCCCGAAGAAAGAATGGAGAGCGCTAGGTAGGGGTTGATTTATCTTATCGTTGTTTTTGTGTTGAGTATTTCCCCAGGCATTTGAGAGGGAATGAACTAGTTTATCTTCAGATCGAATTTTATAATGACGCAAGAAAAGCTTCATGCCGAGGAATTCTTGTAGGAAATATCTCGATAGACGAAGTGGAATGTTGGAGAAAAATAAAAATCTATCACTTATTTTTCATCAAACTCTCCGAAAAATCACTAAAATTGCAAGAGAAATAGAATTTTCTGGTCAGCACCTCAGATTTTTCTATTAGAATTTTTTTGGGCACCTAGGGGATAAAATAATCTTATCCCAGGGGTGATTCGTACTAAAAAAATCGTAAATCATCATCACATCTTAGTTATCTCATCCCCCAGGCGGAAAAGATCAAAATATCCCCCAAAAAAACTAGAATACGAAAATCAGTGGTTGATCTATCTTATCTTTTTTTTTGCGTTGAGTATTTCCCCAGGCATTGGACAGTGAATGAACAAGTTTAGGAATTCTTATCGGAAATATCTCGATAGAATAAGTCCAATGTTACAGAAAAATAAAAATCTGTCAATTATTTTTCATCAAACTCTCCAGAAAATCACGAAAATTGCAAGAGAAATAAAATTTCCTAGCAATCACTTCAAGTTTTTTTAATTAAAATTTTTAAATAATCTTCTCCCCGGAGCAATTTACACCGAAAAAATTGTAACTCATCAACACATCTCAGTTATCGAATCCCCCAGGCGAAAAAGATCAAAATATCCCCCAAAAAATTAGAATACACAAAGCAGGGGTTGATCTATCTTATCGTTTTTTTTGTGTTGAGTATTTCCCCGGGCATTTGACAGTGAATAAAATAAGTTTAGGAATTCTCATAACAAATATCTCCACAGAATAAGGCCAATGCTACAGAAAAATAAAAATCTGTCAATTATTTTTCATCAAACTCTCCAGAAAATCACGAAAATTGCAAGAGAAATAAAATTCCCTAGCAATCACTTCAAGTTTTTCAATTAAAATTTTTTAATAATCTTCTCCCTGGAGCAATTTGCACCGAAAAAACCATAAATCATCAACACATTTTAGTTATCTAATCCCCCAGGCGAAAAAGATCAAAATATCCCCCAAAAAAACTAGAATACGAAAATCAGTGGTTGATCTATCTTATCTTTTTTTTGTGTTGAGTATTTCCCCAGGCATTGGACAGTGAATGAACAAGTTTAGGAATTCTTGTAGAAAATATCTCGATAGAATAAGTCCAATGTTACAGAAAAATAAAAATCTGTCACTTATTTTTCATCAAACTCTCCGGAAAATCACAAAAATGGCAAGAGAAATAAAATTTCCTAGCAATCACTTCAGGTTTTTCAATTAAAATTTTTAAATAATCTTCTCCCCGGGGCAATTTACACCGAAAAAATTGTAATTCATCAACACATCTCAGTCATCTAATTCCCCAGGCGTAAAAGATCAAAATACCGCCAAAAAAACTAGAATACACAAAGCAGGGGTTGATCTATCTTATCATTATTTTTGCGTTGAGTATTTCCCCAGGCATTCGATATGAATGACCAAGTTTACCTTCAGATCGGGTATGACCCAGAACCCTATTCCTCCCGAGGGCAACTTCATGGAGAGTCCTTTTGCACTGGTAGCCACTGCCGGATTAATTTCCGGCATATCCTTTCCATTTTCAAGTTTCAACGGCTCGTTGTTCAGCAGTACAGTCCTAAAACAAGCTTCCATGAGTATCGCCGGTACGAGGGAGTGAAAAAAGGGCTCGCGAGCTAGTTTACAAAGGATGCACTCACTCGGAAAACATTCGGTTTTCCGCATCGAAGCCTGGCAGTAGAATATACTTGTGCAGGGTTTTGATCTTCAGACCTTTCAAACTAACAGCGAGTTTGGCGGGCGTCAGGTTGATGCCAAAAACAGTAAGTGAACCCTTCTCGTACTTTGAGGAGGGTCTTGTACATTGACAATAGAAGTGCAGATGGGTGCGGTTACCCGTTGCTATTTTCGTATCAAGTACTTCACGACCAACCAGAGTTTTGTAGAGAACTGATACCCAGTAGTCCTGCGGAAAATTAGGGTATTAAAGTTATCCCAATGCCAGTGTAGTTGAGTTTAAGGAGAACATTATATAGGTATGGCTCACGGGGGTTGGCTCGAAGAGATTTGATTCTTGAGGTTGCCTCATCAGAACTTGTGCGCCAAGTTTAGCTGAATTTCCCAACCGTCGGGTCCAAACTAGAGCTCCCAGAAATTGTTTCTTGCATTCCTCGGGTTTCGATTCAGCTGGATTGATAATAAATTGTTACTTGAGAGGTATGTGATACAACACTGCTGGGGGTAATGGAGTCATTAATTACCGAGCCAGAGGGGCTTCTTTGCCAGGGAACGGCCTATTACTCGGTACAGAAGCTCCTTGTCCACGGCTAAATTGTCGTGGTGCATCGAAACTCCTACGGGATCCAGGGTGACGCTCGCAAAGTCCCTGGGTGTTGTTCGGAGAAATGTGAGATACGGTTTTATGATTGAGGGGATTAGGAATTTTGCTCATTACAATGGTACGAAGGAGAAATGTCTGGGGAGGAGATTCTCTTGTCTGGCCCCTTGGGACCAGAGAAGTGCATGAAAGGGGGCTCAAAGGTAATCTTTGGAGAAATTGAATAATGAAACAGAAATTTTATGCTATTTCCGTTGAAAGGTTTTTCTGGAATTTTTTAAGGATATCCAGGTATTATTACAGTTTGGTACGGACCAAATTATCGATTCGACCATTTTCAATCGTCAAATTTGTTAATTAAATTGCGCGAGAAACATTTAAAAAAAAATTAAGAATGTTCAGCGTCATTCAAATTACATTTTGTGCAGAATTATTATTTTTTTGAATATTTAATGTTTATGAATAAATAATTGGAATTGTTCAAACTTTTGGATATGAATGAATTTCTTACAATTATTTATAAATTATTTGTAGAAAATACTTGTAATTGTCAAAAATTGCATTTTTAAAATTATTTCATCGATCTTTCTCAAAAAAATTTTTTTTTCCGATTTTTTAAATGGTTTCTAATGATTCAATATCGAGATTCAAATGCCGCAAAATTTCCATAATGAGATAATGGTAAAATGCTCGGAAATTTAGAGCTAAATGGGACTCAACTGGAGAAAAAATAGCCAAAGTACTTGGATATCCTTAATGAGAAACTCAGCGTGAAAAACATCAGGGCTAAATTCTGTGATCAAAACTTTACTATAAAATTTCGTGAACGTAATGAAATCGTGAAATCAGAGTTTTCGATTTCCCTGAAAATTCAATGAAATTCCAAATTCTTGAGCAGCAACGAGACGATAATTTCCCCGCTTGCTTGAATTTCCTAGCAAAACATGAATATTTAGTACCAAATTATCAAAATATTGTTAAAGAAATATAAAATACGGCTTTATGATTAAGGAGCTACGGAATTTTCCTCATTACAATGGTACAAAGAAATGTCACCGGAGAGGAATCCCTCTTGAGGCCCCTTGAGACCGAAAAATTGTACAAAAGTCAGTTCAAAGTTTAATATCCGTGACTTACGGATGCCATGTAATTGCCGAGAGCCCTCCAGCCCCAGCATTCAAATACTCTTGAAGGTACAATTGCTGCAATCTAGTTTTAAATGTGACAACATCCGGCCCTGCTATGATACTCCTAGCAAACCTCGGAAATGCCTCCAGCATACTTCGCAGTCTCATCACGTCCTTGCCTAAATCTCCCCCACTAATGTCACATCTCGTCTGGCATTCTAGAAGCACCAACAATATTACATTTTCCTCGTCCTATAATTGGTTTCGATGAACAATTGCCGGGGGTAAATTCCTGAGGATCAATTAATTACCGTATCCGAGTTGCCAGCTGATGTTGTAGCCCATATGATCGCTAAATGAAATGAGATCCAGTACGTTTCGGGAATCCCAAACTGCATCTCTCGTGGCCGCACTGGCCACCTCGGAATGTTGTTGAGGTGCTAGTGCCGCTACTACGTCTAAACCCGAATTCATCGCCCACCAATTCAAGGTATTCCACTGTGTCTCTGCCATTCCAATTAAATTATCTTTATTATTGGGTCACTTGAATTTTTGGATTATTTACGGTTCGAGTTGTTGTGCACTGTCACGAATACTCGGGACATTTCATTCGCTATGGAACAAGGCATTGCTATACGGGGGCAGAATAATAATACGAGTGCACAGTGGATCACGGGTATTCGGATTAACAAAGTGTGAATGTAGAGAAGAAAAGGGTTGAAATTAAGTTAATTTAGCATTAATTTCGAGTGACAGAACCCGAAGTCTTGGGAATCCCGGGTGTAAATTTTTTAGTGATTGAGTGGCTAACGTTTTGGATAATTATATGTTTTTAGAAAGAAATTGATATTTGATAGAAAGATAGAGAGAATAGTAAAATTCCGAATTTTTAGATTTTATTGATATTTCGTTAAATTCCAATTTTTTTAACGGCAGGAAGTGGAGAATTCTTCGTTTTACTTGGATTCTCAAGCGAAACATGAATATTCAGTACATATTTTCCAATTAATTTCAAGAATGCAAAGTCCAAGAATATATTTACCTGAAATTTCTTCATTTCTATTAATTTTCGTGGAAAAATTGAACTAAAATTATGGAAATCTCATCAAATTCCGAATTTTTCAACGGCAGTAAGTGAAGAATTCTTCTTTTTTCTTGGATTTTCAAGCGAAACATGAATATTCAGTACAAATTTTCCAATTAATTTCAAGAATGCAAAGTCCAAGAATATATTTACCTGAATTTTCTTTATTTCTATTAATTTTCGTGGAAAAATTGAACTAAAATTATGGAAATCTCATCAAATTCCGAATTTTTCAATGGCAGTAAGTGAAGAATTCTTCTTTTTTTTGGATTTTCAAGCGAAACATGAATATTCAGTACAGATTTTCCAATTAATTTCAAGAATGCAAAGTCCAAGAATATATTTACCTGAATTTTCTTCATTTCTATTAATTTTCATGGAAAAATTGAACAAAAGTTGCAATTTCCATCAATTGTACCCAAAAATTGTTAAATTTTCAATGGTAAAATTCGTTCAAACTTCAGTGGAACTGTAATGCAATAAAAAGTTCCAAAAAATGCACCAGAAATTTCGGCTCTAAATTAGGAAAGTTTTTTTTTTAATCCAGGATGCGCCTTCTAAAAATTGAGTCTTAAAAACTAAAATTTCTTTCTCCATAAAAACGCAACAATGACCGTAATCACGGAAGATTTCTCGTTTTGCAGAGGTCACGTTGTATGAATTATTATTTAGGACCACATAAATTGTTTTTATTAACTTGCCTGTGAAAATAAAACTGAGATCCTCCTCGTAGGTCGTGTGGGCTCTCGCAAAAGTGTATGAATTACTTCTCGGACCAGCTATACGTACATATGCCGGTGATAAAGCTCTCGCCATATTTACACACCTCTCGGGATTGTCTCTGAAAATGTTGAGAATTCAGTTGGTGCACGGAAAAAAATACAAAATCATCCTTTACTGTGGGCACATAGTAATTTTTAACATGAGAAAATAGAAGGCCGGCCCCCATCCGCTGCGTTCTGAAATTTACTGCTGAACATAGTAAAAATTGTGACTCGGTACTGTTAGAAATTTCGCGAAAATTGAGCCATAGCTGCACGCGAATTCTCAATGTCGTGAATTTGAATTCAATTTAAGATCAAATCGTTCACGGAATCTCTCAATCAGGTTGGAAATTCATGATAATTGGATTTTCCATGTTGAATTGGCACTGATATTTCAATGAGATCTATAATTTTCAAATTATTTAATAATTTTCATTATCATGTGGACCTGAAAATTGCAATTCCATTGAATACTCTAGAATTTAACTGATTTTTCACTAAAAAAAAAATGAAAATTTCGTGTGAACGAGTGATTGTTAAAAATTTCAAGGTGTTTTAGCATAAAAATTCGGTTGAAATAAATGAAATTTTACTGTGTTCCTGTGAGTTCCTCGATTACTATGTTCACCCAGTAATTCTGAAATTTATACACGGAAAAAATAATTTGGTGAATTTCACCAACTAGTTGTTAAAATTCCCCAACTGGTTCGTAATGAATTTTTTCAACAACTTGTTGTTGAATTTCAACAATTATTTGATGAACTTCAACAACTAGTTGTTGAAATTTCCCAAACAATGTCCTCCGCATATTCCCTCCGTGTGCCTAAAAAAATCCTGTAATCTCATCAGAAACTTACGTGATGAAATCGCTCGTGAGAATGTCAGCAGGATCGAGGGTGAAGCTCAGAAACTTTTCGCTGGTGATTGTCAACGGTTTTTTAGTGTTTAAGCTGAGGATGACTTCCTCACCGACTAGGCCTTCCACCACGAGGGCCAGGGCGAGCCACGTAGCTGCAGTAGCAGCGGTCATTTTACTCGGTTCTCTACAACTTTTAATTTTCCTTTATTTCTCCCTTCCGCAAACGTCTGCAGAAACTATGCTCGACAGCAAACGGAAATAGGGTTGAGAGCTCGGCTCAGGATTTGTCTGGCATAACGACCGAGTTAAAGTGAAGTGCACGATACAAAAAACTTTTCTAAAGAGACTTTGCTAAATGCTTCGCGAAAACTAAAGTGCAACCGTCTTGAGCGCTTCTCGATTGTCGACTGATACTGCATTCTCCCCAATCGTCTGAAAAAAAACCTCCCAGTGTGCATTAAAGCTTGCACTGCACTCGGTATTTCGTGTTTTTCATTTCGCTGAATTCCAGATTGATTTTGTAATTGGCGCTCCAAATAAGATTGCGTAAAGGTTGCTCGTGGTATCGAGGTTGCGAGCCTGAGAATGACAGACGTCTGCACTTTTTCACTTGTCAGCACAACCAGTGAGCAATCCAGCTGTCAATTGTCCCACTATTCGAATTTATTTGTTTTATCATTCATTTTTGTAGAACGGAGAAATGAAAATATGTTGCCAATCGGGGTGGGAATGAATAATGAAAAACGTGATATCGGTAACATCATTGATTTTTATTTTTTTTCTGACCTTCAATGATTTAGAACTAAATAACATAAATGCGTACTTCTTTAACCTCGGCTTTATTTATGCTTTTCCACTTTTTCTTCGGAATTCTATGAATTAGTGATAAGAACTATAACGATTCGACCCAGACCCCGAGTCAATTGTCCTGCTTTCGCATGCGTTGTTGGAGATATTTAATGTTTTTAATGTTCCTCTCGTTTTTCTTTTCGTTTCGTACTGCAGATCATTGTCTTGACTCTGTAACAATCCAGGGGCCTGTCCGGATGGGGACAATAAACCCTTCTAAGAGCCGGTGATAACACCTCCTACGAAAAAACCGTGTTCACCGTGAGGGGTTTTGTGGTATTTAATACGGGTGTGGAGTTCAGTTTTAGAGAGTGTACTGTAGTCATTCTTTCTTACAATTTAATTTACTTCATTTTTATATCAATATATATATATAATATATGTATATTTATATATATATATATCTAACAACAATAATATTATCATCATCGTCACTTCTCGTTTTCTCATTTAAAGGTTTACATAATATTATATTCAACAACAAACTCGCTTTTGTTCCTGTGTTTTTTTAGCCGCTAAGCACTCTACTTTATACAAGGGTTTTGTTCTCTCAATTTTCCAATCGATTTTACATTTTTTTGGGTTTTTGTATCCACTTAGATTCGTCTTTCTATCACGGTTGTTGATTTTTTTTTTTTAAATCATCTCAATTTTGGAGATTCCTGAGCAAGTTTCGTGCGATTTTTTTGAGCTCGCATTTTAGTTTTATTACAATCGGCGGTTTTTTGATCGTTTTTGTGTCAGTTATCGTGTCCCATTCCCGGGTTTTTACGAACGTAATCTCTGTGTCTTGATGCTGGGTTCCGCCAGGTATTGAAGGAGCTCGTCCAGAGATGCAATAATACAACGTATATTCCTATGAATTTTTCAATAGCTCCTAGGGGTTGAGGGAACCGCTGGCGAATTGATTGAACATTCTCTAGCGTTTCGTTTTTTTAATAAAAGACTCACAGTTGCAACGAATAAGTATCAACAGTATTGTTCATCATTGAGTTGTCTTTGCTGTATTTATTCACTTCTAGTTCGACAGAAGTTGAAAGGTTCGTTCGCAATGGACATCCTAAAAATCGCACAAGTTCGCTCGAGGCTGAGATGTTGCACTCGAAATTATTCATTAATCTCTTCGAAACTCGTTATTGGGAATTCTCATCAAATCTTCACTCCATTCTCACTCTTCGCATCGCTCCACTACGTCATACTCTCACGTACAAAGCTAAAGCCTAAATTTCTTGGTTTAATTTTTATCGGTTGTCGTTAATTGTTATTTTGTTATTTTGTTTTTTCTGCTTTTTTACCATATTATTCTCATCTTATCAGCTAACTCACTCGGCTACTTTATTATAGTTTATTTATAGTACGAATAATAATCATTCATCAACGCAATAACTTTTTTTTTTGTTTTATTATCTCGTAATCGTAGGAGATAATGCTCAATAATGTTTAAGATTATTATTACTTTATAATGCGTTGTGTCGTTGTCTCTGAATAGTCATACATGGTTTTTATTGTGGTATTATTTGTATACCGTTAATTTTTATGCCGCAGCAATTTTATCCAGTCGATTGCAGAATTTTTGTGGTGAAAATTCTGAAATTGATGACAAAAGCTCTCGTATTTTTATCAGCATTTTTTTTTGGTTACATTTATTTATTTATTAACTTTATTTTTCATTTAACAAAAAGTATTTCACAATCATTGTACGCTTCACTCAGTAATTCTCCATCCGGTTAATTTGGAAAAATTCATTTTTTAAGAATTATGTACATAGAAAATTTCTCAGTTCTTTCGGCGATTTTGAAACATTAAATTATTGATTTTTTTTGTGTCTCTTGTTCTAAAAGTTTGTCATCTGTCAAATTATTTGTAGTTTTTTTTATTAGTTCAATCGGTATTTGTCGCAACACTCGTTTCGCAACTCCAAAGGGCGAAAACTTTAAACGAAGAGTGCCTTTTTGAGTTGAAAGGAGTGACAGTTATGAACATATCATCCTAGAGGTTTTCATTTCATCAATTTATCTCCGGCGAACCTACGAAACACGAATCGAATAACGCGTAAGTTAATTTTATCTTTAGTTTATTAAATTTTTTCTGATATCACGTGCCACATTGCCTGACTAGGCCATAGGGTGGCGTTTTTTTTGGTATTTAATATTATTTATTTAGTTTTTAATCAAGTAAGAGGGACGACTGTAAATTGGCGCTTTATAGAGGTTAAATATAACGATGGTATGGAGAGAGAAACCGTTGAATCTCGGGACTCGTCGATCTCGAGGAGAAAAATTCATCTTACAATCGACAATCGCGGGATCAACGGGCTCGCACAGCCAATTCTAAAGAAGAAACATCAATGGATTCGAGGAAATTGATTTCTTTATGTCCACTCATTGAAATTAAATTAATTCGAATTGAATTAGGCCGCGGCGATCGTTTGAACGGGCTATCGATTCTCGAATCGTGGCATCCATGTGAATTTCTCACGGTAGTTTCTGGGAGACCGATAAAAGCGTGCGCGATATAAAAGTTGATTACACTTGGAGAAAAAAAATTTATCACAGGTTTGAAGATTTTTTTATTTTCGTCATTGAAGGAAATTTATTTGAGAAACGAATTTTTCCATTTCATTTCTCACTGTTAAAATTTTTTGCTGCAATTTTCGGTGCATTTGTTGATTTTTTTTGTCACACAGTTCCACTGGAACTGGAAGAAATGCAGATTATTATTCCATGAAAATTAATAGAAATCAGGAAAATTCTGGTAAATCAGAAAATATTCTCAAATGTTCAATAAAATCAGAAATTGCACTTTTTTTTCTCCTGAATTTGATTTTTTTCTTTTTAACAGTGCAGAATGAAACACGGAAAAAAATGTACTTGAATTGAGTATCGAATTGAGTATTCGAGTATATTTTATGCTCAATTGGGGAATGGGTATTTCAATTCGAAGGTGATTCTTTTGTATCGGGCCGGGTTGTAGAAAGCCCTCTAAAGTGTAATATAAGGGTCAAAACACTAGGGTTAGAATATAAAGTAAGAAAAGTGGGTGTCAGGCAATGAAGGTCTAAATATAAGTCATATATTATGTTTGACCACCGCTTTGGCCCTTATATGACCCTCATTACCTGACACCTAATTTTTTTACTTTTATATTCTGACTCTAATTTTTTGATCCCAATATTCTGACCCTCATTCCTTCACCTTTACATTCAGGCCCTCAGTTTTTGACTACTCCGACCCTCATTTTTTAACCTCCACTTTTCAACCCTTATATTACACTTGAGAGCGCTTGGTACAACCCGGGCCGATACGAAATAATCAGACTGCAAAAACTAATGTCTGAATTTCAGACACTTTTGTAGACACTTTTCAAACACTTTTGAGACGATTTTGTAGACACTTTTGAGACATTAAAATGTATCTGAATCAATCAGTTTCAGACACAAGCAGTGTTTGAAATTTTCAGACGCCAGTTAGATTTTCAGACACTTTTAAAGATTCAGACGTTTTTTGCCATCTGCCATCTCAAATTCAGATGGTTGTCAGATACCTATTTTTTGCAGTGGATAAATCAACTTTTCAGACATGAGAAATATCTTAAAAATTAATGTTTGAATGGACTTTGCCGTCTGAATCAGGTGAGATATCTTAATAGTGAAATACTTGCATCGCTCATAAATAACTGAATTTCAGACAGAAAATATCTGAAAATAAATACCTGAAATTTTTCAGACACAAAAAATGTCTACCGTAATTTTCAGACATTAGTCACATTTTTAGACACTTTTGAAGATTCAGACGTTTTTTACCATCTGACATTTTAAATTCAAATAGCTGTCAGACACCTGGTTTTTGTAGTGCATCCTCGAACTGAACCACCCGTCCCCCATTCAAGTATAAAATATTCTCAACTCAAGTATATTTTTACCCGTGAAAATGATGAAAGACGAGAATTAATTCAATAAATGGAAATATTCTAGTCTAATAGATCAACCGAGCCTCAATATCATTCTTAATAATTTTTTTTCTCCACGTAGTCGAAGGTGCAAACATTGCCGACATCATTTTTGCATATTTATTAGACAGTAACATTTCCAGCATTAATGCTGACATTCCGTCCACCGTCCCCATCAACACATTATCATCTTTTTGAATATCGAGAAACAACAACGACATACGGCATTACCCAGCATTATAACAATGAGCATAACAGCAACATCGCAATCCTCATTGGTTTCGGTATTGTTCTATGCAAGACGAAGATTAAGTAGACACAAACTGTATTTCCTGTTTTTCTTTTTTTTTTAATCGTTTTTTTTCATTGTTTTGAGTACGGACGTGTGCAGCATTGCACACCGCATAGACATGGACGATATTAATCTTTACCGCTTAGCTATAGACTCACTTGATTAAATTCCAATAACAACTGTTCAATGTAATTTCACGGAATTCTCGTTGGAATTTAACCACATGATTGAAGTAGATACACACATGCACGTAGAAACATCGAAGGTGCGAACAAGAGAGGAAAAGATTTGCTAAGAATATATGTTTATTTGCATATCGAAGAATAGTATTCATTCGGTATATTTTCGTTATTTGTTTCTCTGTTATTCATTGCGAGGATTTTCCTGGAGAAGGAGAGTAAAGATATATGTGGTAGAATCCTCTTAGGACTCCGTGATATTGTGAATAAATTACAGTAGATCGATTTATATTCTTCATAATTGAGAAAACAAAAATCATTGAGATCGCTCGTCTAATTAAATATACATCTTTGGGTTATAATTCTCCATAATATTTGTTTTGCTTTAGTATTCTTTTGGTTTAATTGAGTAATTGACTTTGAGTAATATCGCATTGGATTTGATTCGCGGGATTCATCAGAAGGGGTTTCCATATTTTTCATGATTCTTCGTCGTCAGGAGAGAAGAGATTTTCATTAAGTTCACAGATAGGACGGGAATTTCAACGGAGAAGGGGGGGGGGGGATATTGAGTGAAAATTGACACGTTTTACCGTAGAAAAATTCATGAGATAAAATTTTTAAGTATCCGAGGAAGAGAGGATAAAGATAAAGAGGACATTTGTGTCCGGTACCTCGTGCCCCTCACACACACATTCACTCAATAAAGAGTCATTTCACCTGGTTAACATCGCCTTACCGTGAACATTCTTTTTATAACTCTGCGTGAATGTCGATCATAAAAAAATATATGTTCTTGTGTCGTTGTGGGGGGTGGTGGGGATGATGAAAAAATATATAGATGTGTGTGAAGATGTTGATGTGTATATATACGATTTGCCCTTTCATTCTTCGTTCACGTAGTTGCGGGTGTACACGGGGGAAATGACTCGTTGAGGCGGAAGGAAAAATAAATTGACAAGAGACTGAGGGGTTGAGGGAATTTCTGCATCGGGGCAGGAGGCACCTGTGGGCGATCAAGAGAGGACACGAGCCAGCACAGCGACATAGACAGACAAGCATTTAGAAGTTTACACGTATACATGCAACATTGAGATTTATCATCAACATGGAGAGATACACAGAGATGGTTTTACAAAAATGAAAAATTCAATGACAAAACGTGGGGTGAGGGATTTTTTTTGTTCAAGATTTTTGGGCAAATTTTACCAACGGTGGAAGGACACAATTCGAGGATGGTGGTCCGCCCAAACGCGAGAAAGCCGCTCTCGGAACGGGTGAAATAAAGTGTCTAGCGGATAAAGAATGAGATGGCCTGAAGCACGAAGTGGTCAAGAGGGGGTGAAAAATCCCATTGTGAAACTAGGATCGAAAGGGAGCAATGATTTTTCATCTTGGTTGGTATTTTTCTTCTTTTAATTCCGCGAAAGTTTGAACAACGTTGCAAAACAGCGTTGAAATTAAAAAAATACATTTTTTTACTTCTCAATCGTTCATACAAAAATGGTATGACATATTTTTTAAACTTAATGCTTATCCGCATTGCACCGTTACACTCAATCTCTCTATTCACTCTTACTCTCTTTCAGCTTTTTATTCATTTGAAAATTTTCCTTTTTTTCCTCTCGGTCTCCCGCATATTCCTCACCCAAGCGTCAAAGAAAACTTCCTTTCTGGCAGGCAGAACGTTCGACGCATTTTATCGCATGTAATTTCTTTTTTGTTTTTTTAATTATAGTTATGTATTATATTGTAGATATATAAGGCATGCATCACTTGCACGTTGATCGGTGCCTCCAATTTACCTTTTCCCTTCATCTTTCGTCCCTTTCGTTTCCAATTAGGAGGACTGAAATGTCGCGCAGTTCAACATCCAACTATTTTTTTTATAACTTTAACAAATGTCAACGCAACATTCACTCCCCCGATCATTGGAGCTATCACTGTAAATGCGAGACAGATCATCGAGCTCAGCTCACGTGGATATTTTTTTCTTCGTGAATTGTCGGTTCCGAATTCCTCGATTCTCTCAAAAACATACTCGCACTTGATAATCACGCAAAATAAATAATCTAATTAATTTGTTTTATTTTTTGTTCAATGCATCCCAAAAAACACACAGCACTCACGCAAACACACACAAGGCTCTCGTCCCCCTGGCCCTATGTCCCTAACTACGTGTTATTCCTCATTTTTGGTTATTTCTTGTTTGTTTTTTGTTTAATTAACGCTAATTTTTTTTCATTTATTTTTTTTTAAATCGTTATTATTCAAACAGCCGTCGCACGGTTCAACAACTACATAACTCCGCTATCGGTAGTTTTCTATCCGTAATTCACTATAAACTTAAGGACTATATACTTGTTTTGCTTTTTTTTATCAATTTATTATTCATTATTTCAATTGTTGTCATCTCTTCTCACTTTCTCAGCTGTTTGTCAATGAAAAAACCAGTCATTGTCCCGGGTGTTTCGTCGATTGTTGGTGAAGTCGGGCCCTTTTCCCAAGCTTTTACTTAATTAAATCACATTCCTTTGAATTTTCGTTGACAATGAAGTGCCAAAAAGAGGAAAGAATCTCACCGATTTAGTGAGATTCTCCCGGGGGCCTTCACTCCCTGAAACTTTATTCACTTGGCACCTCCGAGATTCCAGAACAATGTTTAAAGTATGAGTGGGCCGTGCTGGAGAGATGTCGGAGTAATATACCAGGAGGAATAAAGAGAAAGTAGGCAGCATTCATTCAACCCTGGAACAATGGAATGCTTCATCAATGGATAGACGTTCTCATCGAGTGATTGAACCAGTAATTTGCAAAAGTCCTTGAGGGTCTTCATGTCTCCTCCATTCTATTCTTCACTCCCTGTTTCCTTTTTTTCGTCCTTCACTCGTATTTTATTTTTTCTATTCCACTCCCCTTTACCCGCTGTCGTGAAACTTTGATGTGAAAATGTTCTGAGCTTGGTAGAAAATTTTTCCACGAATAATGCACCTACTTTAAAGATATTGGCGGGTCGATCAGACTTGAGTGGCTTTCTTTCTCCGATTTCAAAAAATGTCGTTTCTAGAGTCAACTTCCATTTTCTTGGATACCCTACCCCCTCCCCCTCCTACCCCCACGGTATTCCCAAGGATGAGCCCTCAAGTCTATGGAAGAATGCGTGACACGAATCCGTACAATCGACTCCCACCTTCTCCTCCTTTCTCTTTAGTATTCCGTAGGTCGATATTTTTATTTGGAAAAGCACCCGAACGCTTCCGGTGAACTCACCGCTACCCCCCGCCCCGTCAGAGGGCGCAGTGCTCCGTTCGTGCCGTGACTCGACTATTTGGACGATGACTGCATTCCACTTGTTCTCTCTCTCTCTCTCGTTTTTTTTCGCTTCCACTTGCAGCTGATGTTGTTTTTTCTCCTCTTCTTATCCCGCGCATTGACTATTCCAGTGTGTTGTCTGACTATACTCGTACTGTGTTCCCTCGGCAGCTTCCCGGGAAGCTCCCAGACCAGTGACAATCAGCTGTCACTGGCAATTGACGCGTCTGGATGGCTCATTGCAAGCTGCATCTGTTTTCAATTTGTGTTTTAATCTCCGTTACGTGGGTCTCGAGTGTGTTCTTGAGTTCTAGAACAATAATTTCAGGGTGTTAATGTCGATGGAGATTGGGGGTTATTGGGAGTTGAGAACTGAATTTAATTTTCGAATGAAACTTGAAATTCAAGGGGAGACTACTAGGAGTTTTTAAATTCGTGGGAGATTGGAGTGAGATTTCTCGTGCATTGAAGGTCGATTAGATATGTCGAAAAACCAACAATTGGTGCAATGAAATTAATTGTTTATAACAATTATGAATCAGTTTTTTAAAATTCGACTCCTACAGGGCTAATTTCTTTTTGTTTAATATAAAAATTTGCGCCATTCATGTAAAATGGACAGAAAAATTATTCTCAAAATGTTGAAAATATATTCTCTATTCCATCAGAAATATTCTTCGGGCTATTTTACATGAACAGTGCAATTTTTTACTAAAGAAATAACGAAATTAGCTGTGTAATTTTCGAAAAATTAATTCGTAATTGTTATTGCACACATTTTTTTCAAAAACTTTGAAAAAAAACCTCTGTAGCTTAACAATTGGAGGCCCTGGACTATTTTTAACATTTTAAGCGTTTGCGGGGTAAAAGAACAATCAACAATTATTTTTTTTGCACTAATTGCCCGTTTTTAGACATACAATCGATCTTCAATGTCTGAGAAATCTCATTCCATTAGTCCGCGACTTAAAACTCATAGTAGTCTCCCCTTAATGTGTTTTTTGCTTCAAAATCGAAAACAAATGCTCATGAAATCCCAAAGTTTTCAATAGTGTGAATTGTTAACAACACAAAAAAAATATTGATTTTCTGACTGGAATGATTATCAGTTATGTCTTTCACTAAAATTGGACGATAGATTCCTAAAGATCTGAGATAGGTAAAATTATGTACGATGATCGCTGAATAATATTGAAAATATTATGAAAAATATAATAATATTGATGTTGATAATATCGAAAATTATGTACGATGTCGCTGAAGATTAGTAACGATGTCACAATTGTTGACAAAGTGCCTGAATTTTAGAATTTTGCCCTCAATAAAATGAGCGACACGTCCGTGAAAATCAAAGCTTTTTCCTCCCTCTGAACTCACTCGTAAATTCGTCCTGTTCCTCAGCCTCAGCCTCAGCAGCGAGTTCCTCCGGGGTCTTCTTCTTGCGCATCAAGGGATTGGGTTCCTCCTGAGGCATCATCTCCTGCACCTCCTCTCTCTTCTTTATATTGTACTACAATCAGACAAAAGAGAAATCCCCAAATGAACGCAGGGTAAAAATAATACCACATGGTTAGCGCGAGTTAATTAATCCCCCATGAATTCGATCACCTGGGGCCACTGGTGCCAAGCCTCGGGTGCCGGTAAATTGGCTCGCCATATCGATGGCCCGGGGGTGGAGAAATTGAAAAGGGTGAGTGTTATCAATAATTAATTTGAAAGCCATGAGCGAAGGTAAGACCTTCCGCCGTTGAAAGCACGATCACGTTGTGGTCTAACATCGATTTTACTCGACAAGAAACTTCTCTAATGGCAAAGACGTTCAACTTGGACATCTATCCGAGGTACATTGGACGGAGACCGTAAACTTGGAATGAGACTTGCGGGTGAAAAGGATCCTGCCTCTGTCACGGATCTATTTTCAAGGGTATTACGGTGTTATTTTTGCCATGAACTCGACAGTTATGCCAAGAGTTGAATGCGAGATGATGCTTACGCATGGGGATGAGTCACTGTGGTCCCAGAATTCTACGCTAGATCATCACAAACAGAGGCTGTAAATGCTGACTAAGGTTTATATCTCTTGAATCCCAATGGTAAATTGGGTACCTAGGGGTTTTACGATGGGCATGTAAGGGGGTTTACGTATTTCAGTTATTATCATACTGGGTAGGTCGTTGCATATGAGTGAATAATACTCAAAGTGTTTCATTACATCACACGAAATAGCTGCAGGATATGTAAAAAATTCTGCAGCTTTTCTGAGCACTTTTTCAAGTGAAATTGTTGCTGAAGAAATTATGTGTACAACAAATTGATTCAAATATTGATAGATTTTAATCTTTCAACTTTTTCGTTTGAAATTTTATTGAGGGAGGAGGAAAAAGTTGGAACAAGAACTTGGAAAATATGTCGAGGAATTTCTTGAGAGAATATGGCAGGAGAATAAACCAAGTTATGATAATTTTAATAGTTTTGTATTCGATGCTCATGTTTTTATTGAAAATTTAAATAAATTGAGGAATTCTCGTCTTAAGGGGAGACTACTGCGAGTTTTAAATGTCGCGGGCTATTGGAATGAAATTTCTCATACATTAAAGAGCGATTATATATGTCTAAAAACGAATAATTAGTGCAAAAAAAATAATTGTTTATTGTTCGTTTGCCCCGCGAATGCTTGAAATACTAAAAATAGTTCAGTTTTTTTTGCAAAATTTTTAATAATAATTACGAATTAATTTTTTGAAATTCCACTCTTACACAGCTAATTTCTTTATTATTTCCAAAAAAAATTGCACCATTCATGTAAAATAGCCCGAAAAATATTTCTCAAAGAATCGAGAATATATTTTTAATATTTTAAGGATAATTTTTCTGCTTATTTTACATGAATGGCGCAAATTTTTATATTAAACAAAACGAAATTAGCTGTGTAGGATTCAAATGTCAAAAAACTACTTCGTAATTGTTATTGTATACATTTTTCCATAAATTTTGAAAGAAAAAACCTCTGTAGCTCAAAAATTGGAGCCCCTGGATTATTTTTAACATTTTAGGCGTTTGCGGAGCAAACGAACAATAAACAATTTTTTTTTGTACTCATTATTCATTTTTAGACATATATAATCGATTTTCAATGCATGAGAAATCTCACTCCAGTATCCCACGACTTTTAAAACTCATAGTAGTCTACCCTTGAAAAAATTTGCAATTTCATTGAATTTTCAGTAGAATCCGAAGTTTTATGATCCTTCTCCTCTAGATTGAATTCTACATCGCTCTCTTGAAAAATTACTAAATGTCCATGAAATTTCGTTTTTTTCTAACACTAAAATAACCCAATTCCACTAGTGATGTTCACCGAGGAATGATAGATCATCCACAGACAGGAGTAAAATATCACCTTCTAGGAATAATTCACACCGAAAAAATGATAAATCACCCCTTAATTCCAGGCATTTCATTCCCCAGGCGAAGAAAGCTGGAATAATCTCCGGAAAAAATCCCGATTCGTCTTCATCGTTTTGTTTTGCGATCTGTTTTGCGAGGAGTTATTGCAAATTCCAATTCATTTTCCCTCTCGCACTAGAAGGGACACGTACGCTACCGTAAACGAGTGAAATCAAGTACCCGCATACGTGCGTTAAAAAAACTCCAGTGGCTGGTCCGCATTGCGGGGTTAGAACGAAAGTTGGCAGGCGCGCAAATGCAGGCTTTTACCCTGTACCCGCTCGGGGTTCGTTAAATTAAATTACGTCAATTAGATTAAATTCTAATTTAATATGAGGAACGTGCGTCAAGCTGGTATTTGGAATGTTATTACAACGCCGACTCGTTGTAGTTTTCCCGCATTTTTAATCAGTTTTTTTTCCAATATTAAGGGCATCGTTCAATTTATTTTGATTATTTTTCCAACCCAAATATCGGGCAATATAATTGGCCCATTCGACATCACGTGGTACAAGCTACAGGGTTTTCAACTCATAATTTTTTGATAATTTTCTCTGGTAGTTGCTATATAAAAAACAAAACATCATGCAGTCGAATTAACCCCTCGTCAAACTGACAGATTGAATTCAATTGTGTCGCTGTGTTAATTATACAATTTTCGTTTCTCAGTTGTGAGTTTCGTCTCATGGTCCAATTATATTGCCCGACATTTGGATTGGAAAAATAATCCCCCGAATACCACACGAGCTTCAAAATTAATCGGGCATTTTCCTCAAGGTTCCCTGCATGTAAACAAAGTCGTCAAGTTGTTCAGGAAAAATCACTCGTACTTCGCACTCGTGATTTTTTAACCTGAAAAACTCGACTCTTTCGTTTGTTTGCAACGAATCTATCGGAAAATACCCGATAATTTTGAAGCTCTTGTGGTATTACAAGTGATTATTTTTCCAACCCAAATATCGCACAATATAATTGGCCCATTCGTCATCACGTGGTACAAGCCACAGGGTTTTCAACTGATAATTTTTTGATAATTTTCTCTGGTAGTTGCTATATAAAAAACAAAACATCATGCAGTCGAATTAACCCCTCGTCAAACTGACAGATTGAATTCAATTGTGTCGTTGTGTTAATTATACAATTTTCGTTTCTCAATTGTGAGTTTCGTCTCATGGTCCAATTATATTGCCCGACATTTGGATTGGAAAAATAATCCCCCGAATACCACACGAGCTTCAAAATTAATCGGGCATTTTCTTCAAGGTTCCCTGCATCCAAACGAAGTCGTCAAGTTTTTCAGAAAAAATCACGAGTGCGAAGCACGAGTGCGAAGCACTCGTGATTTTTTAACCTGAAAAACTTGACTCCTTCGTTTGTTTGCAACGAACCTATCGGAAAATACCCGATAATTTTGAAGCTCTTGTGGTATTACAACTGAAAAATTGTACACCAAGTGCTCATATTTTTCTTCCACATTTATTTGTGTCCCACACAGCTGAGGTATTTCCCTGACACTGACATAAAAATGAGAACGAAATCTAGAGAAATTACATCACAGTTTGCGATTATATCTCGAGATGCAACGAAAATAAAAAAATACTCTTTATAAAATGAAACAAATTACGTTCATGAATAGAATTCAGCGAAATGGGAACAACATTTTTGCGAATGTGCTGACGTAACTACGAAGAAAAAAAAAATTCAGTGAAAAAATTCCACCGCCCGACAGATTGAAGTGGCCGATGCAGAAATAATTGATTCACGTTGGCTCGTGCATACCAGGCAATTTCCGCTGAAAATTCCACTACCAGTTTCATACGAAATCTATTAGAACGTGAAGAGGATAAAAAAATTTATGGGCAAAGTATTTTTCATGGTTAAAAAAATACACAAATTTCATAGAGATATGTGGTTAGTTATTTTTTTAGAGTATTCACGAAACTCGGAATTTTGAGTGGGTGTAATTAACGTCAGGTTCAGAGGAATGTTTGATGTTGAGTTACGATCTCATTTGGGGTACATCTGACTCCTTGACAGGGTGGCATCATTCAGAGTACTGACGGCAGTGCACTACATTATTTCTATCAACTTATCTGTGAATACGTGTCCTACATCAATTAATGAATCCCAAAACTACGATTGAGGAAAATATTCTCCATTATTAATATTTCATTACCACATCAATGGTTAATGAAAAAATTGAATTATAATTGTTTTCGTAATGAGTAGTAATACCAAATGTATTTTTCATCGCGATACTGATGATAAATGAAAATGAAAAAGGAAGAAATAGTTTATCAATCAATAATGCTACAAAATTTATTTTCATTATTATATCAATGGAAAATGAAAACCGAAAATCCCGATTCATTTCGTCATGAATAATGAAACCAAATTAATTTTTCATTATCGTAGTAATGGATAAAAATCCATCCTGGTTCCCCTCCTACCTACTCCAAAAATCGTATCTAATAATATCCTTTGGCGTCCCAAGATGTGAAACACTAAATAAACGCTTTTTTTCAGTGAAAAATGATTGCCATTTGACGGACCTAGCTGCCTAACTGCTAATTTTTTGTTCATTGTCCATTTTAACTCGCCATCTTATTTTAGCTCTTCCCTAAAAATATTCAATTAATGAGATAAATTTCATCATTAATTAGATGAGTATTCAATAATGTGGACCTATAATTACTGATTAATTGAGAATGTTTTTATTTCTTATTGTCATCATGGGGAGTGACATTTCGATAATCATTGTCCATTGTCACAGTAATGAATATTTTGACGGTCAACATTACCCACTAACAGAATAATGAAAATACTTCAGTTTTCATTATTGATTGAATGACTATAAAATATTCAAATGTGATTCCTGATGAGATAAATAACAGTTTTCTATTGTTAATTATTACTCATTGATACGGTATTTAAAAAATGGGAATTTTTCAATACTCATTCATAATATAATGAAGAATATATATATTTATTTATTTATTTATCTCTTTGGTTTTACGAATGTTTTTCTTTGTTTTACACCTATGTAGTCCCCCTCCTCTCCTT